AAGGAAAATTCCTTTTCCTTACTTCGCGTCCCCGCTCAGCGCGTACACCACTGTAGCACCACAGTCAGCACCGTTACCACTCGCAACCCTCACATCGACAATCCTCCCGCCACCTTCGCACGTCGCACCCCGACCTCACAGCTCGGCGGGTAACCCGCGCTCCGGGCCTCCGCTTCGACACTTTTCCCAACCTCAGTCCCAGGCCCGTCACGCGACAACCACAGTCCATTACCGTTACCACTGTAGTATCGCTATTTAGTCTTCGCTCATGCCTTCGCTCATTGTACTCTTGCTTCGATAGTGCAATTCTCGTTCGTTCACTCAATTGCACTCGTAACACATGGTATTCAGAGCCTACGATCTCTTCTCGGACCGCACCCACACCTTCGCTTCCCCACTATCTCATTTTTTGGGGGGGGTAGACGTCTCTCAGCGACACAGCACCGCCGCTCGTAGTGCTCTCTCGTAAGCACGCACGGCCACGACCGAGGCTCTCGCTGAGCTCGCCCGACACCCCCGCCATGGCCGAATTCACGCTCGCCACATTGACGCAGGAGCAGCTCGACCGTCTGGTGCGCCAACTTGAAGATTCGGCGCTCGAAATTGCGACGCTCACGGCGGAACGTGACTCCGCGCGTCAGCAATCAACGATGAACACTCCAGCGCCACCACACGCACCGACAAATGCACCTGCACAATCGGACGAGCCGATCGTCATCTCGTCCGTCACACCCACACAAAACAACAGCGTGGGACAGCGCTCAGGCGCAGCCAGCGATGGCGCCGCCCAGCCGATGCCTGGCATGGGAGGAAACAGGGTCGCACCAAGCCCGCGGGAGCCTCGTGAAGCCCGTCGGCACGTGGAGTTCGCGGCGACAAGTGGCGAACAGGCCATTATGGCACCAATGCCACTCAAGCCGCAACGCCCGCCCTGCTTCGACCCGAGCCAGCGTGGAGGTCTGACGGTTCAATCGTGGGTCTTCACGATTAACGTCTTCTTCGACGCGAATTACGTCGAGTCGGACGCAGCGAAGATTCGGTATGCCGTTTCGCTGCTAAGGGGCCCCGCCATGGACTGGTGGCGAGTCATCGTGACGTCGCCACGCGCCTACGAGCCACCGTCGCAAGAGGAAGGGCCCACGGGTCCAGCTGTCACATGGAGTTCATTCTGCGAGACCGCCCAATACAGCACGTGGGATGCGTGGTGCGCAGGGCTTCGGGCGCGCTTCGAGCCGATCGCGGCTTCTATTTCGGCGTGTCAGAGATTGCGCACTTGGCGGCAGCTCGGATCGGTTCAAGACTATACGAGTGGTTTTCTCGCATTATGCGAGCAAGTCGGCTACATGCACGAAGCGGAGCGGGTGGACCGTTACGTCGGAGGGCTGAAGCCGGACATCTCGCACGAAATCATGCTACGCGGGCTCTCGAACTTCAACGAGATTCTCGCGCTCGCCGAGAAAATCGACATTTTACGCCGTCCGAGACCGGGGTCCTACTATGGACATCGTCCTCGGGGACCGATCGAGCACGCCACTGTACACGCTGTTGCGACGAATGCAGCTGCCGCGCCGTTTAAGGGGCGCTGCTTTGCTTGCAATAGGCTGGGCCATCGCAAGAGCGAATGCCCAGAGGAGCTAAGGCGCCGCGGAGCAGAGCAGGGGAGGGAGTCTCCAAGGCAGGGAAACGCCAGCAGTCAGTAGGAATCGGGCCAACTACTGACGAGACTGCCTGCTCGCCCAACCCCACCGACCCTCACCGAGTCACAGTACCGAATCATGCTATCGATCGGACTCGGACGAATAAGGAGGGTACAGCGACGGATTGCCCAGTACTGATCCACGGGAAAATACAGGGAGCAGCAGTGAAGATTTTTATCGACGGAGGAGCAAGCCACAGTTTAGTTAATACCGCCACCGCACGAGAACTGCAACTGACACTTAGCTGTTGCTTACCGGAGATAGACGCACGCTTAGTCGACGGCACGCCACTGGCCATACGGGAAAAGGTAGAGAAAGTCAAAGTCCGCTGCGGGGGGAATTTCGGGTTTACACAGGAAATGCTCGCAACGACACTTGATGGGCACGACATTTTACTGGGACGTGATTGGCTGCGACGGTATAACCCGCGAATTGACTGGACGACGGGTAGCTGCACCGTGCGAAGTTATGGTAACTAGGTCGAGCTACCTCGCTGGCAGTCGCCCGAGTCTTCAACGGTACACGTCAACGCCGTCACAATGAAACGGGCTGTCGCTGCTGGAGCTGACGTGTACGCAGTAGACATCGCAGTAGTAGAGGGAGCAGAGCAGCCGAGTGATTTCAAGAAACTGTTGGCAGCAGTACCGCCCGAACTACAGGAACTGTTGAAACGATATCCCGGGATTTTTCCCGACGATTTACCAGAAGGGCTGCCACCTCAGCGCGCACATGACCACCGAATAGAATTGGAACCGGGGGCACAGCCAACTGTACAGCGCCAGTTCAGACTGACACAGCCCGAGCTCGACGAACTAAGGATGCAGTTAGATTACCTGTTAGAGAAAAAATTCATCCGACCAAGCTCATCACCGTTCGCCGCACCGATACTGTTCACACCAAAAAAAGACGGGGTTTTCGCATGTGTATCGACTACAGAGCACTGAACAGGGTAACAGTCAAGTCGCGGTACCCCATTCCCCGCGCCGACGAACTGATCGACCAACTGCGAACAGCACGGGTTTTTTCGAAAATAGATTTACGGGGAGGTTACCATCAGATTAGGGTCGAACCATCGGACTGCGCCAAAACAGCTTTCAAGACTAGGTACGGGTCATTCGAGTACACTGTGATGCCATTCGGGCTGACCAACGTACCGGCAACTTTTCAAATGACCATGAACGAGGCGTTTAGGCCGCTCTTAGATAAATGTGTGATAATTTACCTCGACGACATCCTAGTTTACAGTCGGGATAAGCAGCAGCATTTAGCAGATCTGGAAGCAGTATTTAAGGTTTTAGACGAGCACAGATTACTGACCAAGGGTTCCAAGTGCGAGTTCTTCCAGGATAAGTTAGAGTTTTTAGGGCACGTGATTTCGGAGGCTGGAGTCGAAATCGACCCAAAGAAGCTGTACACGGAAAATGCGTGGCACCCCCCGACGAACATCACGGAGCTGCAGAGCTTTTTAGGGTTCGTTAATTATGTGCGTCGGTTCGTCCCCAATATGGCACGGTTAACTGCCCCACTGACGGATTTACTGCGAAAGGGGGTCGCTTTTACGTGGGAGGAGAAAGAGCATGCTGCCTTCTCTGCCCTGAAAAATGTTCTCTGTTCACCGCCCGTCCTGCGCATCGCCGACCCACACCGCCCATTCGAAGTAGTTACCGACGCAAGTGACATCGCCATCGGAGCCGTACTACTACAGGACTTCAGCAACGGCCTACAGCCCATCGCATACGAGTCACGAAAACTGCATCCGCCCGAGAAAAATTACCCGATACACGACCGCGAAATGCTTGCGATCGTGCACGCGTTCAAAGTATGGCGCTGTTACTTGACCGGCGCAGACGTGACAGTACGGACAGACCATAAGTCACTACAGTACCTTCGCGCACAGCCACACCTCAACCCACGACAGATTCGCTGGCTCGATTTCCTCGAGTCCAACTTTCACTGCACGGTCACTTACAAAAAGGGAGCCTCGAACATCGCCGATGCACTGACCCGCCCCACTGCCCAGATCCACGCTATACTACTCGCCCAGACAAGCCCACTACTGACAGGTCTATTTACCCACGGGTACCAAACATATCCATTCTTCACAGGAGGAAATTCGCAGCAGTTCGCAGCAGCAAGGGGAGTCTATTACGTAAAAGCCGGGACTGACCGCATTTGGGTACCTGGGTATACACTGCTACGGGAATTACTGTTACAGGAGGCACACGACGGAGTTACCTCGGGGCATTCCGGAGTAGAAAAAACACGGCAGCAGCTGCATCGGTATTATTACTGGCACGAAATGTTGACCGACGTACAGCGACACGTAGCATCATGTCCCACTTGCCAGCTCATGAAATCATCAAGGCAACGGCCGGCAGGACAGTTGCAGCAGATACCACCCCCAGAGCGTGCTTGGCAGCAGGTGACAATGGACTTCGTTACGGGGTTACCGGCCGGGGCGAGTGGGAACGACGCGATCCTGGTCGTCGTCGATTGACTGACGAAAATGGCACATTTCGCAGCCTGCAAAAAATCAATCACAGCCGAAGAAACAGCACGCCTCTTCATCTCCACCGTCGTTCGACTGCACGGGATACCAGCCGCGATCATCAGCGACCGCGACACGAAATTCACCAGCAACTTCTGGCGGAACCTGTGGCAGCAGTTCGGCACGCGACTGCAGTTCAGTTCATCATACCACCCCGAAATCGACGGACAGACAGAACGGACAAATCAGACCATGGAACAGCTCATCAGGGCCACGTGTGACGACCCGACCACGTGGGAACAGCAACTGCCACTCATCGAATTCGCGTACAACAATTTGCCATCCGCCACGACCCAACAGTCACCATTTTACCTAAACTACGGACAAGACCCGACAGTACCCATGACCCCGAATCCCGACAACCCAGTACCACGAGCACAACAGTTCGCCGAAATATTACAAGCAGCACGGACCCGGGCAGCCGACGCAATAAAAAAATCGAACATCATCGCTAAACGCAACGCCGACCGCCACCGCAGACCTGTCACTTACCAGCCCGACGACCTAGTTTTACTTGACACTCAGAACCTCCGACTGCCCATCATCCCGAAACTCCGCCCCCGATACTGCGGGCCATTTCGCATAAGCCACATGATTACACCCGTTGGGGGCAAGGGGAGGGGTAAGGGGGGGGTGAGGGATGGGGGGAGACGCTCGGGCTAGCCTCTGTGAATACTTGAACTTCTAAATCCCAAACCCGACAGATACACGAGCAAAAGCCAAAACATGTACAGAACATGGCCCCAATGGGAAAGGGGAGAGACGGGGAGGGGACTACCTGAGCAGAGATGTCCATGTGGGTGCACTCATGGAAAGAGAGGGGGGTGAAGAAGAAGAGGGGTGGCGGCAAGGAGAGGGGCAAGGGGAGGGGAAAGGGGAAGGGAGGGGGGCAGGGGTGAGGTTTGGTTGGAAGGGGGCACGGTTGGGGGTTGGGTGGAAGGGGCAGGGTTGGCGGTTGGGTGGATGGGGGTAATGGTGGGGTGGGAGGGAGGGACAGGGCAGCACCTCAACGGTGACGTTCATGGGGGTGTGCATGCGGACGAGTGCGGTGCCATCCATGCGCGCCTCTAATGCCTCCAGCGCGTGGAAGGCGATGCGCTGCAGCGTGTCCCCCCCGGCAGCCGCCTCCCTCCGTAACTGGCGCATGAACTGCCGCCACCGCACCTGGTGGGGTAGTGGCGGGGTTTGGTAAGAATGAGTGGGGATGAATAGGCGATTTCGAGAGCTTTTGGGAAAGACTACCATTCCCCCATCCCCACCACCTTCCGAAACAACAGCCCCACGCACCGAGTCATCAACGGCCATGGCTTCAGCCATGGCCATGAGCTGCTGCTTCAGCATGCCCTCCCTCGCGCCACTCATGGGGCCTGGCAACAACCCGTCCACGTGCAGGGGCCTCTCCGGGCCCACCCCTGCCACGTGGGCTGCAGTGAAGGACGCCCTGCTGGATGCACTGCGCGACAAGCTGCTCAGGGCAGTGCTCGGCGCGCTGCTGTGCGCTGACCGGTGGCTGTGCCGCCCGCCGCTGCTCAGTACGCTGCTGTGCGTATCACTCTGCGACGCTGCTGATCCTGCTGCCGCCGCTGCTGCTGCTGCTACTGCTGCGGCGCCTGCTGTTGTTCCTGCTTCTGCTGCTGCTGCGGCTGCCTGCTGCAGCTGCATGTGATAATCCTGACGCTTCTCGTTTTGCCGCTTCTGGTTTTTGTGGTGCTGCTGCTGCAGGGGCAGCTGCAGGGATTGAAGGTAGTGATAGTAATCACCTTGCTGCAGCAGGTGCGGAGGCCACCGCGCCCCCTGGTCCAAACCAAAAGCAGCAGCGCCGCTGGTGGGAGGAGCAGCAGAGGCGAGCGGTGGTGTGGGCATGAGAGGCAGAGCGCCTGTGAGCCCTGTGAATCCGCCCAGCGCCTTTGTGCCAGACACGGCGGACGCTGCTGCTGCTGCTGCTGCTGATGCGCCTCCTGCTGCGACTGCAGCTGCTGTTGCTGCTGTTGTTGGTGGTGGCGGGATTGTTGCGGCTGCTGCGGAGGATCCCGGCGGCGGGGCGAAAGACCGAGGTGCAGCAACAGGCGCAGAGGCAACGGGAGCTGCAGGCGCAGCGGGGGAAGGAAGGCCCGGCTTGGGCAAGCGCGGGAGGGGAAGCCGCGGAAGGGCAGGGCGCGGCGGGTTGATGTTTTGCAGCACGGCGGCGAGGCGGGAGGAGAGGTCCGGGGGGCGCCGAGGCAGCTTGCACGGGGGCGGAGCGGAGGGAGGGTCGGCGGACGGCCCTCTGAGTCCACCCACTCCTATATCACCACCGCCAAGGGAGGGTGAGGGGCGCTGCGCGAGAGAGGAGCGCTGGGGGGTGGGACGGGCATGGACGGCGGATGGGAGAGGACGCGTGCTGGCGGTTCTGCTGGACTGAAGGGCTCCCTGCTGCTGCTGCTGCTGCTCCTGCTGCTGCTGCTGTTCGCCCGGATCGTGGTATCGCACTTGCTGCTGCGAATGCTGCTGCAAATGCAGCTGCGACTGCTGCTGCGGCGTCTGCTGATGCGGCATCGGCGGCTGATTTTGCGCGTCGTCCTGCTCTAGCAGCAGCAGATGCGGCGTCTGTGCTTGCTCGTGCTGCACCTGCTCCAAGCGGCCCCTCGCCCGCTGGAACGCCGCTGGCGCTACTATCGCCGCGTACAGCCTATCCGAAGCTTCCTCGAAGGTCAGCACCTGCGGACCTGAACCGTCAGGCTGCAATGCACGCAGAACGGATGCTGACATGGCAGGGAAACCTTGTTCTGATCCCCCCTGCGCATCCCGAGGTGAATCAGGAAGCCACGTGAAGGGGCCAGCCTGCCCTGGCAAGCACATGTGTAAATCTCTGGCCGCAAGATTGCTGCTTGCAAGCACGTTCCCCGCGTCCGGGACATCATAACATGCTTCCGGACGTAATAAATCAGCCCTTCCTACTGGGTCGTTCTCAGGCGTGGCTAGGTCATGTCTATGGAGCACTCCGCTCGCGTCCCCCGGCGTATCGATGAAATCCGCGAAGCCTGATATATTCGCACGTGCGTGTGCTTGTTCAGCAGATACGTCCGCACACGCCTCGCGTGTGTCTGTTTGTCGCACGGAATCTCCGCTATCAAACTGATTCCACCTCTCCGTCTGCTCCGCAGGAAAATCGTCCAATCGCAATTCGCGACTAACTTCGACTTGGTCGCGTACATGAACATAGTCTGTGTTAGCGTCTCCTATAAGCGAATCACGTATAGCAGCATCGTCGCCTATCGGAACGTCCCCTGTAGGAACGTCGCCTATCAGAAAAGCGAGTGACGGATCTAGAGGAATGAACGGTGCGTCCGGAAGGGGTTGCGCCTGCGAGTGCGGGTAGGTGGAAAGCGGAAGGTCAGGTAGAACGGCGCCGTCGAACGACAGCCAGTGCTCAACGTCCGCTGGCGCCACGTCATCAGAGACGAAGACTGTGAATGGCTCGTCGCTCATGTTTACGCGACAGAAACGATTGTAGCGGTCGGATCTTGGAAGTCACAGGCAGCAGCGTGTATGGCTTAGTCGTACAAACGAGGCGATTCCCTCGTTGAAGGACCAAGCAAATCAGCCATGGCCTGGAAGCGTGGTGTATTGATCAAGAGCATCGGTACAGTAGTACTGTAAATACAATGTCGAGTCACAACGCGCCCTGAACCTCGATCCCACACTTCACTTTTCACGACGGCCTTTCGCTTTCGCATTGAGCTGAAGAAATCAAGCACCGCAATTGGGTGCGAAATTCGGCCATCCGATAGGCTATGCGCTAGGCTCGAGCTTGGAACACAGCACCTTTACGGGGCCCTCAGGGAACCTGCCTCCCAGGCACACAAGAAAGATGTGAAGCTCAAGCAGCGGGTGCAAATGCAAAGCACAAGCACAAGCACCACAGAAGTTATCTGGCGCCGAACCTGTGGAAGAACAGGCTCGGCCTGAATTTCTCGATTCTGGGTTTATCCCGCGCCGCTTTCAATCACTGCTTCCCGACCTCCACCCAACCTCGATGCCCGAGTTCCCTGCCTAGCTAGGGCTCTCCCTATATATTACAGGCTTTCACTTGAATCATCACTTCCTTCATATTTAGCTGAGTCCTTTGTTACGTCCGCGCACTCTCTTGTATAGGTCATTATCGAGCGACATCCAATATCGAGGATCGAGACCTGGTCAATGTTCTTGTGCCAATTTATGATTTTTCCGCAACCAGTGTGAAGGCGCCGCGAATTAGGGCAGCAGTGGCAGCATTTCGAATCTTGGCAGGGTATGCCGAAACAACTGCACAACCACGGTTGGCGTGGGAGAAAACACAGCAAGATCTTTGCTCTTGAAATTTGAATATTGGAGACAACAGAAAATAGTGTTTGCTCACACCCTACGGCAAAATTGCCTCACACCGACACTCGCTGACAAGGGGTTTGTAATTGCCTAACACCTACCCGGTGTGAGGGGTGTGACAAGAATTGTTTAGGGCGTGTTATATTTTTAAAAGTCGCTGAAAGTCCGGACAGCTGTCCGGACGTGTGTGAACATTACGACGTCGCATTGTCGCCTTGCGACCAATGCGATGTCGTAAGGAGGCAACACGAAGATTGCGACGTCGTTTAGAACCTGACGAACTCACTGTCGAGATTTAACGAGTTCCGTAACCACACAATCGTCCGGACGACCAATGTAACACGCCCTTAGGCACAGCCGAGTGACTGGCAGGCGGTCTGTCAGACCAGGTCTGAGGTTGGGAAACTAGGTCAGAGCAACAGTACAGGGTGGAATTGTGGAAAGGCAGAACAGGACAAAAGATGATTCCATTTGAATGCAAGGCTGCAAAGTGCAGACTTGTGCATCATTCTTCCGCCGGCCATTATCTCCGATACTCAGATTTTGCCTGAGCGCGTTCTCAGGTGTAATCAACCTGGACTTTCTCAACGTTGATTGGTCGTTGCTTTATAGTCACATTTCTCACGCTGGTCGAACTCAATAGAAAGTAACCAAAACAGAACCATCCAGTTTACCCTCCCGACTTGGATATAAGTACGGAAATTTAGGTAGTAAGCCCATATAATTCAATTGGTAGTGCTCGGTAGCGCAACCGACCGCTAAACAACGCTCCTAAAGCACTAGACGACGCTACCGAGAACTATTAGGGCATGGCAGAAAAAAATATACCACGAGGGTACCTGGACGCATTTTCGAGAAATGTCAACCCTAAACATTGTTTTTAGGTTTGATGCCTCCCGAGTCGCATCCCTTTCCGATTGGGTTTTATTTTTTTCGCAAGTGCTGGAATTATTTTTTGAGTGACTATATACGAAAGTGAGCCAGAATGGCTTTACACTATATCGCGAAACCGTGTTTCTGCTGGTGATTACACCTGAGAGCGCTCAGGCAAAATTTGAGTATCGGAGATAATGGCCGAATCTTCCGCGGCAGCAGAGCAACATTGACCGAGTTTCCCTCCCTCCCTTGCTGCTGCTTACTTTCCACGAGATACTTGAAGGGTTTTGTACTGTACTGTACAAAAATCCTATGGTCATACGAGTCGCAGCAGGCACAACGATGGTCGCAGGCTACGGTAGGTCCCACACAGAATACGGGTGTAGGACTGACCTCTAGCTTCTTTACGCTGTCGGGAAATGGCTCGTCGACGGGCAGAAGAAAGTTCAGCGAAACCCGGCGACGCGCAGATTGAGATCGTCCACGTTCGCACGTGTGCCAACTGTTATCATGATAGTGGCCCAACTGTACCAAACTTTCTTTGTGCGACGTTGTCTAGGTCGTAAGCGGTCGCACACGGCCGGTCAACGGTCATTCATTGAGAATGTTTGTTCAACCTCTGCCATCGTGGAGTGTGCGTGCGACCAAATGCTGCCTGGCTCAGCTGAAGCAGCTTGCTTGTTGCATATTGTCCGTGTATTACGACAGCAACCATAGTCTCTTGACTCTCCTTGAGAGCAAGTCCGTTGTTTGCCACGCCACAAATCTGTGATGCATACAAGGCATGGCGAGGGAATGGTCTTGTAGCATACGCGTGTCCTTCCACCTTCATCTGCGGCACGTCCTGCATGTTTGTCAGATCCGCGCGTAACATATACTGTACAATGCGTTGCCTCAAAATCGCGGGTAGAGAGACTCGTCTCGAGGAGCCTCAAGAGTCATGCTAGATCTGGTCCGTCGAGCGCGTATGCGTCCGTTTCGCCAGTCTCACTGAGCCATGGAATATCATCAACCAGTGAACTGTCTTCAACCAGGCTACGTCGCGTTTATCGAGAATCTCCTGCCTCCCTGCCCTTGCCGTTGCGGCTTGCACGAGTCGTGCCCGGCGGCCAGAACAGATTCCGCTCCCCCTTCCGCCGTAGTCGCGCGCGCATCCTCTGCGCTGCCCTCTAAGCCTCTCATGAGGCAACTTTCGCGGCAGGCTGGGGAGGCGGAACCCGCGCCGATCCCCTCCCATCGCCCGTCCGCACCGCTCTTGGCTGCGATACCGCGAACAGCTAGCTTCGATACTGGGTCCGCCATGGCGGCGGCCGGCCGCAGCGCGCCGAGCGGTCGCGCCGCTTCTGGCGCGGGCGGCGCAGCGCGACGAGTGGATCTAATGGCGCTGTTGGAATCGTGGGAGAAGGAGCTCGGAACGTCGTCGGATGAGGAGTCCGTCGAGGGGGACAGGGTTCCTCGGTACGGCGCGGGGAGGCCGCGCGAAGAAGGACATTCGGCGAATAGGATTACCAGATTCTCCTCGTTCAACGGTTCTTCCTACAACACGAGGAAATTTGCGGAAGGATCGGCGGAGGGCGCCCCGGAGGGCTCGGCGGAGCGGAAAGAGGGTATCATGGCGCAAGGGACCGTGGCGGGAGCGGCAGCGGGGGCGGCAGCGGGGGCGGTGGCGACGGGGGCGACGACGACGTGGAATCATAGCAGGGTGGGGAGAATCACCAAATGGCGGAATGCTGCAGATGCCGCTCCGGGGAATCCGGCGGACGGCGGACTGTCGGGATCCTTCCGCGCGCGCGAGTTTCGGCGGCAGGCGTCATTTGTAGAGCCCTCGCGCGCCGCCGCGAAGGCGCAGCCGTTCGGCGCGCCTAGTAACGGGTCACCGGAGCATGCCTTTGTCGCGTACATGGCTCAGCAGCGATCCAGCCTGGAAAACCTCGAAGACGCCGCGTCGTTTTTCTGCGGCGCCGCGCACCAGGCCCGCTCCGACGATGACACAGCGGTAGCGAATATCGAGCTTGCTTTTCCATCTGCGGATAAAATCTCCTCCGGTGGGATCGCAGGCCGAAATGCCATCCAGACTTTTTCTGACAAGACGGGAGCGTTGGGAAGTTTCGCGGATGCAGCTCTGCCCGTAGATCCGCCGGAGGAGGTAAGCCGCGCGTTGGCGGTGCTGTCGCAATGGCGCGCTAAGGCGCAGAGCGGACGCGGCGAGAACGTGAGACAGCAAGTCGGAGGCAATGCCAAATCTCCTCCGTCCGCCGGTCCATCGGATAAGGTTGCTTCCGCAGGGTCCGCGGCTTCCGCTGCGTTCTCATCAGTGTTCCCTCTCTCGTCCGCCGCTTCGCCTCCCGCCAGCCCTTCCGCCCCCCCGCACTCCGCCACCTTCCCCCTTTCCCTCGCGGGGTCCCCCGGCTCCCCCTCTTCCGACTCTTCCCCCACCCGCACTTCATCCACGTCGTCTTCCGCCGTCCCCATTGCGGCGCCTGTTACAGATGCCAAGTCAGCAGCCGCTACCGCGCTCGCCATCATGCCAATCATGGCCAGGCACGCGCACGCGCGGGGGCTGGTCGGCGGACAAGCTACGCGCAACGCGCGCGCGGTCGGCGCAGATTGCGGGAGGCCCGCTGCCGTGGAGTGTTGCGCGGACGCGCTGCCTGGCGCGCGCAGGGCGAACGCGGAGGGGGAAAAGGCCGTTGATTTCGCCAACCATAGCGGCGGGATTCAGGCAGTTAGTAGCCGAAGGGGGGGCTGGGGAAGCGCAGGGGAATGCGACGAGGGGCAGGCGGGAAGAATCGGGGGACTTGGGGGTGAGGTCGCAGGCGCGGGCGCAGACGCAGGCGCAGGCGCGGGCGCGGGCGCGGGGATGGTTCCCCCTCGCAGCCACGTACAGGCGCTGCTGGAGGACGCGCGGAGCCGGCGCGAGGCGTATCTGCGCATCCGAAGCCGCAGCGCGTCGCTCTCCGTATCCCCCTTTACTTTCGCCCCTCATGCGCTCACTCCCGCGCCCGGCCCTCCCCCCGCTACTGCCACGCCCGTTCCAGCCCCATCCCGCGTGCAAACGTTTTCCCGCCTAGACATCCCGTTGTCTCCCCACTGCGTCTCGTCCACCTCCCCCTCCCCCTCGCCTTCCCCCTCCGCGTCCCTTCCCCCGCCGCTCGCTTTGTACGCTGGCACAAACTCCCCCCCGCTCTCCCTCGCGCACATTCAGCTGCTGTCGCAGAAGCGCGGAAGCGGGGGAGAAGGCGGAGCGGCAGGGGAAGCGGGGGGAGCGGGAGAAGTGGGGGGTGAGGATGTTGGTCTGGCGCAATCCCAGAACCACATTTCCGCCGCGGCTTGCGCCGCGGCCGCCTTTACCGGCGCAACAGGCGGAGGGTTGGGCGCTGCAGGCGGAACTTTGGTCGCAACAGGCGGAGAGCTGGGCGCGGAAGGCGGAAATCTGGGCGCAACAGGCGGAGCGGAGGCGGTGCAGGCGTGGCGGCACGGGGAAGGGCAGGCGCAGAGGCGCAGCGGCATGCCGCCCCTGTCCCCGCGGTCGTCCGCACCATTGGGGGTCACGGTCTTTGGCGCGCGGGGAAGGCCCGCACAGAAGCCAGACGCTGCGCGCAATCTCTTAGTCTCGCTCTCCCCCTCCGCCTCCTCCCCCTCGCCTGCTTCCCCCTCCGCCTCCCCCTCCCCCCGCGCACTCCTCCCCGGTGGTGTTTCCCTCGCGCGCATCCCTATCAGCCCGCCTGTTTCCGCCGGCAGCCCGCGCTGCACCAGCGGCGGCGCAAGCGGAAGCGGAAGCGGAGGCGGGAGCAGCATTTTCAGTGTGGAGAAGAACAGGAGCAGCAGCGGCGGCGGTACCATTGCTGGCGGCGGTACCAGTGCTGGCGGCGGAATCACGAGCAGCGCCAGCAGCGGCGCCATCAGCAGCAGCAGCTATACCGGCGAGCCGCAGTCTGGCCGCATTCCCGTGAGCCGAAGCTTCGATCTCAGCGCCATTCGCGGCCGCGGCGGCGGCGGCGACGGCAGGGACAGCAGTAGCGGAGGCAGCGGGGGAGAGGGCGGCGGTAGAGGCGCGGGCGGTGGCGGAGGGGGGACGAGGGGGAGGCAGCGGCGAGGCGCGAGCAGGGAGGTGAGTAAGAGCGCGTCGTGGGTGGCGGGCGCGGGGTCACCCGCCACTAGCGGGTCTGGCAAGGGGTTGTGGGGCAGAGTGGGTCGTGAGGCGGTGACGAACGGGGAGGGGATGGAGGGGAGGGAGGGGAGGGAGCAGCGTGGGGAGGCATGGCAGCGGCAGCAGCGGATTGGCCGGCGATCGGTCGTCTTCTCGCCTGATGTCGCCCATGGTGTTGCACGTAGTGCAGGCAGGGACGAGAGGTCGTCGCACTCCCACTCCCACTCACACTCACACTCACACGCGCACGCGCATACAGCGGTGAAGCAGAGCTTTTCCAGCCCGCTGCCGCTCTTGCACCCGCCGTATGAGGCGTCTAGCAATGCGCCCCTGTCGCACCCGCCACCCGCTCCTGTCTCGCCTCCACCGCTCTCACCTGGCCCCTCTCCTCCCCATTCCTCCTTCTCCGCCCCTCTTTCCTCCTCCCCCTTCTCCGGCCCTCTCACCTCCTCCCCATTCTCCGGACCTCTCTCCTCCTCATTCTCCAGCCCCCTCTCCTCCTCGCTCCCTTCCGCCTCGCCCCTCACGCGCGGCCTCTCCAAAACCTCTCTCAAGCGCGCCCCCTCCCCCACAGCCGTCCACGAGTCACCCCAGTCAACGCAGAGGGCGCCGTCCCCTCGAGTGGGCTTCGAGTGCGGTCAGCAGGCGCCGTCCCCCCGCGCGCGGGGCAGTGGCGGCACAGCCACAGTCGCAGGCGCAGGCGCAGGCGCAGGCACAGCTGCAGCTGCAGGCACAGAAAGCGTTTCGCCTGGCGTTACATTGGATGGCGATGCTGCTGCTGCTGCCAGCAGCAGCGCTGGCGGTGTTGCCAGCTGTCGCTTTCCGTCGAGCCGTTCCGTGGATGCAGGCAAGCCAGGTGCTGCTGCTGCTGGGGGGGGCTCGCGCGGGCGCAGGCTGATGAAGGGCGGCAGCGCGCAGGAGCGCGGGCTGGCGCGCATAGGCGAGCGAGACGAGCCGTGGGGTGCTGTGCCTTCCTCCGTGTCCGCTTCAGGAGTCGTTTCTGTTTCAGCATTAGCGGCAGACGCAGCAGCTGCAGGTGCAGCAGGTGCAGGGGTTGCAAGGGGTGCAGCAGGGTTGGGAGGGATGGCAGAGGGAGCAGCAGGGAGCAGGGAGTATGTGAATTGGAAAGTGCAGATCCCACATTCCTGGAAAGCCCCTCCGACCATTATCGTGCCCTCTCCCTCCTCCTCATCCCCCTCCATCTCCTCCCTCTCCTCTATCCCCTCCCTTTCCTCCTTTCCCTCCTCCTCTTCCATCCCCTCCTCCTCCTCTATTCCCTCCTCCTCCTCCTCCTCCTCCTCTTCTCTCGCCTTTGCGTTGCCTGCCCCCACAAGTCAATCTCCAATGCTGCCTTCTGCTACTGCTGTTGAGGCTGCTGCGTCTCAAAATTCATCCCCAGTGCTGCCCTCACCTGCGGCACCTGATGAAACACCTGAGGGGACACCTGAAGCGGCACCTGAAACGGCACCTGAAGCTCGCAGTGTCGCTTCTGAGGCGACTCGCAGCAACTCTTCCTTCCTCCGACGACCAGCCACCCCATACCTAGCTCCACCTGCCGTTACCGAACCAGCCACACTCACCGAGCCTGCACCAGCATCTGCTACCGAGCCTGCTGCTGAGGCTCGGGGGAGGGTGGGCGGGTTCAGTGAGCCAATGAAACGAGTGGTCCGGTTCAGCAAGGAAGGTTCGGTCCCTTGCAACGAGCAGCATTCCCTCTCAGGCTCTTTTCCTGCTGTCGCTCGCTCTCAGGGGGCGGGTCGCCGCTCCCTCTCCCCGCCCTCTGCCCTCTGCTCCTCTGCTGCGGCCAGTGCAGGGCAGGTGAGCGCAGGGCAGGTGAGTGCTTCCGTGAGGGCTCGTGATGGTGGCAGTGCGAAGCATGGTGGCAGTCGGCTAAGTGGTGTGCAGCAGAGGAAGGCCGGTGAGACCAAGGGTGGTGGGAGGAGGGGTGGCGGGGTGAAGGCTGGTGAGAGTTCCTGTGGGGAGGAGGAGTTGGTACCTAGTCCGGCTTCTTCCACTTCATACTCCCCTTCCTCCTCCCCTTCCTCTTCCTCCTCGTCTCCCTCCTCCTGTTCCCGCTTTATTGAGGCAAGTAGCAGCAGTAACAGCGGCAACAGTGGCGACATTGGCAGCAGCGGCAGCGATAACAACTGTAGCAGTGGCAACATTGGCAGCAGCGGAAACAGTGGCAACGTTTGCAGCGGCCAAATTCAGGTGGCAGGGAAAGCACGGCCAAAAGAAAGGCAGGGTGAGAGCGGGAGCCCGTTACGGGAACAGGAGCAGCAGCAACCGCAGCACAAAGAGCATCAGCAGCAGCAACAGCAGGAGCAGCAGAAGCAGCAGCAGGAGGAGGAGGAGGAGGAGGAGGAGGAGGAGGAGGAGGAGGAGGAGGAGGAGGAGGAAGAGGAGGAAGAGGAGGAAGAGGAGGAAGAGGAGGAGCCAGGAGTGGAGAGTGCAAGGCGGTATGTGCTGCGCCGGCCGTATGCATACGTGCATGCGGCCTACAGCATGGATGGGGAAGCAGATGGAGCAGAGGGAGCAGCGGCAGCAGCAGCAGCAGCGGTGGCACCTGGAGCAAGGGCAGTGGGGGTGGAGGAGCGGGCGTGCGTGTGCAGGAGGACGGGGAGGCAGTACTGGTGCCGCACGCTGTGCAAGGCGGCTCTCAGAAGCGCAGCAGCGGTGGAGGCGGTGGGGCGCAAGGTGGCCATGCTGGAGATGGTGCGGGGGGCTCCGCATGTGGTCACCATGCTGCGAGCATTTGAGGACACGCAGGTGAGGTTGAGGGGAGCAGGTGGGTGGAGGGGCCACGTGGGTTGGGGGGGGAGCAGGTGGGCTTTTGGTGAGAGCAGGTGAGGTTGAGGGGAGCAGGTGGGTGGGGGAGAACAGGCAGTTGCTCTCCATTGATTCAACCCAAAATCCCCCTTCTTTCCCTCCCACCACCGGGTCATCCACATGGTATTGGAGCACGTTCCCCGAGGCAGCCTCTCTATTCACTCGACTCAGGGACCCCTTACCCATCCCCTTCCCCGTTTCCTCCCCCCCTCCCCCGTATCCCCCACGTTCTCTCTACTTCACACCAGGCCATCCACATGGTATTGGAGCACTGTCCCGGAAGCAACCTTGCCGATCGCCTCGCTTCCTGCCGGGCCTTCTCCGAGCCTGACGCCGCAGCTGTGGTTCGGCAGGTGGCGGCAGGTCTGGCGGCGTGCCATGAGATGGGGGTGGTGCACCGGGGAGTGAGTGCGGAGGCTGTGCTGCTGATGGGGCAGGAGGGATCCCCTGTGGATGTGCGGTTATCTGGCTTTCAACATGCCACCTTCTTTGAACCTGGTAAGCTGAGTGGGTGCAGTGTGGTGAGAGTGTTTTTTTTGCATCCATTCCCGCCATTCCAGACGCCGCTTGCTGTCTGCAGTCAAACCTGTAATGTCATGATGCACGCGCTCTCATCCACCGTCCCTCGCCTCAACACACACTCTCTCTCTGTCTACATGCATGATTCATCAGGTCGCCTGCACACGGAGGCAGTGGGAGCACCGGCATACAGGGCACCGGAGATGATCCAGGGGGGGTACGGCCCGCCAGCAGACGTGTGGAGCCTTGGGGTGTTACTGCACCTCCTGCTCTCCTCCCGCCTCCCCTTCCACGCCTCCTCCCCCGCCGCCCTCTCCTCCTCCATCCTCAACGACCCCGCCTCCCTTCTCTCTGCACCTACCAGTGACTCACAGCCGCATGGGCAGTCGCTGCCACTGCCCGGAGCTGTGCCGCCCGGTGCACAGCTGCACGGTGCAGGGCTGTCAGGGGAGGGTGTGGTGTCGGCGCCATCGTCCGCTGCGTCTTCACCTGGTTCTGCGTCCTCTCAGTGCTCTCCCTCTTTCAGTCAGTCCCCGTCTCCTGTCGCCACTTCAGCTGCTGCTGCAGCAGCAGAGGCAGTCACAGGAAGGGTGGAGGGGAAGTATGGGGAAGGCGAAGGGCAGAGCACAGATGGGTATGAGGTATCAATGGCAGGGCAAGTGGCTGTGTCAGAGGCAGGAGTGTTGGGTACGGAGTCGGTATCACCAGCAGTTCCCAATGCGCCTGGAGCAGGCACCAGTGGGGCAGATGGGAGTGGGAGTGATGGGAGTGGTGGTGATGGAGTCGCCGGGGTGGAGGGTGAGGTGCAGGAGGGTGTGTGGTGGGTGCAGCTGTCGCCTCCAGCGGTGGACCTGCTAAGGCGCATGCTGGAGAAGGACCCTGGGAGGCGCATAGATCTGCAACAGGTGCTGCAGCACCCCTGGATTCAACGATTGTGATGAATGAATCCTCGTCAGATGTTTCTATACGGATGCATGTTGTGGCGCTTACTGTGGACGTGTAAAACTGGTGAATTGTGTTTGTTCACTTTCTTATGGGTGGGTTGTTTATAAGTCAGTCAAGCTCAGTGTGGCTGGTTTCTGGCAACATCGTTTGAGTGATACTGGTGTTAAGCAGAGGCATAGACCAAAATGGAAGTGGTATTGGAACAAGTTTTTTTTACAGTGGCAATGTGGAAGTACAATGTTAATTATTTACCATATGTGGAGCTAAATCGAGTAGAAAGAGTACTGACCGTACAGTAGGCGTGAGGCAGCTCTTGAGGAAGGTAGCGTAGAGCTGCCATGCCAACCTGAGCAATTCCAGACGAAGCTTCGAGTTGCACATGTACACCTGGTCTGCGGTAAATTCACCGGCGGTATCTTCACCATGTTTGTCGGCTTGCTGTGCGGAACTTGTTGGGCGGCCAAAAATCACTGTACACAGTTGATCGAACCAAGTTGGAGAAATCGCGGGCCCTTTCTTTGATATTTTGGCTGGCGCCATGAACGGGATGTGCTCAGTAGCGAGACACAAATCACGACTTCTTCATTAGGATTTTCTCGGCCAATCGCCACCGTCGATGCTTCCTCTTAGCTGACACTCGAAACTCAGCAATGCGATAAAGAGCAAAGTGTTCCTTTTGCAGGGTACTCTCAGAACTTTCCATGTTGGACAGATATTTGGTGGTGAAAATAACGACCCAAATTTTGAGCGTTTATCTTCACCACGGCGATGAATATACCGCAGACCAGGTGTATCACGGCCCTCATTAATGCCCGCACCGCAACAAGGAAACTTCATCAGTTCCTCGCCCATTTATTGGTGGACGAATACACTCACTGGATCGTCGTAACGAGTGCGAAACACTCCAACGGACCAGTGGGCTTGACTGCGACTGTTCACCTCATGTTCAACGTGAGGTGAGTTGACTTGTCTGCGTTGGCGGCGTGCGTGGTGCTGCAGCATTTTTCATGCTGGGTTTGGGCAGCTTTCGTGTATCCAGTGCGTAGGAGGCGTACCCTGATTGGTTCAGTGCCTTGCCCTTTTCCCACCACCACGGGCTCACTCCAGAGGTTTCATCGACATGTGTGAGGCTGTTATCGATGGGGAAGAAACAGAAAGACCACGGGTGGAGGAAAAGATTTCAGTGAACTGTACCATTTGGCCAGCACGAAATGTCGGGGTTCTCAAATAATGTTTTCTTCACTCCACCCTGGCTTCCCTTCAACATCGAACACTATTTCTCAGATGGAGTGGTGGAGCATTATGTGACAGGCATTATTCCTAACTAGGCTAATGAGATAATGATCTCGTCTCCCTAGCCCCAGTAGCTATAGTTACATATACCCTCGAAACCTGTACAAGATGCTCCCGCCCTTTTGTCTAGTCGGCACGGAAGTTGCCTTCCCTGCTGCCGTGATTTCGCCTCGCGGCGGCTGTCGGTCCGCTTGATCTCACCCATTCATCCACTCCATCCGACCGCACGCACGCACCAATCGCTCCTGCCTTCTCCCCTCCCTTCCCCCTCTCGTGCCCTCCCCTCCCCCATGCCCTCCCCTTCCCCTCACCTCCCCTGCCCGTCCCACAATCCAACCAGTGAGCAGTGACCACGTCCAACTGGCAGATTTCTCTACTGTGCCGCACGGGGGATGCGCAGCAATCAGTCATTGAAACGGTCCCTTCCTTTTCTGATGAGCTAACTTGCTTCTGAGTTCGGGGCTCGTCTAGCGCGGTCCAGTACGTTAACTCGGGGTCAAGAACGATAATCAGCTTCCGCCGTTTTAGACCACCTGGTACCAAACTGCACCGTATAGATGCGAATAAAATGTGTGATCCTGTGTGTGATCATCCCACCCAGCTGGATCATTCCCCTCCCCAGTATCTAACCACCTCTTGGCAGCATTCAGCTTTTCTTCCCCCCCAGCATCGCCATCCTTCTGTAGAACCACTCCGTCAATCGCGCCAACTTACAGTAGCACTGCTGAAACGCCTTATCTAGCCATGGAAACGAGCAACATATTTCCTGCCAAGCTTGCGATTCAACCCATCGAGACCTTGGAGCATGTTCAGAAAATTCCGACGTCAAATGCCGAACCTCGTCCGAACACACAGGAACGCAACAGATGTGGAACGAACCAATCTGACCATGTGGACATTCGCCGATACCGAACTTGATTCAATCCCTCTTTAGGCTAGCCGTGATTGACGGAAAGGGCTCTGTGACCCAGCGTGATGTCAACCACAGCAAGAGCAGCAGCTGTCTCCCGGAATGGGGATGCTTTTAGCGCCGCGAGCGGACATGATTCACAGCAACGATTCCTCAGAGTGCGGCGCCAAGCTCCAGTTCGCAGCGCCTGATTACAGACCTCCAGCTGGCCGGTCGCGCCGTAGAAGCTTCAACGAGCCTTCGTTCGAATCGTGGCGCGTCAGCAGGCCAATCTCAGACTCTGCCGCCTGTCTCGTCGAGCCTGCCGCTTACGACCCCTCCTCTCGTGCGCCATCCGCGTTGTCCTCTCCCGCAGCTTCTGGGTCGTCGTCGCCTGTCGCCGTTCCTCGCGCGAGCAGCAGCAGCAACAGTCACAGAAGCCCTCCTAGTGCCGCGGTCGCGTTCCCCACGTCTCTCTCGTCTCCTGTCGGCTCTCCGCAATTCAGCTCCTTCCTCTCGTCACTCTCCCCGCACCCGCTTCAACTCAACCACCCTAATCCGCTCATCGTACCGCCGCTCCCCTCGAGGAGTATTGACTTCACCGTGACCGACGGCGCGTCGCGGTCGTCTTTTGAGAGCTTCGGCTCGACGGCTGCTGACCCTCTGTCTCCCGTATTCACCACGAGTGCCTCCCCCCCGTGCCCCTCCTCCCCCTCCTATCACTGCGTTTTCCCCTCGCCGCCTCCCAGCCCGCCATCCGAGCGCCATGACCTTACCCCTTTTCTTTTCGAGAATCCTCAAAAAACAACAATTAGCCCATCCCTCGAGCCATACCAGCCTAGTAGCCCCTTCCAAAGCGCCCCGCAGAGTCCTCACGGACGGGGGATAAGATCCCTCGGGAGCTCGCCACGTGGTAGTTCCGCGCTGACTGCGGAGAGTGAGCGGCTCGGCGGAAGCTGTCGCTGGACCGGCGGGCCATCCAATCCCCCCACCTCTTCCGCCTCCCCGGCCGGCGTTTCTTCCGCCTCCGCGCGCAGGCGCTCGATGCGCCACCTCCCGCCGCTCGCGCAGGAGCCCCCTTCCGCCGCCTCGTCGTTCGCCGTCGTCACCGCCACAGCGGCATTGGCGGAAGCGCGGCGGCTGAAGCGCGCATCGTCGTCGTCGTCAGGACTCGAGGGGAAGGGCGGGTTCTCTTTTCACCATCCCGCCGCCACCCCCTCCTCGCCCCTAGCAGCCCCGTCCCAACGGCTAAGCAGCACCCATCCCCGCTTCCACCGCCGGCACGGCTCCGCTTCGTCATCCTCCGGCTCGGGATTGTTACCCGCCTTGGGATTGCCGACGCCGCCTCGCGACTCCGCCTCGCGGCCGGCCGCGGTGGTTACGGCGGCGGCCGACTCCGCGGAACCGCTTTCTCCGGAGAGCTCCCCCACGCCGTCCGCTTCCTCTAGGGGGTATTCTCCCCGTTCCGCGCTCTCCTCCTTCGGAGCGAAACCTATTCCCACGCGTCGCAGTGGCAGCGGCGGCGGCGGTGGCAGCAGCGATAGCAGCCGCGGAATTATTAGCAGCGGCGCTATTCGCGCGTTCGATCCGTTGGACGAAGCGAGCTCGCCGCCAAACGCTCTCAGCGGCAACGGCGCCCTCTCGCTTTTCGATGCGCCTTTAGCACAGCCCGTAGCGGGTGGCACGAGCCACGCCGTGTCGCACTTTCCCGTCGATCGCGGCAGCGGCGTGATGCGGGTCGGGCAAAGGGAGGACTCATTAGTAGCCGCAGAAGAATCGGAGCGCCGGGGCGCGATCGAAACGCGTTACAGAAACGCGCTGAATGAACCCCGCGGCACCGGCAGCGGCGGCGAGGCGCGAAAAAACCGGTTTCTGGGCGGTCCGCGCAAGTCGCGGACGTTCGACGTGCTTCCGCGGGGCGCGGGGGAGGAGAGCAACGGCGGTACTCCCGTAGCTTCTGGCCCAACGGGCTTGGGGACCCGTGCGGATTCCAAGCAGCGACGGGACGGGCATTCCATGGGGGACGGGACGGCGGCGACGGCGTTCAATGGGGGAGTCGAGGGCTTTAAGAGGATCGAGGGATCTGCGGAGAGAGTGATTGGTGGAGCGGGACCGTGCGCTGCTGCGGGCGCGGCGGCGGACCGGTATGCGCGGCAGGCGCGAGGAGCAGGGCTGCAGCTACGGCGGGGTAGCGCGGGGCTCGCGGTGCAGGTGGAATCGACAAATCATCATTCTCAGCAGCAGCAGCAGCAGCAGCAGCAGCAGCAGCAGCAGCAGCAGCAGGTGTATGGGAGCGGGCATGACGCGGCGGCGGAAAGGGGGGGCGAGCGGGGGAGGCGGCTACTCAAGACGGCGAGCAGCCGCCACCTGGATCCCGCGCCGTCGCTCGCGTCGCCCGCGCTCCTCACGCCGCGCGAGCGCTGGCAGCTGCTCAAAAGCGGCAGCGGCAGGTGGGGCGGGCAGGGCGGCAGCGGGAGTACCAGCCGCGGTGGCAGCGGAAGCGGCAGGAAGGGGGAGGGGGAGGAAGCGGACGATGAGCGCAGCAGAGAGATTCCCCTGCTTTCCTCCCCTGGAGCGCTCCGCCCGTGCGTTCCCGCGCCAGCACATTCCCCTACCGCCTTCCGCCGTCCGCCTCCCCGCTCTCCCCCCAGAAACCCCGCGAGCTGCGCGTCCCCTTGCGCCGCTGCTGGCGCCGCGGAAGATGCAGCTGCAACGCCGCGCGCGCCCTGGCGTTTCACAAAGTCTAAGTCCGACTCGACAGACGGGCCCGCAATAGCGGGGATACACCTGTCCCCCTCCCCGCCGCTCTCCCCAGGCGCGCGCAGGCACGCGCTGGAGCTTCCCCCGTCGCCTCCCCGCGCCCCCGCGGCGCACAGGCACCTCGCCTCTCTCAAGCTCTCCCTCGCGTTCCTAGACGCGCTCGACAGCCCCCCCGCTGCTGACGTGGCGCTGGGCGGCGGTGGCAGCAGCAGCAGGGACGCGGCTCACGTGCAGTGCCATGCTGACGCGGACTTGCGCTGTGCTGACGCGGGCTTGCGCTTTGCTGACGCGGACAGCGACGTGGGGGGTGGGAGGACTGGTCAGGTGGGTGGGCGACTGAATGGTCGCATGGGCGGCAGCATGACGGATATGTACGGACACATGGAGAGCGTGGGAGTGGCGCCAGAGAGGGAGGTGCGAGGACAGCAGGCAATGCAGGAGCCACGGCTGCAGCAATGGCAGCAACGGCCGCAGCGCTCATTGGTGGGAGATTCGGCCGCCGTCTTGCCACACGCACCACACTCATCACATGCATCATATGCTCATGGCTTCGATGATGCCATGTCAGCGCACCGGCGAAGATCCATGGGAGGGGCTGCAGACGTGGAGAGCGGGAGCAGGAGAGGTGGCTTGTATCAGGAGCAGGGCGATGGTGACTATAACGAGAGTAACGATGCCTGGGAGCAGAAGGCATTGCACGAGAGCATGGGGTGGGGCCGGCGCGGGCAGCAGTGGCGCGGTTGGCGTGAGCTGATCCGAAGCAGCAGCAGCGGGGGGCCCAGTGACATCAGCATGGGTGGGGACAGCAGTGGTGGCAGTGGGAGCAAAGGTGGCGGCGGTGGTGGTAGGAGTGAGAGGGAGAATGAGATGGAGGCCCTGCTGACGTCATGCCACCTGCTGCGCCACTCTCTCGCCTCCTCTTCCCCCTCCTCCTCCACCCTCGCGGCCTTCCGCACTGCCCTCGCACATGCTGATGCTCACGCGAATGCTCATGCACGTGCGGGCGGCACGTTTGCTTGTGAAAACGCCACGATGCTCAGCACCAGTATCAACGCGCACGGTGACACTGATACTGCTGCTGGTGGTGCAGCTGCAGCTGCTGCTTTTGCTGCTGCTGCTGCTGCGCCACCTGCTGCGGGGTCGTTATCTGGCCCGCTCCCTCGCATTGCTCGCTCCAGTAAGTACTGCAGCCAAGGCAGTCAAGGAAGTCAACGCGGCCGAGGAAGTCAAGCAAGTCAACGCGGCCAGAGAAGCGGCAGAATGACCCGAGTCAAGTCTGGGTCATGCACGAGCCCTCTGGACTATGTTGCTGGACGAGGGGAGGAGGAGGGGGCGTTGGGTGGCGCGGGAAGAGTGGGCTTTGGGCGGCTGGGGTCGAGAGTTGGGTTCTCTCCCCGGAGAAATGGGCTTGGGATTGGTGGCGCTAGGAATGGGAGGAAGTGGGATGAGGAGGAGGAGGGGGATGAGGAGGGGGATGAGGAGGGGGAAGGGGGAGAGGAAGGGGGGTGGGAAGGTGGGGAGAGCTGGTCGGGGTTGGCAGGAGCAGAGGGTGGGGGTGCGGAGAAAGAGTGGCGGGTGTGGCTGGCGAAAGGAATGACTGCTGCCTCTGCGGCCGCTGCTAGTGCTGCTGTTTCTGCTGCTGCTGCTGGTGGCACTGGCGGTGGTGGTTTTTCTGCAGCAGCTGCTGCTGCTGCTAGTGGCGTTGGTGACAATGCAGGTAACAGTGGTGGCGGTAATGGCGATGGCAATGGCGATGCGGAAAGCAGTTTCAGGGAGTGCGTGTTGGGCATGCCATATGAGGCGGTGCAGAGGCGGTACCACGTGGTGAGGGGGCGAATAGGCGAGGGCATGTTCGGCCGCATCCACACGTGTGTGGAGCGGAGCTCGCGCCGCACGTACGCGTGCAAGTCCATCTCGAAGAAGAAGCTGCAGTGCTTGGAGGACGCAGGGGATGTGCGGCAGGAGGTGGTGATGCTGCATATGCTCAAGGGCCACCCGCACATCATTGGTCTGAAGGAAGTCCTGGAAGATCCCAAGGTGAGGCGGCGGGAATCCCGAGGTAAGGGGGTGGAGATTTCAAGGCCGGTTAGCAGGATTTTCTAAGGTGAGGTGGTGATGCTGCACATGCTCAAGGGCCATCCGCACATCATTGGGCTCAAGGAGGTCCTGGAAGATCCCAAGGTCAGTGGGCGGAGATCCCGAGGTGAGGCGCGGAGATCCCAAGGTGAGTTGGCGGAGATCCCAAGGGTGAGTTGGCGGAGATCCCAAGGTGAGTTGGCGGAGATCCCAAGGTGAGTTGGCGGAGATCCCAAGGTGAGTTGGCGGAGATCCCAAGGTGAGTTGGCGGAGATCCCAAGGTGAGTTGGCAGAGATCCCAAGGTGAGTTGGCGGAGATCCCAAGGTGAGTTGGCGGAGATCCCAAGGTGAGTTGGCGGAGATCCCAAGGTGAGTTGGCGGAGATCCCAAGGTGAGTGAGTCACCGGAACATTTCTATTCGAAGAATAGCCATCCCGTGTGCACTCAGTCTTCTCACCCCAATTCATCATCTCTTTTTTCACTCCATTCTATCTCCCTCGCTTTCCCCTCTCCCCCCACCGCCCCCCTTCCCTCTCACATCCAGTCCATCCATCTCATCATGGATCTCTGTTCGGGCGGCGATCTATTCGACGCAGTCAAGGCCAGAAAGCACCTCCCCGAGCCGCTAGCGGCGCGGCTGCTGCAGCAGCTGGTGGGAGCGCTGCTGCACTGCCACGCCACGGGCATCGTGCACCGCGACGTGAAGCCCGAAAACATCCTCCTCGTCTCCTCGTCCTCCGCTGCCGCGCGCCGCACGGCCAGCATGGGGAGCGGGGTCATGAGCGCGATGAGCTCAGCAGGTGGAGGAGGAGAGGGGAGCCACGGCAATCAGCTGGGTGATGAGGACGTTGCCGATCACCTGGGTTCACTGCGGAACAGAGGAGCCACGGTGGGGGGCACAGGCAGCACGGGATCGTTTCTTGACGGAGGGGAGTGCGATCTGCACATCAAGCTCATCGACTTTGGCGTGGCTGCGTTCCTCGATCATGGTGCGCAGGGAAACCTCTCGGGTGCCACGGTTTAGCCTGGATCCCTTGCTTGTGCCAATCTTCAACTGCTCCGTGAATCACTTCCCTGCCCAGCCTCCCCTCCCCTGCCTCGTTCATTTCTAATCGCTATCTTGTGCTGCACTTTCTGTTACCACCCACCCAATGTATCACACGTCATGCATTCGGCCCCCCATCATGTCACAACATGTGGATCTGCAGTAACGACCTCTGTTGGAGTGGAAGCATGTGTGCTTCGCAGTGATCAACCTCCATCTCCACCCCACTCCATGCCACCCCCACCCAACACCCCTCCACCCACCAGACGGCATGTGCAGGCACACGGCAGCCACGACAGAGTACATGGCACCAGAGGTGCTCTCAAGGGTCCATTACTCCCCTCAGGTGGACGTGTGGAGCGCGGGGATTCCCAACTCCCAACTCCACCCTACCCAACCCAACCCCACTCCACCCAACCCCACTCCACCCCACCCCACATCACCCACCAGACGGCATGTGCAGGCACACGGCGGGCACGACAGAGTACATGGCACCAGAGGTGCTCTCAGGCGGGCGCTACTCCCCACAGGTGGACGTGTGGAGTGCGGGGGTGGTGCTCTTCGTCATGCTCTCAGGGGTGCTCCCCTTCTGGCCGTCCCACCGTGAGGGGCGCTCCACAGAAGATGCCGTGCTGCGCCAGCCGCTGCGGTTCGGGCATTTCCGGTGGGCGGCGGTGTCCGGGGCGGCAAAGGACCTGGTGGCGAGGATGCTGACGAGGGACCCTGACAAGAGGATTTCCGCCTTGCAAGTGCTTGGTGAGTGGTATAGTCGGTGATGGGTGGATGAGTGGTAGGGTAGGTGATGGGTGTGTGGTGGGTGGGTGGGAGACCTGGCTGGCAAGGGACCTCATGGCGAGGATGCTCACGAGGGACCCCAACGAGAGGATTTCCGCACTGCAAGTGCTTGGTGAGTGGTAGGCTCGGTGGTGGATGGGTGGGTGTGGGTGGTAGGTTCGGTGATGGGTGGGTGGTAGGCTCGGTGATGGGTGGGTGGTAGGCTCGGTGATGGGTGGGTGGTAGGCTCGGTGATGGGTGGGTGGTAGGCTCGGTGATGGGTGGGTGGTAGGCTCGGTGATGGGTGGGTGGTAGGCTCGGTGATGGGTGGGTGGTAGGCTCGGTGATGGGTGGGTGGTAGGCTCGGTGATGGGTGGGTGGTAGGCTCGGTGATGGGTGGGTGGTAGGCTCGGTGATGGGTGGGTGGTAGGCTCGGTGATGGGTGGGTGGTAGGCTCGGTGATGGGTGGGTGGTAGGCTCGGTGATGGGTGGGTGGTAGGCTCGGTGATGGGTGGGTGGTAGGCTCGGTGATGGGTGGGTGGTAGGCTCGGTGATGGGTGGGTGGTAGGCTCGGTGATGGGTGGGTGGTAGGCTCGGTGATGGGTGGGTGGTAGGCTCGGTGATGGGTGGGTGGTAGGCTCGGTGATGGGTGGGTGGTAGGCTCGGTGATGGGTGGGTGGTAGGCTCGGTGATGGGTGGGTGGTAGGCTCGGTGATGGGTGGGTGGTAGGCTCGGTGATGGGTGGGTGGTAGGCTCGGTGATGGGTGGGTGGTAGGCTCGGTGATGGGTGGGTGGTAGGCTCGGTGATGGGTGGGTGGTAGGCTCGGTGATGGGTGGGTGGTAGGCTCGGTGATGGGTGGGTGGTAGGCTCGGTGATGGGTGGGTGGTAGGCTCGGTGATGGGTGGTGGGTGGTAGGCTCGGTGATGGGTGGGTGGTAGGCTCGGTGATGGGTGGGTGGTAGGCTCGGTGATGGGTGGGTGGTAGGCTCGGTGATGGGTGGGTGGTAGGCTCGGTGATGGGTGGGTGGTAGGCTCGGTGATGGGTGGGTGGTAGGCTCGGTGATGGGTGGGTGGTAGGCTCGGTGATGGGTGGGTGGTAGGCTCGGTGATGGGTGGGTGGTAGGCTCGGTGATGGGTGGGTGGTAGGCTCGGTGATGGGTGGGTGGTAGGCTTGGCGAGGGATGTGGTGGTGCGGGCGCTGATGAAGGACCTGGAGAAACGAATCTCCGCGCTGCAAGTGCTCGGCGAGTGGTAGGCACGGTGGTGGGTGAGTGATAGGTCTGGTGGATAAGAGGTCTAGTCAGTGATCGACTTGAAGGGGCATGTGCCGGATATCACTCTGCTTGCCATGTGACCATATCTGGCCTCCTTGTCACTGGCCTTTTGACTCTTGCCTCTCTGTGCCGCTGGTCTACTCGCTCCCGCCTCTCCTTGCCTCTCCTCCCCTGCAGAGCATCCCTGGATTCGCCAGCACTGCTGCAAGTGACCCGCGTGCTCTCACAGCTGCGCATGAGCTGGCAAGCCTGTCTTGTTTTGTGCCATGGTGACCTCTCACAGCACATGCATGCCCGCGGTGTTTATTCATTGTTCAGGCCGCTTGTAAGGGCCTTGGGATGGCATGGCAGGCAACTCGGCTCGCTAGGTATTTGGTAGAGGCTGCTCGGGCTGAATCTGTCGCATGTTGATGTGCAGTGTAACTTGTTTTGCAAGTAGGTAACTACTAACTAGTACCGTACCGCCAATTATGGTACCGGTACTTGATTTGCCAGCATATGCTGTTCTATTGCAAGTTCTACCGTAGTTCCTCTACACCGCACTGAACCTTGCTTAGATTCAAAGTTAGAACCCCCATTCCCCTAGGATCATAATGGAATGTTCCCTTCATTTGGACCGTTTGTACCTTACCTCAAGCATCTTGGCCATGGGGGGGTTTTACCCTTTTTTGTTGAGAAAGTTGTACACTGTCCTTAGCACTTGCCATGTTTTCCATAAATCAAACCATACTCGCACAAGTTCTTCGAGATGATATACCGTAGTAATAATATTGCTCACACGAAGACAAGACCCTACTACCCTAGCCCCTGGGGCACAGAAGGGCCACAATAAGCAGCACAGAGCAGAACTAACGAGAGCTGTCTGGTCTGGCACACAGAGCCCAAAAGGCTTGGGTTGGGTTGGGTAACCTCCCATCCCAGTCACTTTCTGAGACATCTTATTTACGGCTCACACTCGCTTTGCTGTTACGGTAACATCTAGCAACCAGATCATGGAGCACCAAGTACCGTACACGTGCCATCGAGTTATGTCACCATCACACTACGGTAAATGTGAGCTTTTCGAGAAAAAAACGTGTCATGGTTTCAGTTACCACATGGCTTTAGTCACAGGGGTGCTATGGTCATGTGATGGGGTCATAGGGGTGGGAGAGCCAGGGGTGTTTGAGCGCCTGGGCGGCCGTGGGGCGTTTGTCGGGATCCACCTGCAGCAGCGATGCCACAAACTGCACAAACCCCGCATCCCCCTGCTGCAGGCGGTGCTGCAGGGAGGTCTTCTTTGGCACCAGATACTCCAGCTGCTCCGTCTCCTGTGGCGGAGAGGCGGGGAGGGGGAAGGTGAGGGAAACGGGAATTGAAAGCGGATTTTATGGTAGGGGCAATCACAGTCGCTTCGCCGCCCTGCTGCATGCGGTGCTGCAGAGAGGGCCTGGGCGGCGGTGGGGCGTTTTTCCGGATCCACCTGGAGCAGCGACGCCACAAACTGCACAAACCCCGCATCGCCCTGCTGCAGGCGGTGCTGCAGGGAGGTCTTCTTTGGCACCAGATACTCCAGCTGCTCCGTCTCCTGTGGCGGGGAAGGGGGGGAGAGGGGAGAAGAGGGAAATGAAAAGAAGACATGTTATGGTCGGGGCCACCAGAGTCACTTGCCCTGTTGCCGCTGATGCTGCAGGGAGGTCTTCTTGGGGACCAGATACTCCAGCTGCTCCGTCTCCTGTGGTGGAAACGAGACGGGGAAGGGGGAGGGAAGCGGGAAAGGGGAGAGGAGATGTTATGGTTGGGGACATCAGGGTCTCGCTTTCCCTGCTGCAGACGGTGCTGCGGGGAGATCTTCTCGGGTACCAGATACTGCAGCTGCTCCAGCTCCTGTGGATGGGAAAAAGGGAAAAAGGGGAAGGAGGGAAGGGAAGGGGAGGGAGAGTATGATAGGGGCAACATCTAAACTTGACTGCCTCGACTAAACCAGCTGTTCTGATTAATGTGTGCCAAGATTGGGGAAGGGGTGGAGGTGAAAGGGTCTAGCGGCTTCAGCTGCTTGATTTCCTTGAAAAAGGGGAGGTGTGGGGAGGGGGGTAGAGTGAATGGGGGGTTTGGAGATGGTGAACTGGTGTGAAGTACGATACAGCAGAGCATCACACAGCACCATACAGCACCCCACACCACACCACACCATACCACAGGAACTGACAGGCCCATGATACACCACACTGCACCGCACAGCACCACTGACCGGGTTGCGTTCATAGAGCACGTTGCGTTTGGTGAAGTACTTGTGGCGGTCGCGGGCCTTGCGCAGCAGGCGCGGGTCGATGGGGCCGATGATGCCCACCACCCGCGCCAGCAGTGTCGCCAGCGAGTCGTTCTGAAACAGCACCTGCTCGCACACACATGCATGATCGGACACACACAACGCAGGGGAGCAACCACGGCCACACGATTGAAGAACAAGTGGGAAAAAGGAGCGCACCCTTACGAGCATAGTGCCTGGTACGTTGGGGAAGAAAATGTCTTAAAGTATGAGCGTGGCTCCCTGTGCTGACGCACCTGCTTCCCCATGTCCCCAACGTCCCCAACCACCCACTTCCTGCTCCTCCCCTCCCACCCTCTCCCCCACCCCTCCCTCCTCTTCTCCCCCTCTCCTCTCCACCCCAGAGCTCAGCGAGGATGCAGCCGAGGGACCAGATGTCGATCTTGGGCCCGTACGGCAGCCCCAGGATGACTTTGGGTAGCAGCCGACGCGGTATGTGCTGACCCTCCCACTTCCCTCCTCCCCAACCACCCATCCCTGTTCTTCCCCCCAACCTGGCCCCCCTTCACTTCCCTTTCTCTCCACCCCTTTCTCACCTGTCCAGAGCACAGCTCAGCGAGGATGCAGCCGAGGGACCAGATGTCGATCTTGGGCCCGTAGGGCAGCCCCAGGATGACCTCGGGCGCGCGGTAGGAGCGCGACTGCACGTACGAGCACAGGTGGTCCGTTGTGAAGCAGCTGCTGCCGATGTCGATCACCTTCACCAGGCACCGCGAGTAGCTCTTGATCAGGATGTTCTCGGGCTTTAAGTCGCAGTGGATCAGCCCGAGGGAGTGCATGAAGCGCAGGGCCTGCAGGATCTGCTTGGCTATGGACTAGTGCATGCAAGGGGATGGAGGGAGTGGGGGAGCGGGAGGGGTGTGGATAGGGAGCAATAAAGATGGGATGGGAGTGGGAGTGAAAAGTGAGATTGGAGCACCGCGAGTAGCTCTTGATGGGTATGTTCAGGCTTGAGGTCGCAGTGGGTGAGATGAGTCGCAGTGACGGCATGAAGCGTGGTGCTTCCAGGATTTTCTTGGCTATGGACTGAAAGAGGGGAGCGTTGGGGAGCAAGGCCCATGGGGGAAGTGGACGACGGGATGCAAGGGGCTTCAGGTTGCAAAGCAGTGGATGAGCCCCAGTCCCTGGATACGCCGACGTGGCATGCACCTGAATGCGCTGACGTGGCACGCACCTGGATGCGAGGCATGTTGAAGTAGGCCTCGCCGCCCGACTCGCGGTTGTACTTGTGGAACTCGTACAGGTTGGCGCGCAGTAGCTCACATATGATGAACAGGTGCTCCTGATGGGGGTGGGTGGGGAATGGGGGCAGGAGCAGGGAGAAAAGGGGAGGAGAGGAGGACCAAGGGGGGGGGGTTGAGAAGGGAACTCGAGAGGTTGGCACGCAACAGCTCGCATATTATGAACAGGTGCTCCTGACAGCGAGGGGTGGGGTGGGGGTGTAAAAGTGAAAGGGAGAAGGGAGAAGCCAAAGTGAAAGGCCTCAGTTAAGGGTGAATACTGGCGAAACAAGGTTCAGGGTTGTTTGCTAACATACTCACTTAAATTGCTTCCAAAAAATCTAGACAAGTTCCAGCACGCACACTCAATCGGTGGCAGGTGGTGCTCGTCTGCGGGGTCGTACCTTTGGACGCATGCACACACACACTCACCCACACAAACACTCACCCACCCACTCACCCACCACACACACACTCACTCACTCACCCACACTCTCACCCACCCACGCTACCACAAACACACTCGCTCACTGATTCACTCACTCACCCACCCACCCTCACACCCTCACCCGGTGGTAGAGTAGTCGTACAGCCGCAACAAATGATGCTCCTCCGCGGGGTCATGGCGGTTGATAAACTTCAACAACTTGATCTCGTCCAGGCTCTGATCGAAGAAGTCCTTGTTGTTCTTTATGATCTTCCAACTCACTCACTCACTCTCTCGCCCATCCACTCACTCCCTCCCTCCCCAACTCACCCTATGGTAGAAGTAGTCGTAGAGGCGCAGCAAATGATGCTCGTCTGCCGGGTCGTGCCTATCAATAAACTTCAACAGCTTGATCTCATCTAACTTCTGATCAAAGAAGTCCTTGTTGTTATTTATGATCTTCCAACTCACTTGCTCACTCACACACTCACTCCTCCATCCCCTCGCTCGCTCCCTCCATCCTACCCTCCCTCCCCGACTCACCCGGTGGTAGAAGTAATCGTAGAGCCGCAGCAAATGATGCTCGTCCGCGGGGTCGTGCCGGTTGATGAACTTGAGCAGCTTGATCTCGTCCAGGCTCTGGTCAAAGAAGTCTTTGTTGTTCTTTATGATCTTCATGCACACTCACGCACTCACTCATTCGCTCGCTCACTCACTCTCTCACTCACTCCCTCACTCCCTCACTCTCTCGCTCGCTCCCTCCATGAACCTTCCCTCCCCAGCTCACCCGGTGGTAGAAGTAATCATAAAGCCGCAGCAGGTGATGCTCGTCTGCCGGATCATGCCGGTTGATGAACTTGAGCAGCTTGATCTCGTCCAGGCTCTGGTCAAAGAAGTCTTTGTTGTTCTTGATGATCTTCATGCACACGTCCATGCCCGTGTGCAGATCATGAGCTTGGATCGCCTTGCTGAAGGCCGCTGACCCCAGGTACTCTGTCACGTAGTAGCGCCCTGCGATGACCGAGTTGAGCACCACTGGGAAGTCCTTCTCCTCCTCAAACCCCGTTCTGGTGGGGATGTGGGGGACACACAAGGAAGGGGAAGAGCGTTTGGTCTCCATGCGCTTGGTATGCATGGCGTTGAAGGCTGCTGAGCCCATCTGTGTGTTGTGAGGAGAGAGGGGAACCATGGAGGGAGAGATGGAGAGGGGGATGGTAAAAGAGGGGGGGCGGGGAGGGGGGTAGGAGGGGGAGAACGAGAGGGGGAGACGAGGAACTCCTTATCTCCCAAACCTGCACTTCCCAACCACCCGCGACCCAAGCACTCATCTGTGGCCACCCCATGCGCACGCACCTGTTCTTGCGGTGAATGACACGCAGGTTGAAGATCTCAAACTCCTCCTTCTCCTCGCCACCCCCTCCCGCCTTCTCCTCCCCCTCCGCTCCTTTCTTCGTCCCCTCCACCTCGCCCTCCCCCTTCTCTCCCGCTTCCTCCTCGCCCTCATCCCCCTTCTTTCCCGCCCCATCCTTCCACTCCTCCTCCGCCTTCGCCCCCTTCCCTTTCCCCTTCCCCTTCTTACTCCCCCCACTGCCTTTCACAGCCACATCCCCGTCCGTTTGCATGTCATCACCGCCCCTGCCGCCTGCCTCCGCATCCTCTTCCTCCTTCTTCCCCCCACTCTTCGCCCTCTTCTCCTCCCCACCCGCGCCAGCCCCACCAGCAGTAACTCCCCCAGTGGCAGCAGCAGCAGCGGGGGGATCCCAGTCCATGGCAGTGACTTTAGCGAATGTGCCACTAGCCTGCCGCTTCCACACCTCCAGGGTACTATCCGCCACGCTCCCCATCCGTTCCAGCCCGCTCGCCAGCTCATCCGCCAGCCCCCCGGCTTCCCCCGCGCCCCCTCCCGCTCCCCCTCGCCCCGCTCCGCTCCCCCCTCCGCCCAGAGTGTCCGAAGGGCTGATATTGACCGCGTCCCCCCCAGGCGTCCCGCCGCCTCCCGACCACCCAGAACCTTCCCTGGAAAGGCCTTCACTGGACGGCGAGGGGAAGGAGAATCCGCCTGAGAAGGAGTCACCAAACCCGCCGCTGCCCCCAGCAGCAGCATCAGCAGCGGCACTGGCGGCCCCAGCAGCGCCGCCCTGTCCTGTTCCTGCTGCTGCTGCTGCGGTAGACACAAACAGCCCTGTGCCTGCGCCTGTGCCTGTGCCCCTCGCGCCTGTCACCTCGTCCACAATCCCAAACGACGCACTCCCCACGTCTCCGCCCTTCCAGCTGCGCCGCTTCCGCGGACCCTCCGCGCCCTCCTCCTTCTCCCCCGCCCCCGCGCCCCCCCCGTCCCCCATCTCTATCTCCACCCCATCCGCCCTACCTCCCTCCGTTTTCCCCCCTCCCTCCGCCCTCTCCCTCATCCCCTTCCCCAGCGCGTCTTCTCCTTCCCCCTCCGCCTCCCCCTCCGCCTCCTCGTCACTGAGAACGCCAAGGCGGGGGCGGGAGCCGGTGGGGGTGGGGTGCGCGCAGTCCTCATCCAGGTCTTGCACAGACCCCAGCATAGAGCTCCCCGCATCCGCGCCCACAGATTGCCCCTCGTAAAACTCCCCCTCCTCGCCCTCCTCCCCCTCCTCCCCCTCGTCCTCGTCCCCTTCCCCCTCTTCGCCCTCCTCTAGCTGCCCGCTCAGCTGCCCCTTTCCGCCCTGCCGCTTCTGCCGCGCCCCTGCGCCTGCGCCCCTCCCCTCCGCTCCTCCCCCGTTCCGCGCGCCGTTCGTTCCCTCCGCCCCCCCCTTGTCGAACATCCCATCCCACGCATCCACCACTCCAAAGCTCGGAACCGATCGGTGCCCTTTTCCCCCCGCAGCGCCTTCCGCCTCGCTTCCCCCGCCTCCCTCCGCCCCTTCCTCCCCCCCCTCCGCTTCTTGATACGAGTCCTCCCCTGAAAAATACATCTCCTCATCCCCCCCTTCCGAATCCCGCTTCCCCTCTTTCCCACTCTTCCCCGCTTCCTTCCCCTTGCTCCCCTTCCCTTCCCCGTCCCCCCCCGCGCTGCCTTGCCCCCCCTTCCCCTCCCCAGCTTTCCCCTCACCTTCCCCCTTTCCGCCCGCCGCGCCCTCCGCCTCCTCCGCGTCCTCGGGATCATCCCCCGGATCCGCCTCTAATAGCATAAACTGCTCCTCGTTCCCCACTGCCCGCCTCACATACCCCAAATCCTCCTCGTCCTCATACATATCCTCGTTATCATCCGCTCCTTTAATCATTAAAAGAGTAGACAGCAAATACCCGCCCACAACATACACTCCCCCTTTTCCCGCCTCCCTTCCCACTTTCGCGGGGGGGCTCCCCCTGCTTAGGCCGCTCATCCCATGCCTCCCCATGCCGAACCTCTTTTCCGAACCTCCGCCCGAGCTTCCGCTACCGGGCGAGCGCTGCAGGCTCGGCAACGGCGGCTGCTGCTGGTTAGACGGCAGGGACGCGTGGCTGATTGGCGGGCGGGGCTTGCGCGTTCCCAGCGGCACTGGGTTCAGGCTCGGAACCACCTCCGAACCTACAACGACAGGTCCGAACGTGATGGTAGGCACGGAGGAAGCCCGAACGAGAGGCTTGGCAGCTTCAGCAGGGTTAGTAGCGTGCGAGGTCCCTCCGAACGAGTTAGGGCTCTTTAAAGCGCCAGTCGCGCCGAACGACCCGCTGCCCCCTGCTGACAACAACCCCCACCCTGCCAGCACCGACGCAGCGTCTCCCGCCCCTCCCGCCCCTGCGCCTCCTGCCCCTGCGCCTCCCCCCATTCCGCCCGCTCCCCCCATTGATGGTGATGCGCCGTGCCCCGTGCTCCCATGGCGGGGCCCTAACGTGTCCTTTCCTTCCGCCCCATCGCCAACAGAAAACACTTCCCCACTGCCCGTCATATCTACTGACCCGCGCGGTGTGCTGTTATTGCTCGAGTTAGCAAACGCCTGGTCAAACAGCCCGGGGGAGGCGTCTCCGCCTGCGCTTGCATTCTCCCCTCCGCCCCCTCCGCCCCCCTCGCCCCCCCCGCCTCCCCCGACCCCGCCAAGCCCGCAGAAAAAGTCAAGCTCTTCCCCGAATCCTCCCCCTTCCTTGTCCCCCGCGAAGGTCCCGCCAGCGCTGCTGCTCTTCGCTATTCCGCTGGGCGGAGTCTCTTCTCCGCTGCTGCTGTTGACGTCATACGGCCGGGAGCTATTGCTGCGCGGCGTCGACCCGATCCTAGGCGGCATTTCCGCGTCCAAGACACCTAATGCGCCTTTCCCGCCGCCTGTTGCGGCGGCCGCTGCGGCGGCCGCGGCGGCCGCAGCTGCTTCTAGGGAACCTCGAAATGGGTCCGTCGTAGTCACCTCGCCGAAGAGAACAGGCTCTTCGATGGGCAGCGGGACGGGCGGCTGCTTCGCCGGCGTACCGAAGAACACAGCATCTCCATCGTCGAGTAAAGGAATAACCGCAGTCGCAGAAGCCGCTGCACTGCTCGCATTATCCTCGTTATTACCCTCTCCGTTATTCTTACCATCTCTCGTTCCTCCGCCCGCCTTCTCCGCCTCCGCCGCCTCCGCTTTCGCCGGCGCAGAGTCCGCGTCCTCGGCGCCCAGAAAGACGTCCTCCTCGGGGACGACGTCGAGCGACGCGGGGGAAGGTAGCGAGGGGGACGTGGGGAAGAACGACGGGGAGAACGGGTGCTCGCTTCCCCCCGCGCGCGGCGGCTTAGAGGCCTCCGCCGCTGGCGCGGGGTCGAACATACCTCCGGCGGGGGGAGAACTGGGCGGAGACCATTTCAGCATGGCGTTTTGAAGGAACTGCGGCGGCGCGCTGTTGCCTCGCGCGATCGGGTGGAACCCCGAGAACCCGCCGCCAGTCCCGCTACCGCCCGCATCTCCGCCGGTGCCATCCGCCGGGCCCGAGAGACCCGAACCGGAGAATGCCGCGCCGAATATCCCTCCGCCTGCCGAGCCTGAGCCCGAACCTGATCCCGAACCTGGTGTCGAGGCTGAGTTGGAGAACATCTGTTCGTGCTTCATCCAGAGGAACATGTTGACGTCATTATCAGAGGCATCGGGAGGCGGGAGGGAGGGGGAGCCTGGGTAGGGAGAGAACGGAGAGAGCGGTGGAAGCGAGTGGCTCGAGGCAAGAGTGTTGGGTCTTGGCTGCTTCTTGTTGGAAATTTCGGAGCGTAGGGCTGCTGCCGCTGAGAGAAACTTATTCCGTTCTAAGTACTCGACTATAGCTCCTAGCGTGTCTCCCATTGTCGTTGACAGTGAGCTGCGTTGAGAAATTAAGTCGAGAACGTGCGATATGGGCTGGTTAAAGGCTAATACAAATGTGATGTATTTTTTACCACAACGATACTCCTCGAATCGATGAGAGCGAAAGCTAGCGCCAGAAGAGCCCAGGAAGTTTCCAAAGCTTAATTTTTAACCTTTGATACGACGTAGACATGGCGACGAGCTGCACGAGAGTCTCAGTACGAGGCGACCGTGTTAAAAGGAGCTGGATTGCCGTCCGTCAGCGTGTGCGGTCCGTATTACAACAGGTCAAGGACGTCGCAAACACGGAACGCCTTGTCAGGGCATTCCTCTCATGCAGCTGGCAGTCAAAACACAACTACTAATCACTACGCAAATAAGTTTTACTCGTGCCGAGCTTTCGCTTGGTGGAGTACCTTGGCAGGTAGTCCCAACGAGTCCCAAAAGGAACACATGTCTCAGCTTCCCCTCCCAAGCCTCTTTCACCGCTTCTCCACTCTCCCTTTCCCCAACCACCCACCCATACCTCCACGCGTTGGGCTGGTGGCGGAAGGACGAAATCGAGGTTGCGGAAATACGACCCCCCTCGACCCTCGAGGTTGGTTGGCGCCAAAAAGCACCTCCATTTCCGCCAGCTCGGCGCGCAAGACTGCCCTACGCCTGCGCCCCTCGCTTCCGGTGCGCGCAGTAAATGTGCACCACTAGCTTCTGCCAAGGTCCTCCTCCTGACCGGGCCGGAGTCCTGACCTGACCTGACCTGACCCATCCGTTTGCGCACGGCGAATATGCCGTGGAAGTTTGTCGCAAGCGAGCGACCTATCACGAACGGTATTTCAAGCCGCTCAATCTGCCGCACGCACGAATGTGCGACGCTGGTTGAGGTGGGTTCAATATTGAATACGTTTCTCCTCACTAAAATAACTCTCTTCTAAAGCACTACAGTTTTGATATGCATTTTGAAATAAAAAATGCACCTTACAGAGTCATTCATGCTATCTACTAACTACTGATCTAGCCAGTGGCACCTTCATTCATTGCTGTCGCACCAAAAGCTGCCAGATCTTGCAGCTCCGTCACATTTCTAGACGCTGAAACAGAGCGAGCAAGACCTAGAAAATCCCTCGTCACAGTCCCAAAGGCTCCAAGATCATGGCCGCCTTGCTGCGCCCTTTGCAAGGCAGCAGTCAGCGAGTCAGTGTTAAGACCTGCACTCTGCAGGAGCTGCTGTTGCTGCTGCAGCTGTGGTGGCTGCTGCTGCTGCTTGAACTGCTGTTGTTGCTGTTGCTGCCTTGCCATAAGCATATTCTGCAAAGCTGAGGGCATGTCACCTCCAGCACCGAGCAACCCCCCAGTGCCATCCCCCCCAAAAGCCCCTGCCAGTCCACCTGCCAAATCTCCATTGCTTGCAGAGAGCATCGCAGCCATCACAGAGTTCTGGCCTGCTCCAGAGGAGAAAATATCTTGAATGCCCGAAATACCCTGCTCCAGCCCACCACCATTGCCCCCACCCATGCCACCCCCACCCCAACCATCTGCATTTTCCCCTCCACCCATCCCCACTTGCTGCTGCTGTTGTGGCGCTGTGTTGAAACCGCCTCCTCCTGAGAGAAGGGTGTTGAGCGCGGAAGACAGAGCCCCGTTTGCTCCAAGCTCGGGGTACATGCTGAGAGCAGACTGCAGTGTGTCCACGTTCAGACCAGGAGGTAACTTATCCGCCAATCTCTGAATCAAATCATTTGGAAGCTGCAGCTGTTGCGATTGTTGCTGCTGTTGCTGCTGTTGCTGCTGCTGTTGCTGCTGCTGTTGTTGCTGCTGCCCTCCCATCATCCCCCCACCCCCACTGTTATTTCCCTGGTCGTGCTGCTGCAGCGACCCTGCCAGTGCACTAAAGTTGCCCTGCCCTCCACCCAGGCCAGCAACCGCGTCCAGAAGCCCTGAGTTCTGCCCTCCGCCAAGCGGCAATCCCTGACTCGCCAAATTCTCAATGGCCCTCGTCAGAAGCGACGACCCCGCACCGCCCGCACCTCCCAGGTTACCCAAGCCTCCAGACCGGGCGAGCACCGCGCCTGCTTGCTGCAGCAGATCCGGAAGGTTCACACCCGAGAGGCCTTGCAGCCCATCTTGCTGCGCGCCGTGCCCTAGACCATCACCATCGACCGGGGCAGACCCATGCAGACCACCGCTACTGGAATTGTAGGGATCTCCCCCCATGCCCACTCCAGACAGCCCCCCTGCAGACCCTGAGAGGTTACCCTGGTTACCACCACCACCACCATAAACATTATTGTTCATGTCGGCGCCACCACCAGCGTTAGAAGCGTAGCCTGGGTCCAGATTACCCCCAGGAGGAGCCATGCTGCCGTTGGAGCCGAGAAGCGAGGAGATTAAAGAGCCGATGTCTTTACCGCCAGCTCCGCCTCCCAGGGAAGAAAGGAGACTGGAGACTTTAGAGAGGTCAAGGTTCGCCAGAAGCTGGTTGGATCCTCCCATGTTGCGAAGCGCCTGCAGTAGCACTTGCTGCTGATCCTGAGGCTCCTGTTGCTGCTGCTGTTGCTGTTGCTGCTGCTGCTGCTGTTGCTGCTGCTGTTGCTGTTGGTGTTGCTGTTGCTGTTGCTGTTGTTGCTGCTGCTGCTGCATCAATAACTGCTGCTGTTGGTCTGACTGCTGTTGCTGCTGCTGCTGCTGATTCTGCTGATTCTGCAGCAGCAGCGCCGCCGCTTCCCCCAGGGAACCACCTCCGGCACCAGCCAGCAGGCTCGCCATGCTACCGCCACTATTGTTAATCGCCGCAAGAAGAGCGCTCGGGTTCAAACCTCCCTGGCTCACAGCCTGCAGCATCTGCTGCTGCGGCGTCATGCCCTGATTCTGCCCTCCGTTGTTGGATCCCTGGCCGAGCCACAAACCCATACCGCCCCCGCCTTGTTTGTTCATGGCTCGGCTGACCAGATCTGCGAACTCCTGCGACGAAAACTGCTGCTGCGAGCCCTGCTGCTGCGACGCTTGGAGCCCCTGCCCTTGGAAATTCTGCTGTTGACCCGCGCCAGCAGCAGCGGCTTTCGTGACGTCATCACCGAACATGACGGCAGCGCCTCGCATCGTGTCCCCTTCGAACCCCGCGCCTTTGTGGCTGAGTCCGCCGACGCTCCCGGGGGCGGCGCCTGTAGCGGCGGAGTCGCCGGGCTCGGGTTTGACGCTGGTTGGGCCTGTGTCCGCGAGCGCGTCGCAGAAAGCTCTGTGAGTGATGAAGCTGTCGCGCCTGCGGAGTGGAAATCGAACGAAAGAAAACGGTAAGGTTATGGTGAAGAAGTAACGACGCGGAAGTCGTTAGGAGAGAAAAAAAAAGAGGACCTTATAGTGAAAGACAAAACCGACACGCAAATTTTAAGAAAACGCTGGGGAGGGACCGGGGTTAAGATGCAAATGGGAAGGGCTGGTTGTGTTACCTTGAGAAGAGGGTTCCGCAATCGCATCGGTACTCGCGAGTACCGCACGTCTTCATGTGGGCCTTCCAATCCGATTGCACGGCGTATTTCTTCGAACACTTTTCGCACTTGTACTTCTTCTCGCCGTGCTTGCGGCAAAAATGCTTCTTGATCCCGGTCAGATCTCCGAGCGCTCTGGACGGGTCGTGGTGGATGCAGGTGGGCTCCGGGCAGACGTACACCTTCTTGCGCACCTCCTGCGTCGTGCGTTGGCGGAGCTTCCAAGGGAGGTTGTGGCCGCGGCGGTGCAGCTGCAGGTTCTGGTCGCGCTGAAAGCCTTTGTTGCAGATCTCGCACACAAACCGGTTGGTCGCGAGGAGGGTGCGCGGAGACAGGGCCACAACTTCTGCGTCCGGATCTGAAAATAAACCGGAAGGGATTACCAGAGAGAACAGGACAGAGAAAAGAAGTGAGAAGTGGTAGCGAGAGTGAGAAGCAGCGGTAAGAAGAGGGTCTATAGGACGGATTAAGAAACTCCGGGAGGAGCATCAAATAGCTTTCACACATTGGGAATAAAAAACACCATTGTTTCCGTCAATCGTAATGCGTCAAATGTCGTACCTGGGTTTCCAGGAAGGTTACGCTTCCGCTTCAATGAACCACTGGGCGTGCCCGTGTTCTGAGTCTCCTCTTCCTTCTTCGCAACGCCGTCTGCGCCGCTGCCATCAGACGAGCTGCCGCCTCCAGCATCGTCGTCAAATTGGTTCGGTGGGAGCTGAATCGTCAGCGCCTTTGGAGGAAGCGACATTGAGCCTTGATTGTCCAAGATGATAGCTTAGATTGGAAAAGGTTGGTAGCGTCAACGGTGTTGCGGAAATCCTTTCGGAAGGACTCCAGATCTGAAAACACATCCAACACGGTAAAATAAATAAAAAAGGATATAATTAGGTAAAGAACATCGCGAAGCAACAATGCGAGACGCAGACACAAAGCACGAGTCTACTAGTATGTACAATGGGGACGGCCGGAAAGCGCAGGAAGCAACAGCAGATCAGAAACACGTATGAAGGTGCTCCGAAAGGCCATTGTGGATACATAAAAACCAACCATGGACATGGATACGACAGAGGTATGGGCGTACCAAATATCAATGGATGGGTGGAAGCCGCTTTGTCCAGCTTGTCAAGTTTGAACAAAGAAGGCCGAACAGCAAATTGGCTTATCTCTAGCTGGAATCGGATACTAGCGCAAACAGCAATCGGTACCAACAGGCAAGGGGTGGGCCCAAGGACGACGACAAGAACGGGAAAACAGCACAGGAAGAAGCCAGGAGTTCAGGACAGGAGGAAGACAGGACAGGACAGGACAGACGAACTTTGGCTCTCCTCGACCAGCCTCACAGCCTTTTGGCTGCTTCTCTAGCCCGCCCTCCTCCTGCGGCACAATGGCTTTTGATTTCACCGCACGCGATGGATGACCTCGAGGGCCTGCCCAAGCGCCGCCTGGCCACCTTGCGCCGAGGGTTTCGTTTTGAAGTGAGGAGTGCGCGGGGCTGGGGGAGTTCTGAAGAACCCGATGGTGTTGGAGTTTCTGCCCCTTGCCTTACGGTCACGGTAAAGGATCTTGAAGACCAATGGCAACGCAGAAACGACTGTTTTTTTACAGTTTCGAAGAAGGGTCAAGATCTCGATGCTCCTCTCTTCGGAGTTTTGCTAGGGAGGGAATCGAGATGGCGCAGAAATGGTGCGGATGGGATGCTGGTTGCGCGGAAGCCTGTGTTGCGGAGAGCTGTGTTGCGGAGAACTGTTTCGCCGCAGTGAGGAAAAGCGGGGTGGAGTTTCTAGGGAATGGGTTTTTGGCTTGGCCGACGATGGCCAACCAGGTGATTTACTGGAGAAATCAAGGTCTGATCGTACGGTAAATATCGTTTGACCCCAGCCTTATCGACGGTTCACGGCATGTTTTCGAAGTGATAAGGTTGGGCAGTCAAAGTGCAACCACTTGTTTCCTAGCAGCCAGCCTGATGCTGTTGCATGCAACCATACTGCCTCCTCCGCGAATCCAAGAAGGCTGCGAGCAGCCATGGCCATTGCGAAACCGACGGAGCAATGAGGGCAAGCAAAACAAAACAGAGTGACAGGTATCTTGTCGCCGACACCAAAGAAAGCGTCCAAATTCGTTCGTGTTGATGGAGCACATCGCACACTTGCAGTCGGAAAACGCCAAGCCTCGTTGAGAGTTTAGCGCACTGAGTTGGAAAATAAATCATCATTCAGCGATGACATCAAAAGAGCAGATGCTGTACAATCTTTTCAGCCAACACAAGGTCGAGCTATTGGGGCAATAGCTAATTTCGATGCCATCCAGACCATTTTTTGTGACTGAGAACTCTACCCCGTGTAGTTCGGGTCTGATGAGGAAAACTCTCATGTCCGACTTGAAAAAATATATTTTCATACAGCTCTGTTCTTTAGAATATTCCACCTGGTCACCCTTCGATTTCCACCACATGCTTGGGAGGCTGCCGCGTCCGAGCTGACAGAATTCGGACAAAAATGGGTGGCAGGGACACGCAAACATCCCGACTTGACACGAGACTACACCGTTACAAGCAGAATGGAACCACCAGACAAAACATATATACAACCATATTACACAAGAGAACTACAACTGCAAAAACAGAAATCACAACTGTGTGCGTTGCCGATTCCTTCGTGATGGCAGTGGTAGGGATACCCCTGCATTCATCAATACATCTAGAAGGTCCCACGATGGATCAATCTCTGGAGCATCATTCATCCGAGACACCGCTCCTGTGCTATCCTGCCTGCCCGTTCCTCGACCACCAGGTGATTCGTACAAATGCTGCCACCACTTCTTCCTGATTGGTGGAGGCGCAGAAGCAGGAGCAGAGCTGGCAACTGGAACATTTGGCGTGACAGGCGAAACTCTAGCCCTGGAACCACCCGCATCCTCACCACCAGTGGAGGCTCTCCTGGTATCCATGGCGCCACCTCCTGACACTGGTTCACCTAACGCTGGTTCCTCAGTCGTCCCTTCCTTGTGCCTACTCCTCCCTTCATGCTTCAGCCCACGTGCTCGCTTTCTTCCCTCACTTGCAACCTGCGGCCTTTCCTGTAAACCACCCTCCTCAGCATCATCAGCACAGCCCATGCCTTCCCCTGGAGTTGCTGTGGGTGTGTCAGCAGGGCTCCCAGTGCTCTTCCTCCTCCGCCCAACCACCACCACTTCAAACTCCAGCTCTTCTGCTGCTGAACCCTCACCCAATCTTGGCACCACCGCGCATCGGGACGACCTGAAGAGCACATCTCCATCCTTGGGAACGTCCTTCCCATAACTCCCATCCTTCCCCTGACTGTGCCTCCTGTTCTTTTCCTTCACCCTGCTCTCATCCTGAACGGCAGAACCTGGCCTTTTGTTGGCCCTGCCGAGCCCAGCAGCAATGGCTGCTGCCACCTCGCCGGCCATTTTGGAAGCTAGTGCCTCGGCGATCGTGTCAGCAGCTGCAGCGGTTACTCCCGGCACATCCACTGCCACTCTCGCTGACATGTCAATCTTTGAGATTTGCTTGCTGCGCTGTAAAGCCGCTGAACCTTTCGCAGCCGATGCTCTTTTTCCTTCCTCCTTCGCTCCAGCCTCTCCTGTTCCTCTGTTCTTCCCTCCCCTTGTCCCCCGCCCCTCAGATTCTGGCACTCCTCGTGCTCCCTCTCCTCCCCTTGCTTCCGTCCTGTCTTCAGGAACCACCGCCTCGTACTGCGTCTCACTCCCCGCACGGGCACCACTGTCAGCACCAGCCACGCCCCCCTGCTTCTCACGTACCTCAAAAGAGCTCCCCTCGCCGCCACGTGCACTGCCACTACCACGGCCAAGGACAGCCAAGCCCGTCTGTCCTGTCTGCCTGTCCTCCCCTGCGCTCTTCTCTTCACTCCGCCTCTTCCCAATTACTCCTACCTGCTCTCTCACCCATCCCCCCTCAACTGCTACTCTGGCTACCTCTTGTTCCCCCCCACCCACCACCCCTGTTGCCCCACCTCCCATCCCCCCCACATCCATTCTCACTCCCCCTCCCGTACCCCCCACTTCCACCACTATCTCCGCCTCCTCCTCACCTGCACCTCTCTCCCCTCCCCCTCCTCCTCCTCCTAGATCCACCCCCGGCTCACGGCCCACCAACAACCTCTCCCCTTCCTCATCCGCCTCCACTCCTTCCTCCTCCTCCTTCTCCTTCCCCCGCTCCCCCTCAGCTATCTCTTGAGCTCCATTCACCCCTCCCACACCAACCACCACCTCCGCTTCCTCTGAGCCCGCCTCATTCCCTTGTTCTGTGTCCGCCTCGTTCGCCTCCTCTGCCTGCTCCTCATGCCCTTCCTCCTCCTCCTGCATCTCCTGGGCAGCAACGCCATCTCTCTCCTGGGTTGCTGCGGGCGATTCTTGAGAATGCTCGGATGCTGCAGGAGACTCTTTATAATGCCCTGTTGTTGCAGCCGTATCTTGGGATCTATCAACAGAGATCTCCTGCACTTCAGCTCCATGTGTCTCCTGGGTGTCATATGCCTCTGTCCACTGCACGTTTTTCTCCTCCTGTGTCCTCAGCAATTCCGCCTCCTCTTCCCCGAGCGTCACCCCCACTGACTTTTGAGTCAACTCAGAAGTCAGCTTCTCAACAGACGTCTCCTGCACTTCATCTCCATGTGTGTCCTGAGAGTCATACGCCTCTGTCCACTGCGCGTCCTCCTCCTGTGCCCTCTGCGATTCCTCCTCCTCTCGCACTAGCACCACCCCCTCTGCGTCCTGTGTCTCCTCGTCAGCAGCAGCAACAGCTTCAGCAGTAGTAGCCGTAGTAGCAGCAGCTGCAGCAGTAGTAGCCGTAGTAGCAGCAGTAGTAGCAGCAGTAGCAGCAGTATCAGCAGTGGCTGTAGCAACATCAGCCCCTGTGGACGCAGCAGCAGCAGCAGCAGCAGGAACATCCCCGTCCCTCTCTCCTCTGTCTTCCTGCGATTCATAGCCACCTGCAGCGGCACCACCAGCACTCTCGCCCTCGCCACCACCAATGCCACCCCCGGCGTCGACACTGGAGGCACCAGAAAAGAGGCTCTTGGCAAAGCGAGTGAAAGTGCCGTAGACTGAACTTATACCCCCCAACCTCTCCGCCCTCCTCTTCTCCTCCATCTCTTTCTGCTCACGTTCTATTGCTGCCGCATTCCCCACCTCCTCTTCTCCCTCCGCCTCCTTTTCTCCCACCACCTCCTTTTCTCCCACCACCTCCTTTTCGCCCTCCGTCTCCTTCGCTCCCTCCACCTCCCTTTCTCCCTCCACCTCCCTTGCTCCCTCCACCTCCCCGTCGTTGACTGCATCACCATCCAGTGCCATGGGGACATCAGCAAAGGGAGCTGGTGACACATCCGCAAGGGCAGCAACAGAATCATCCGGGCCCACATGTATCGCATCCCCTGTTGGCTGCGTGTCAAACGACTTCTGAGGCGTCTCAAAAGTCATGGGGAAATCGGCTGAGGGAGCTCCTGGCACATCCGCAAGGGCAGCAGCAGCAGCAGAGTCATCCCCGTACACATGCATCACATCCTTTGTCTGTTGCGTCTCAAACAAACCCTCCTCTGCCCCATCTTCTGGCAGCCACGCCTCAAACGTCGGCTTCACACCCGCTTCTGCCATCTCCACATCATCCCCTCCCTCGCCATCGCTACTCGCCTGCTCGCGTTCCTTCTCCTCCTCCATCGCCGGACTCACAGGGCTGCCTGCTTCTCCTTCCACATCAAGGTGAGCAGCAGCCTTCAAGCCAAAGTCGCCATCCTCAGCTTGGACTGAGCTTGCAGGCTGCACATGAGCCTGTACTGCGTCCCCTTCCTCCTCCTCCTCCTCCTCCTCCTCCTCCTCCTCCTCCTCCTCCTCCTCCTCCTCCTCCTCCTCCTCCTCCTCCTCCTCCTCCTCCTCCTCCTCCTCCTCCTCCTCCTCCTCCTCCTCCTCCTCTGCGGCTTCTCTTCTCCGCCCCGTAACCTCCTCCGCCTCCTTCCTCTCCTCCGCCCCTTCGGTTCCTTCCACCTCGTTCCCCTCACCTCCCTCCTCCGTCTCCTTCCTTTCCCCTCCCTCCTCCGTCTCCTTCCTTTCCCCTCCCTCCTCCGTCTCCTTCCTTTCCCCTCCCTCCTCCGTCTCCTTCCCCTCGCCTCCCTCCTGCCCCTCCTTCACTCCCACAGCCAACTCCACTCTCCCTCCGTCCTCGTCTTTCCCATCCGCAGCTTCTTCCTCTCCCTCTCCTACCCCTGCCCCCTCCCCCTCACCCCTCTCTGTCTCGCGTCCCACCAGTCCGCCACTACCCCCTTTACCTTCTCTCCCCAACTCCACACTTGATGCACCCCGCTCTCCAATCTGCACCTCTACTGCCCCAACGACCCGCTCCCCTTCCTTCCCTCCACCCCTTCCCTCCCTCGTGCTCGTTTCCTCTCCACCCACACCCACTCCTGCACACTTATCACTTAGCTCCTCTTCCCCTCGCCTGCCCTCTCCCCCCCCATCTTTCGCTCCCGTCCTTTCGCCTTCCCTCCCCACGTGGCCCTCTCTAGTTCCCTCTTCACCTATCCCATCGCCCTCATCCCCGTTATCAGTTGCTGTATTACCCTGTTTGTCTGCACCTCCCACGTCCCCGTTACTATCTGCTGCACTACTGTCCTTCACCACCTTCCCCTCTTCGGCCCCATCCAGCTCAGCAGCACTATCCTCTTCATTCCCATAAGAAGCAGCTGCGTTATTGTCCCTGTCCCCCATAGAAGCAGCTGCATTATCGTCCTTGTCCCCCATAGAAGCATCTAAATTATTGCCCTTGTCCCGCATAGAAGCAGCTGCGTTATCATCCTTGTCCCCCATACAAGCAGCTGCATTATCGTCCTTGTCCCCATGGCCCAGCCTGTGAGCGTGGTCAGCAGGCAGGGGGAAGAGGTCGGCAGAGTCTGGAAACTCTTGAGTCACGGGCTGAACGCTGCTGCACCTGCGCACATGCCAGTCAGGGGAGGAAAGGAGGGTGCACAGGAGTGCAAGGCCGCATGGGTTGAGCGCAAGGTTTGGCATGATCAGTCAAGAAGGAAAGGAAGAGGTCAGCAGAGTCTGGGAACTCCTGAGTCACGGGCTGAACGCTGCTGCACCTGCACACACACATGCCAGTCAGAGGAGAACAGGAGGATGCACAGGAGTGAAAGGCCGCAAGGGTTAAGCGCAAGCTTTGGCATGATCATTTAAGACGGAGGGGAGGAGGTCAGCTGAGTGGGAACTCCTGAGTCACGGGCTGAATTCTGCTGCACCTGCACGCACGCTAGTCAGAGACAGGGCACGATGGTGCAAGTGCAAGAGGGGAACGACGCATGGGTCAAGTCGAGCAAGTTCGTGCATGATCCGATGAGCCGTGCAGCCCATGGAGAGCAAGGCAAGGCGGCAGGCAGAGACAGGGAGAAGAAGCGTTGTCGCAGCCACCCGCAGTGGCGCTATTGGGTTGGATAAGAGATGGTTCGAGGAAGAACATGGATTGCACGGCAGTGCATGCAAGGCATAAGTGAATGCGTGCAACACGTGAGAGTGAGTGCAACATGGGATGTGAGCATTGCATGCAAGGGTTGTGTCATGTGGTTGCCGAACTCACCCGAACGACCCATAGCTATCAGTGGACAGCCAGCGAGCCTCCTCTGCAGGACCCTCATCCACCGCCACGTCAGAAGCAGGCTCACCGGCCACGTCAGCAACGGGCACTCCAGCCACGTCAGCACCAGGCCGTTGAGCCGCACCATCAGCACGAAGGCAAAAAGTGTCAGTGGCAGGCTCAGGAAGAGCGGCTGAAGCTGCAGCAGTAGGGGCGACTGCAGCAGCAGGTGTAGCATCATCTGCAGCATCAGGTGTGGCAGGAGCTGTAGCATCGGCGGCTGCTGTAGCTGCATCAGGAACGGCAGCGGCAATCACTGAATCTCTCTCAACAGTTTCCTCTGATACCTGCACAGACCCAACAATGAGGAAAGCAAAACTTGATTTTTGGATAAAAACATTTCTCTGCACACTTCTCTTCACAGCTCACAGCACACCCCTCTGCACAGCTCACAGCACACCCCTCTGCACAGCTCACAGCACACCCCTCTGCACAGCTCACAGCACACCCCTCTGCACAGCTCACAGCACACCCCTCTGCACAGCTCACAGCACACCCCTCTGCACAGCTCACAGCATACCCCTCTGCACAGCTCTCTCGCAGCACAGCACACGCTCTGCATGTAGCACACACCTGCTGCGGCACATCCATGCCTTCCGGTCCCTGTGCACGCTCGCGCAACGCACCCTCCGCGTCACCATGAGCGTTAGCTTCAGCATCAGCATCAGCATCAGCATCGGCATTGGTCTCGGCATGGGCATAAAGGTTGGCCTGCGCATGGGCATCGGAGCCTGCGTGCTCGTCCTCTTCGTGCTGCTGCAGGCTGAGCAGACGCACGTCTGGCGATAGGTGGCCGTGCATATCGGGTGATAGATGTGCGTGCATGTCCGCATCCATGGAGCACGGCTGCGAGTGCAACCCGCACGCACTCTCACCACCATCCACACCTCCGAACCCGATGCCGGCATCAGGGTGGGCTGTCGTGTGAGTGTGCGTGTTAACGTCAGTGTCAGCATCAGCATGGGCTGAAATGTGAGAGTGTGTGCTAGTGTCAGTGTCAGCATCAGTGTGAACAGTGCATGCTTCCCTTGCTCCTCCGCCTTCTGCTGCCATCCCATCCCTCTCATCCCCTTCTTCCACCCCTCCCGGACCGCTCACTTCCTCCTCACCACCTGCCGCAGCTGCACCGGGCCTCCTCGTCTCCTGTCCTCTACCAGCTCCAGGTTCGGCAGCAGGCTCGGGTACAGGCACAGGAGGAGGCACTGCAGGTGGGTAGGCGGCGAATGGCTGGATATCCGGCTTAATGTCTTGGGAGATTAGCTGTGAGAAGTCCTGGGATAGAGCTCCTTGCGGCGAGACTGGCTGGCTGTTCTGCCACGTCAGGTCTATGGCGTCATCGTGCCAGTCTGGCATGGCCACGTCATCGGAAGGGACCTCCACCGTCACACCCTCCCAACCTGTTAGCGAGAAAGGAGGAGGTTAGGGAGGGGAGCGGGGGGGGGGCGCGTGTGGGAAAGTGGGGGGAGGGGATATGCCGGGGAGGGGGCGAAGGGGGGGAAGGGAGGGCGTGGTGCACTGAAGAACGACACTGGCGTGGTCATGGAGCACGAAAGGAGGCCTGAAAACAGAAATAAGGATGTTTGCCTAGGAAGCACCGGTTGTAAGTTGACTGCTGGCGTGGTTGACAAGTCACGGCAAATCCATGACGTGAATTTCTCGAACAGGCGTAGCTAAGGCGTGGTTAATGGGTCATTCATATGCTTGCCTTCTTGCAGATGCAGTGCCTCCTCCTGCGACGTGCTCACTAACGCGTCCTCCAGCACCTGACAGAGGCCATGGAGGAAACATGACGACCGGGGCGTACAACGAAAATGGAAATGCAAATCCACGACCAAAATTTAGAAATAAAAATAACCAGATGATGGAGGTATACCGAACTGAAGTGTCGCACAGGACGGAACAGGAAAGATAACGTTAGCAAGCAAAGAAGCGGTCTCAAAGACGGGCCAACTGACCTGATCGACTTGCATCTCAACCTCTTCGCTTGAATCATTCTGGCGGGGATTTTCTCCTTTCTCGCCGTTCGGCTGTGAATCCATCCCAGATGCGCCTTCGTCTCGACCATCCCTCTGAGATTCCAGGCCCGTAACCTCTTGGTTAGCGTCGGCCTCCCTTCCTTCCGGCTCTGTCGAATCCGGAATACGCTGGTCACCATCGCGAAGGTTTGTTTCGTCTAAGCTTTCACCTGGATCACCCTCGTGGTTACTTAACGCAGCCATACGGTTTGTCGGAAACCGAAGCTTCGAATACGCTCAGACAAAAGTAAGATTTGTACGGGATCGTAACGATAGGCACCAGGGAATTTGCTCGGATCAGGAATGAATGAGCCTGCTTGTCCAAGCTCATTCCCTGAAAATATGGAACCATTTGGAGTACTTTTTTGCCGTTGCAGTTGCTACTGTACGGTTGTGAATAGTTTTCCCGCTTGTTTGATGGGTCAGAAACTGTTTGGTGTAGATATTGCAAGGTAATGAGGGGTTTCCGGAATGAGGGGTTGGGCTGGGTTGGGATCTTTGGAGAATCGAAACATCGGGTTCTCCACCTCGTGAATCCTCACCTTGGGATTAGACACATCCTGAACTCTGACACAACTCTTCTGGCTGATCACGAAGGCATAGCTTGGTTCTTTGGTTCACCAACCGTCTCGCCTGCACGACTTTAGGAACAACCTGCTTTCTTAACTTCCAAGATCCGTCCGCTACGATAGTATGCGTCACGTAGACATGAGCAGCGAGCCGTTTACAGTCTCCGTTGCTGATGACGTGGCGCTAGCGGACGTTGAGCACTGGCTGTTGTTCGACGAAGCCGTTCTGCCTCATCCTCCGCCTTCCAGCGACGACTCTCATTCGCTGACGCAACTTTTCTCAGATTTACCGTTTATTCCCTCAGATCCGTCACTCGCTTTCTTGACAGACGACCATGCTCCTGTAGTTGATGCGTATATAGGAGACACTAACGCAGACTATGCTCCTACACGCGATGCTCCCGCTAACCAGGGCGAAGTTAGTCCAGAACTGCGATTGGATTATTTATTCGGAGGGCTCACGGAGAGGTGGACTCTACCTGCTTCGGATGGCGGAGATATCATACGACAAACAGACACGCGCGAGGCGTGTACGGATGGACCCGGTGAAGCATGTCCGATTATATCAAGCTTCGCGGATTTCGTCGATACGCGCGACTCAAGCGGCGTGAACCACAGCCATGGCTCTGCCACGCCCGAGGATGGCCGAGTAGAGAGGGTCGAATTCTTGCGTCTGGGGACGAGGTATGTCCCGGACGCAGGAAACGTTTTTGCAGCCAGCAGTTTAGACACGTGCCTGCCAGAACAGGCTGGTCCGTCCACGTGGCTTCCTGATCCACCTCGGAATGCAGAGGGGGAATTAGAACAAGGTTTGTCTGCCACGTCAGCATCCGTTCTGCGCGCATTGCAGCTTGATGGTTCCAGTTCGCAGGTGCTGACCTTCGAGGAATCTTCGGACAGGCTCTTCGCGGCGACAGCGCCAGCGACTTTTCAGATCGCGAGGGGGCACTGGGAGCAGGGGCAGCGTGAGCAAGCACACAGGGCGCAGCTGCTGTTGCCAGAACAGGAGGAAGCGCAGAATCTGCTGCTAACGCCGCAACAGTCGCAGCAGCGGAAGCAGCAGCAGTCACAGCAACAGTCGCAGCAGCGGAAGCAGCAGCAGTCACAGCAACAGTCGCAGCAGAAGTCGCAGCAGCAGTCGGAGCAGCAGTCGCAGCAACAGTCGCAGCAGCAGTCGCAGCAACAGTCGCACCAGCAGTCGCACCAGCAGTCGCACCAGCAGTCGCTGCAGCAGAAGAAGCAGCAGTCGCAGCAGCAAAGGCGAGACCACGATCCAGGCGAGCAGGAGCAGCAGCAGCAGGGACCCCGTCAGTCTAGCATACCCGCCAGCACGCATCCTTTCCCCTCCGCCATCCATGCCCGTCCCTCTCCGCCCCATCGCTCCTCCCCCGCCCAGCGCCCCTCTCCTTTCCTCGGCGGTGATATAGGAGTGGGTGGACTCAGAGGGCCTTCCGCCGACCCTCCCTCCGCTCTGCCCCCGCGCAAGCTGCCTCGGCGCCCACCGGACCTCTCCTCCCGCCTCGCCGCCGTGCTGCAAAACATCAACCCCCCCCGCCTTGCGCCCTTCCCTGGGCAACCCCTCCCCTTCTCGCCCAAGCCGGGCCTTCCTTCTCCTGCCACGCCCGCAGCTCCCACCTCGCCTGCAGCTCCCGCTGCCACTGCGTCTACCACTGCAGCTCAGTCGTTTCCTGTGCTGGCATCCTCCACAGCAGCAGCAGCAGCAGCAGCAGCCATTCCACCAGCACCAGGAGTAGTCGCACAAGCAACAGCAAGAACAGCAGCAGTAGCAGCAGCAGCAGTAGCTTCCGCAGTGTCCTCTTTACAGGCGCCAGCGAGCAGGCTCGTGGTTGGTGAATGTCGGGGAGGCGCGCGTTCTTTTATGGGCTCTACACTGCCCTCCTCTGCTGCTCGCACGAGCGACGCTGCTGCTTATGGATATGACCAGCGAGTGCAATGGCCAGCATACTATTCGCAACAAGAGAATTGTCATCAGCTGCAACCACTGCAGCTCCCGCCGCAGCGACAGCAGGAGAGAAATTTGCAGTGGCAGAATCAGCATCAGCTGCTGCAGCAGCAGCAGGAGGCAGGAGCAGCAGCAGCAGCAGCAGCACGGAACAATGTGGACAGCAATGCACTTGACAGAATTTGCCTCCTTACGGCGCACAGCAACCCTTTAAGCACGGCCCTGGACAGTGCAGATAACCGCGCAGCAAGCAGGGCGTCCCTCCCCGTTCCCCACATTGCTGCATTCGGCCCCGAGAGGCCTCTGCGAGTGGATGTGTCGGGCATGCTGCCGCAGTCCGTATGTGGCGCGAGGGAGGGCATGCTGAAGCAACAGCTCATGGCTCTCGCTGAAGCCATGGCCGTTGGTGACTCGGTGCGTGGGGCGTGTGTCAAGTGGGGGTGGGATGAATAGTCCAGAACCAGGCATGGCTTGTGTGGAGTGGGGAGTGGGTTGCCTAGTCAAGCAAGGCATGGCTTGTGTTCGTTGTCTCCTGCTGATGCATGGTTGAGCAAGAGTTGCAGTGCACTACTTCAAGTCTTTTTCTCCTCCTTTCTTCTTCCCCTCCCCTACCTCATTTCATCCCCTCCCCACCTCATTTCATCCCCTCCCCACCTCATTTCATCCCTTCCCCCACCTCATTTCATCCCCACCCCCACCTCACTTCTTCCCATTCCGCACCTCATTTCATACCCTCCCCCACCCTCCCCCACCTCACTTCTTCCCATTCCGCACCTAATTTCATCCCCTCCCCCATCTCACTTCCTCCCATTCCGCACCTCATTTCATCCTCTCCCCCAGCTCACTTCCTCCCCAGCTCAACCCTCACCAGGCGCACTCGCGTGCAAGCTGGAGCCAAAGGGATCTGCTCACTCACACACCTCTCCCCTTGTCTTCATTCCCCCCCATTCCTTCCTTCTCCCCTTCCCGGCCTTCTCCCTGCCTCCCTTGCCCCGCCCCTACCCACCAGGTGCGCTGGCGGCACTGCATGCGCCATGTTCTCCTTTCCAAACGCCCTGCTGTCGCAACACTGGCTAATCATCCCTTCAACCAAAACCCTACCCCACCAGGTGCGGTGGCGGCACTTCAAGCACCAGGTGCTCGTATTGAAAAGCACTTTGATGTCTCATCAATATCTGACCCATCCCCACTCTTTCGTACCAAACCCCTACCCCACCAGGTGCGGTGGCGGCAGTGCATGCGGCAGGTGCGGAGGGAGGCAGCAGCGGGGGGAGACACGCTGCAGCGCATCGCCTTCCACGCGCTGGAGGCGCTGCAGGCGCGCATGGATGGCACCGCGCTCACTCGCTGGCAAGCCCCCTTGAAAGTCACCCTTCAGGTACATCCTTTCCGCACTCCCCACCTTCCCCTCTCCCCATCTTCCCCACCTCACCACCTTCCCCTCTCCCCATCTTCCCCACCTCCCCACCTTCCCCACTCCTCCTCTCCCCCCTCCCCCACATGTCATGCCATGTGGCCGATGCATGCCACGTGTCCACTGCATGTCATGTGCCCCATGCATGCCGTACGTCCCATACATCCCATCCATCCCTTCCATCCCATGCCTCCCATCCATCCCATCCATCCCACATTCCATGTGAGCAGGATTTGATGGCAGCGATGGGCCACGGCAGCGAGCATGGGATGCCGACATTCATGCACCTCGCCAACATTGCAGCCGTGCACGAAATCGTTCACGCATTCACCCACCAACCACACGCACACGCGCGCACACACCCACGCCCACATGCACACACACACCCACACACACACTCACACACACAGAGCCGCCCCACACACACCTCCACCACCCACGGCCATGCTCCCCATTCCCCTGCCAGCCACCCACACACTCCGCACGCCCCTGCTCCACCCCCACAGCCTGCCTCATTCCCTGCCTCTGCCCCGGCCTCTGCCGGCCACTCCGTGCGGCGGCGGCGGCTGCACATCATAGCCATGGGATTCTACGGCGGGCCGCACTGGGTCAACATCTTCTTGCGCCTCGCTGCCCACTTTCCCCCCACCCCCCTCTCCCGTGCTGCTGCCACCAATGGGGATGCACCTGTGGCAAGCAGCAATAGCTCCACCAGCAGCGGCAACAGGAGCGGCAGCAGTGCTAGCACGCACCCCACAACCCCCCCCACACCTCTTTTACACGCTACCCCCCCGCCCCGCCCCATGGCCCACGTGAAAATCACAGCCGTTGATTTCGGGATCGTCAAAGTGGAGGAAAATCCGACGGGCCTGGTGCATCTGGGGGGGCGGTACCTGGAGCAGGTCGCATCAATGCTCGGGCTCTCCATGTCGTTCCACGGCATAGGAACAAACCTGCACGACTTCCACCCATCACAAGTGGAGGTGGATGAGGGCGAGGAGGTAGTGGTGCTGGCCAATTGGGGCCTCATGGTCTTCCCAGACGACACAGTGCTTCGCTCCAACCCCCGCAACACGATTCTCAAGTGGATCCGCGACCTGCGCCCGCTGCTCCTCCTGCAGGTAGACATTGATCTCGACGCCAACGGCCCCTTCTTTCTCTCGCGCTTCCACGCCGCATTCGCCAACTTCGCGGCGTGTGTCGAGTCGTTTGATGCTTCCATGCCACACTCCACCACGTCACGCTTCATCGTGGAAAGCATCCTGGCGCGGGACTTTATAAATGGAGTCGCATGCGAGGGCATGAACAGGTGGCTGCGGTCGGAGCGGCTCGAGAAATGGGTGCATCGGATGAGAGCGGTGGGGCTGGAGCCGGTGCCGATAGGGCCGGACACAGTGGCGGCTGGGAGGGAGGCCACGGAGGGGAGGGACAAGAGGTTCCGGCTGGAAGTGCATGGTGAGAGCGGCGCCCTGCAGCTCAGCTGGCGCGGCGTGCCCTTGATCTTCGTGGCCGCCTGGAAATAGCTTGGAGGCAGTGTTAAAAGCTGCAGCGCCCCAATGATCTTTGTAACCGTGTGGAGATGAATCTGCGATCCAAAGTGCTCTGATCCGCAACTTTGAGGGGCAATGGCAAGGTCAGCATCGCGTTCAGGAAGACGGGACTTATCAAACCAGGGTATGGTAGGTCCGGGCCGGTTGATGTGCCTCTTAATCTCCACATTCCTGCATTTGAACCGTCTTGCCCTATTTTTGCACTTGTTTCTCGTGCTTAACGTTTTGCATTTGCTTGTGGCTGTTCATCTTGCCTCCTTCCCTTTTTCCTTGTGGGAACCCCCTTTTGAGTGTGTTCATAACCCATGCTGTAAGCCAGCCTATGACAGGGTTCTGTGATAAGCAAGCTGCGACAACTGATCCTTCGAGCAACTCCAAAAACTCTTCAATTATGTATTGGAATGACTTGACCAAACATTTGATGTCAAATGGACAAGCATTTGTGTTTAGTGCAAATGGCAAAGAAACTGATGTTTTCCAGCATTAGCCTGGGTCAACCAACATATTCTGCTCGGTAGTGTTGTACGTGTCAAACGAAGCATAGTTCTTAACGGGGATTCACACCTCCGGAATTCATCACTTTCCGGGAATTCACACCTCGGCAGCCTCAAGAAACTACCAGGGAACCTTAGGAATCCCAAGTTGGCTTGGGATGCACACCTCGCAAATTCAGGACGCGGCACCTCTAGGGAGGAAGCCACGATCGATCCTGAGTGGGGATCTATCCTGCCTTGTACAGTGAAATCGCGACATCGCCAACAGGCTGGTATCCGTCTTCGCCCCACCTCGCAAGTGTACAGTAAATTGGTGCCCAAAATGGTGGCACCTCTGGCTCGCACGATCGATGTGCCAACGCCCACACATCGATCGTGAAATTGTGGAGATCGGGCAATTTTGCCCCATGTATTTTCGAACCTGTCACCTGTGGCTCGGTGTGTCCAGGCGATTGCAAATCTGCAGTGTGGACACATCGGTATGCGGGTCGATGTGCCTAAACCGGTGTGAGGCCCCGATCCCCCACCGATCCTGACAATTTCCCTAGAGGTGCCGCGTCCTCACACAAATGCAGCTTTTTGGACCCCATGCCCACATCTCCATGCACCTTTCAGCTCCTACGGGTGCTGGAGGAAACCTTTCCTCCAACTCCCCGTGTTGGAGGAAACCTGTTGGAGGAATGAGCTGGCAAGCTGACCGCGGGCAGAAAAAAACTAAATCCCAACGCGACCGGCATGCCGTTAGGGAGCCTCAACCCTAAAATTTCAGGGTTTAGGCTCCCGAAGGCATGCCGTTCGCGATGGGGTTTATTTTTTTCCTTGCCCGCGTTCCGCTTGCTTGCTTTCATACCATAGGTTAGTTTGGCAAACTCCCTCCATAACTGATCACGTAGGCATAAGTTGGCTCCTTCCCTGCTGATCGTCTCGTCTGCACAACTATGGGATACAACCTGCTGCTTATAACCTGCAAGATCCGACCGCTGCTAAACATTCTGTCACGCAGTCATGAGCGGCGAGCCGGTCACAGTCTTAGTCGCTGATGACTTGGCGCCAGCGGACGTTGAGCATTGGCTGTCGTTCGACGAAGCCGTTCTGCCTCATCCTCCGCCTTCCAGCGACGACCCTCACTTGCAGACGCAAGGTTTCCTGGAGTTGCCGTTTACTACCTTAGATCCGTCACTCGCGTTCCTGATACGCGATGATGCTCCGATAGGTGATGCGTATACAGGAGATGCTAACGCAAACTGTGTTCGCATACGCGATGATCCCGATAACCGAGTCGAAGTTAGTCCGAAATTGCGATTGGATGATTTACTTGGAGATCTGACGGCGAGGGGGACTCCACCAGATTCGGATGGCGTAGATCCCGTACGACAAACAGAGACGTGCGAGGCGTGTATGGATGGATTCGGTGAAGCAGATGCGATTATAACGAGTTTTGCGGATTTTATAGATGCGTGGGACTTCAGTGGCGTGAGCCATAGCCATGACACTGCCGCGCCTGAGGACGGCGGAGTAGAAAGGGTTGAATTTTTGCGTCCGGGGGCGAGGTATGTCCCGAACGCAGGAAACGTTCTTGCAGCCAGCAGTTTAGACACGTGCCTGTCAGAGCAAGCTGATCCGTCCACGTGGCTTCCTGATCCACCTCGGAATGCTGAGCGGGGATCAGAACAAGGTTTGTCTGCCACGTCAGCTTCCGTTCTGCGCGAATTGCAGCCTGATGGTTCCGGTTCGCAGGTGCTGACCTTCGAGGAAGCTTCGGACACTCTGTTCGCGGCGACAGCGCCAGCGACTTTTCAGATCGCGAGGGGCCACTGGGAGCAGGTGCAGCGTGAGCAAGCACTGAGGGCGCAGTTGCTTCCGCCAGAGCAGGAGGAACCGAATAATCAGTTGCTGACGCCGCTGCAACAGTCGCAGCAGCAGCCGCAGCCGCAGTCGCAGCAGCAAAGGCAATATTACGATCCAGGCAATATTACGCAGCAGCAGCAGGATTTTCTCCAGTTGAGCTTACCTGCCAGCACTCCCTCCGCCGTCCATGCCCGTCCCTCTCCCCCACAGCGGTCCTCCCCCGCCCAGCGCCCCTCGCCCTCCTTCGGGGGTGATGTAGGAGTGGGCGGGCTCAGGGGGCCTTCCGCCGTCCCTCCCTCCGCTCCGCCCCGGTGCAAGCTGCCTCGGCGCCACCCGGACCTCTCCTCCCGCCTCGCCGCCGTGCTGCAAAACATCAACCCGCCGCGCCCTGCGCCCTCCCCCTGGCGAACCCCCTCCAGCTTGCCCAATCCGGGCCTCCCTTCTGCTGCCACGCCCGCAGGTCCCACTGCCACTGCGTCTACCGCTGCAGCTCGGTCGTTCCCCTTGTTGGGATGCTCTGCAGCACCAGCAACACCCATTCCACCAGCACCAGCAACAGCAGCAGCAGCAGCAGCAACAGCGATTGCGACAGACACACCAGCAACAGCAACAGCAACAGCAACAGCGCCAGAAACAGCAGCAGCAGCAGCAGCAGCAGCAGCAGTGGCGGTAGCAGTAGCTTCTACAGTGTCTTGCATACAGGCGTTTGAGAGTAGGCTCGTGGTTGGAGGCAGTCGGGGAGACGCGAGGTCTTTCATGGGCTCTACACTGCCCCCCTCTGCTGTCCGCACCAGCTACGCTGCTGCTTCTAGATATGACCAGCGAGTGCAGTGGCCAGCAACCTTTTCAGACAACACTGCACTTCGCAAAATCCGCGTCTGTGAGGTATACAGCGATCCACTGAGCACTGATCCGGACGGTGAAGAGATTTGTGCCCTTAGTGCAACAAGCAGGGCGTTGGTTGCCGCCCCAAACATTCCTGAATTCGGCCCCGAGAGGCCCCTGCGAGTGGATGTGTCAGGCATGCTGCCACGGCCCATGTGTGGCGCGAAAGAGGGCATGCTGAAGCAGCAGCTCTTGGCTCTTGCTGAAGCCATGGCTGTTGATGACTCGGTACGTGGGGCTCGTGGGGGATGGCATGGCTTGTGTCACGTGGGGGGTGGGGTGAATAATCAATAACCAGGCATGGCTCGTGTTCCTTGGCTCCTCCTGATGCATTGTTGAGCAAGAGCTGCAGTGCACTGCATTGTTGAGCAAGAGCTGCAGTGCACTGCATTGTTGAGCAAGAGCTGCAGGAGGAGCCAAGGAACACAAGCCACGCCAAGGAACACAAGCCATGCCAAGGAACACAAGCCATGCAAAGGAGCACAAGCCATGCCAAGGAGCACAAGCCATGCCAAGGAACACAAGCCATGCCAAGGAGCTGCAGCGCACTACTTCAACTCTTGTTCTCTGCCTTACTCCTTCCCGTCCCCCTCCTCATTTCATCCCCTCCCCCACCTCACTTCCTCCCCAGCCTATCCCTCGCCATGCACGCTCGTGAGCTGCAACCTAACGGACGTGTAGGAGGTGTCGTCGTACCTGAAGAAGGTTGGCTACAGCCCCGACAAGATTCCCTTCGTGCCCATCTCCGGTTTCGATGGTGACAACATGATTGAGCTCACTCACACACCTCTCCGCTTCCCCCACTTCCCCCTCGTTCCTCTTTCTCCCCCTCTCGGCCTTCCCCCTGTCTCTCCTGCCTCCCACCACAACCCCACCAGGTGCGGTGGCGGCAGTTCATGCGGCAGTTGCGGAGGGAGGCGGCAGCGGGGGGGGACACGCTGCAGCGCATCGCCTTCCACTCGCTGGAGGCGCTAGAGGCGCGCATGGATGGCACCGCACTCACTCGCTGGCGCTCCCCCTTGAAGATCACCCTTCAGGTACTTTCCCTCCTGTCTCCTCACCTTCCCCCAACCCCACCTACCTCCCTCCCCTCTTCCCTCCCTCTCCCCTTTCGCCCCTCTCCTTTTTCCCCACATCCCCACCTCCCCACCTCCCCTCCTCCCCCCTTTCCTCCCTCCCCCGTTTGACCAACCCTGGTTCCCCACCCCAGCGAACGTTGTTTGACATCTCTATGTGTATATGTATCAAGATGTGGGTTTACTCACACACACACACACACACACACACACACACACACACACACACACACACACACACACACACACACACACACAACATGTACTTAGTTTTTGTTTCTTTTGGCACGTCCCCTTTCCTGTCAGGCACTGTCTGTGCTGATTTACAGTGTTTCGTGCATGCTATGTGTCCCATCCATTTCACTCATGCCATGTATCCCATTTATGCCATGCATCCCATTTATGCCATGCATCCCATTTATGCCATGCATCCCATTTATGCCATGCATCCCATTTATGCCATGCATCCCATTTATGCCATGCATCCCATTTATGCCATGCATCCCATTTATGCCATGCATCCCATTTATGCCATGCATCCCATTTATGCCATGCATCCCATTTATGCCATGCATCCCATTTATGCCATGCATCCCATTTATGCCATGCATCCCATTTATGCCATGCATCCCATTTATGCCATGCATCCCATTTATGCCATGCATCCCATTTATGCCATGCATCCCATTTATGCCATGCATCCCATTTATGCCATGCATCCCATTTATGCCATGCATCCCATTTATGCCATGCATCCCATTTATGCCATGCATCCCATTTATGCCATGCATCCCATTTATGCCATGCATCCCATTTATGCCATGCATCCCATTTATGCCATGCATCCCATTTATGCCATGCATCCCATTTATGCCATGCATCCCATTTATGCCATGCATCCCATTTATGCCATGCATCCCATTTATGCCATGCATCCCATTTATGCCATGCATCCCATTTATGCCATGCATCCCATTTATGCCATGCATCCCATTTATGCCATGCATCCCATTTATGCCATGCATCCCATTTATGCCATGCATCCCATTTATGCCATGCATCCCATTTATGCCATGCATCCCATTTATGCCATGCATCCCATTTATGCCATGCATCCCATTTATGCCATGCATCCCATTTATGCCATGCATCCCATTTATGCCATGCATCCCATTTATGCCATGCATCCCATTTATGCCATGCATCCCATTTATGCCATGCATCCCATTTATGCCATGCATCCCATTTATGCCATGCATCCCATTTATGCCATGCATCCCATTTATGCCATGCATCCCATTTATGCCATGCATCCCATTTATGCCATGCATCCCATTTATGCCATGCATCCCATTTATGTCATGCATCCCATTTATGCCACGTGTCCCATGTGAGCAGGATTCGGTGGCAGTGTTGGGCCACGGCGGCGAGCATGGAGTGCCGGCATTCATGCACCTCGCCAACATTGCAGCCATGCACGAAATAGTCCGCGCATTCACCCACCAATCATGCGCACACACACACCCAAATAGTCCACACCCCCATACTCCTCCCCTCCCCCTGGCGGCCTCTTTCCCTGCCTCTGCCTCTGCCTGCCACTCCGTGCGGCGGCGGCGGCTGCACATCATAGCCATTGGACTTTACGCCGGGCCGCACTGGATCGAGATCTTCATGCGCCTCGCTGCCCACTTCTCCTCAACTGGGGGAGGTGCGGCCACAGATGCACCTGTGCCAGGCAGCAATAGCTTTACCAGCAGCAGCAGCAGTGGTAGCACGCACCCGACAACCCCCCCCACACCTCTTTCACATGCTACTCCCCCCTCCCGGCCCACGGCCCATGTGAAAATCACAGCCGTTGATTTTGGGTTCGTCAGTCTGGAGGAGTATCCAACAGGCCTGGTGCATCTGGGGGGGCAGTACCTGGAGCAGGTGGCATCTATGCTCGGCCTCTCCCTGTCGTTTCACGGCATGGAAACCACCCCACACGACTTCCACCCGTCGCAAGTGGAGGTGGATGAAGGGGAGGAGGTGATAGTGCTGGCCAATTGGGGCCTCATGGTCTTTCCAGACGACACAGTGCTTCGCTCCAATCCCCGTAACGCAATTCTCAAGTGGATTCGCGACCTGCGCCCGCTGCTGCTCCTCCAGGTAGACGCTGATCTAGATGCCAACGGGCCCTTCTTCCTCTCGCGCTTCCACGCCGCGTTCGCCAACTTTGCCGCGCTCATCGAGTCCTTTGATGCCTCTATGCCGCACGCCGCCACGCAGCGCTTCGTAGCGGAGTCCATCCTCGCGCGGGACTTTATAAACGAGGTGGCATGCGAGGGCATGAACAGATGGCTGCGATCGGAGCGGCTCGAGATGTGGGTGCATCGGATGAAAGCAGTGGGGCTGGAACCCGTACCTTTAGGGCCGGACACAGTGGTGGCTGGGAGGGAGGCCACGGAGGGGAGGGACAAGAGGTTCCGGCTGGAAGTGCATGGTGAGAGCGGCGCCCTGCAGCTCAGCTGGCGCGGCGTGCCCTTGATCTTCGTGGCCGCCTGGCGATGAGCCTGGAGTCGGGCTCACAAGCTGCAGCGCCTCGATGATTGTTGTGGCCGCCTGGCCCCAATGATCGTTCTCACCCGCAACTTGGCAGTGCAATGGCAAGGGCGGCATAGCCAAGCTCAGGAAGACAGGTCTTATCAAAGCAGGGTAGGTTCAGGCCAGTTCATGTCCCTGTTAACCTCCACACCCCTGCATGTCAACCTTCTTGCCCTATTTTTGCACATGTTTCTTTTGCTTAACGTTTTGCATTTGCTTGTGCGTGTCCATCGTGCCTCCCTTGCTCCCTTTCCTTTTTCCTTGTAGGAACCTCCACTTGAGTGTGCTAAGACTAATCTTGCACGTATGCCATCGTAACTGTTGCTGCAGGTTTCATAGTCTGTGCTGCATGCAAGCCATCGCATGTCGAGCTGTATGATAAGCACGCAGCGATCCATCCCTCCAGCGACTTGGAAAACTCTTTAATGATGTCCTGGAACGACGTTGACCAAACATTCGACGCCGTCCCACGAATGTCAAATGGACAAGCATTTTTTTGAAGTGCTAACACCTGGTCTAGGAAGGAGGAATTGAAGTGGGAAAGAGACTGATGATTTCCTACATTTGCTGCTTCATCAGGAATGGTGTACCGTAACGTGCCGAACGAAGAAGTGTCCTTGATGGCGAATTGACACGACAAGGGATTTGACACCTCGGGAACTCACACCTCCGGAATTCACACCTCGGGAATTCACACGTCGGTAATTCACACCTCGAGAACTCACACCTCGGGAATTCACTTCGTACGAGACGCAACATAAACTGCAGCTTTTCTGGACCCAATTCCTCTTCTCCACTCCATCCGCAGCTTTTTTTGGCAGGCTTCCTCGCTCCATGACTGATCACGTAGACGTAGCTTGGTTCTTTGACCTGGCGATCTTCCAAGATCCGACCACAATCACAGTTTCCGTCACGTAGACATGAGCGGCGAGCCAGTCACGGTCTTCGTCGCTGATGACCTGGCGCCAGCGGACGTTGAGCATTGGTTGTCGTTCGACGAAGCCGTTCTGCCTCCTTCGCCTTCCACTGACAACCCTCTCTTGCAGACACAAGATCTCCCGGAGTTGCCGTTTACTACATTAGATCCGTCACTCGCTTTCCTGATAGGCGATGATGCTCCTACAGGTGATGTGTACATAAGAGACAATAACACAGACTATGTTCCCATACGCGATGCTCCCGTTAACCAAGTCGAAGTTAGTCCAGAATGGCGATTGGATGAGTTACCTGGCGAGGAATCGGAGAAAGGGACTCCACTTGATTTCGATGGCGGAGTTCCCGAACGACGAACAGACGCAGGCGAGGCGTGTACGAAGGGAACCGGTGAAGCAGGTGCGATTACATCAGTCTTCGCGGATTTTATCGATACGCGGGACTCAAGCGGAGTTAGCCATAGCCATGACTCTACCACGCCCGACGGCCGAGTAGAAATGTAACGCCTGTGGGCTGTGTTAAGGGCACTCCGCTGCGCCAAATAACACCCTCGTTTTGACCCAGTGGGTAGCGAGGTGTTACATTTGGAATCAGAGCCTAGGGTTCGAATCCCGGCTGGACCACACTCTCCGCCTTTGGCGAGAACTGAAGTGCGGTTGTAACCAGCTCGAACCCAGCGAACGATCCTCCGCTGGCCTGAGCAACCAGCGAAGTCGCAGCCAGCAGCACTGCGAAATCTAGGTCCCAGCGGCAGGGGGCCGACTTCCTGAAGTCCAGGGCCAACGGGGACGTTGGCACCAGGGGGGGACGAGTGTAACGCCTGTGGGCTGTGTTAAGGGCACTCCGCTGCGCCAAATAACACCCTCGTTTTGACCCAGTGGGTAGCGAGGTGTTACAAGAAAGGGTTGAGTTGTTACAGTCGGGGACGTGGTATGTTCCGGGGGCGGGAAACGTTCTTGCGGTCAGCAATTTGGCACCCAGCAATCTCGCGGCCAACAATCTTGCAGCCAGCGATCTAGACACGTGCCTGCCAGAGCAGGCTGGTCCGTCCACGTGGCTTCCTAATTTACCTCGGGATGCGGAGGGGGGATCAGAACAAGGTTTCCCTGCCACATCAGCATCCGATCTGCGTGCATTGCAGCCTGACTGTTCCGGTCCTCTCGCGTTGACCTTCGAAGATGCTTCGGAGAGGCTGTTCACGGCGACAGCGCCAGCGACTTTTCAGGGCGCGACGGGCAGCTGGGAGCAAGCGCAGATGGCGCAGCTGTTGTTGCCAGAGCAGGAGGAAGCGCAGAATCAGCTGCTGACGCCTCAGCAGCAGACGCAGCAACAGCCCCAGCACCAAGGGCGAAATTACGATTCAGGAGGACAGCAGCAGCAGCAGCAGCAGGAAGCCCTCCAGTTAAACATACCCGCCAGCACACGGCCTCTCCCCTCCGCCATCCATGCCCGTCCCTCTTCCCCCCAACGCTCCCCCCCCGCCCAGCGCCCCTCGCCCTCCCTCGGCCGTGACATAGGGGTGGGAGGGCTCAGGGGGCCTTCCGCCGAACCTCCCTCCGCTCCGCCCCCGTGCAAGCTGCCTCGGGGCCCACCGGACCTCTCCTCCCGTCTCGCCGCCGTGCTGCAAAACATCAACCCGCCTCGCTCTGCGCCCTCCCCGTGGCAACCCGTTTCCCACTCGACCGAGCCGGGCCTTCCTTCCCCTGCCACGCCCGCAGCTCCCGCTGTCACTGCGTCTGCCACTGCAGCTCGGCCGTTCCCCATGTCAGGATCATCCTCAGCAGTAGCTGCACCTGCAACAGCACCAGCAACAACAACAGCAGCAGCAGCAACAGCAGCAGCAGTAGCAGCAGCAGCAGTAGCGGTAGCAGTAGCTTCCGCAGTGTCGTGTATAAAGGCGCCTGAGAGCAGGCTCGTGGTTGGAGGCAGTCGCGGAGGCGCGAGTGCAGTGGCCAACACTGCACTCGCGCCTCCTGGGCTCATGGGCTCAACACTGCCCTCCTCTGCTGTTCACACCAGCAACGCTGCTGCTTATGGATATAACCAGCGAGTGCAGTGGCCAGCATCCTTTTCGAGCAACAATGCACTCAGCAGAATTCGCCTCAGTGCGGCACGCATCAACCCACGGAGCCCTGCCCCTGGGAGTGCAGCAGAGCATAGCGCAGCAAGCAGGGCGTCCGTCGCGACCCCCCACGTTGTTGCATTCGGCCCCGAGAGGCCCCTGCGAGTGGATGCGTCGGGCATGCTGCCGCGGCCCATGTGTGGCGCGAGGGAGGGCATGCTGAAGCAACAGCTCATGGCTCTCGCTGAAGCCATGGCCGTTGATGACTCGGTGCGTGGGGCTCGTGTCAAGTGGGGGGTGGGATGCTTAGTCGAGAACCAGGTGTGGCCTGTGTGAGGTGGGGGCTCCTGCTGATGCATAGTTGAGCAAGAGCTGCATGCACCATTTGGATTTCCGCCACCATTCTTGTTCGCCGCCTCACTTCCTCCCGGCCGCCACCTCACTTCCTCCCAAGCCTAGCCATCTCCAGGAGCATTCGCGCACAAGCTGCAGCCAAACGGATTACCTCACACACACCTCTCCGCTTCCCCTGCTTTCTGCTGTACCCACCTTCTCCCCCTCCGTTCTGGCTCCCCTGCCCCACCCCTGCGCCCATTCATGCATCATGTGCTTAATTCCAGTCACTCTTTGATGTCTCAGCAATAGCTAATTCGTCCTCAATCACTCCCCAATCACTCCCCCAATCACTCCCCCAATCACTCCCCCAATCACTCCCCCAATCACTCCCCAATCACTCCCCAATCACTCCCCAATCACTCCCCAATCACTCCCCAATCACTCCCGCAATCACTCCCGCAATCACTCCCCCAATCACTCCCCCAATCACTCCCCCAATCACTCCCCCAATCACTCCCCAATCACTCCCCAATCACTCCCCCAATCACTCCCCCAATCACTCCCCCAATCACTCCCCCAATCACTCCCCCAATCACTCCCCCAATCACTCCCCAATCACTCCCCAATCTCTCCCCAATCACTCCCCCAATCACTCCCCCAATCACTCCCCAATCTCTCCCCACTCCCCCTCTCACTCTCAACCAAACCCCCTGCGCCTACCAGGTGCGGTGGCGACAGGTCATGCGCCAATTGCGGTGCACCTGTGGCAGGCAGCAATAGCTTCACCCGCAGCGGCAGCATGACCGGCAGCGATGGGAGCACACACAGCTCATCCCCTACCACTTCTGCTACCCTGCTGCGCCCCACGGCCCACGTCAAATTCACAGCCGTTGATTTCGGGATCATCAGAGTTGAGGAGCATCCAACGGGCCTGGTGCATCTGGGCGGGCAGTACCTGGAGCAGGTGGCATCTATGATGGGCCTCTCCCTGTCATTCCATGGAATTGAAACAACGCCACTCGACTTCCATCCGTCGCAAGTGGAGGTGGATGAAGGGGAGGAGGTCATAGTGTTGGCTAATTGGAGCCTCATGGTCTTTCCAGACGACTCTGTCCTTCGCTCCAATCCCCGCAATGCCATTCTCAAGTGGATCCGCGACCTGCAGCCACTCCTTTTACTCCAGGTCGACATTGATTTGGATGCCAACGGCCCCTTCTTCCTCTCGCGCTTCCACGCCGCATTCGCCAACTTTGCAGCGTCCATCGAGTCCATTGATGCTTCCATGCCGCACTCTGCCACCTCACGCTTCGCCGCGGAAACCATTCTGGCACGGGATTTGATGAACGGGGTCGCATGCGAGGGCATGAACAGATGGCTGCGGTCGGAGCGGCTCGAGAAATGGGTGCATCGGATGAGAGCAGTGGGGCTGGAACCCGTGCCTTTAGGGCCGGACACAGTGGCGGCTGGGAAGGCGATCACAGAGGGGAAGGATGGGCGGTTCCGGCTGGAAGTGCATGCTGAGACGGGCGCCCTGCAGCTCAGCTGGCGCGGCGTGCCCTTGATCTTCGTGGCCGCCTGGAGATGAGATTGGAGTCGGTATCAAAAGTTGCAACACCCCTGATCCGCAACTTGGAGTGGCAATGGCAGGGGCAGCATAGCCAAGCCCAGGAAGCAGGTCTTATCTAACCAGGGTAGGTTCTGGCCAGTTGATTTTTAATCTAACCTCCACACACCTGCATTTCAACTTTCATGCCCTATTTTGCGCATGTTTCTTGTGCTTAACGTTTTGCATTTGCTTGTGCCTGTCCATCTTGCCCCCCTAACTGTTGCTGCAGTTTCCATAATCTGTGGTCTAAGCCATCCAGAGTTTTATGATAATCAAGCTTCGATCAGTCGAGCGACTTCGAACTCTTAAATAATGTCTTGGAGTGAGGTTGACCAAACATACAATGTAGTCCCAGCAACTTCAAACGAACTAGCATTTCTTTTCAGTGCTTACGCCTGTTTGAAATGGGAAGTGTCGAAGAAACTTATATGTTCCTACATTTGGTTGGAAAACAATTGCTTTACGTACCTAACATTTGCTTGTTGTTCAACGATGAACGCGCCAAACTTTCGCCAAACGAAGAAGTGTTCTTTACGAGGATTTCACACCCATTGAATTTCTCCTCGAGAAGTCACCTCCTGAAAATTCACGCCTAGGGAATTCACTCACCTCGGGAATTGACACTCATCACTCCATCGTAGCTCCATGACCCACAAGCAGGCTCTGTAGTTTGACCTGGCGATTGTCTCGTCTGCACAACTAATATGGCAGACAACCTGCTGCCATCGTCAACTTTCAAGATTCGACCACTACTGTAGTTTCTGTGAAGTAGACATGAGCGGCGAGCCGGTCACAGTCTTCGTCTCTGATGACGTGGCGCCAGCGGACGTTGAGCACTGGCTGTCATTCGACGAAGCCGTTCTGTCTCATTCACCGCCTTCCAGCGACGACCATCACTTGCAGACGCAACGTCTCCCGGAGTTGCCGTTCACTACTTTAGATCCGTCACTCGCGTTCCTGATCGGCGATGATGCTCTTATAGGTGATGCGTATACAGGAGACGCTAACACAAACTATTTTCCTATACGCGATGATCCCGATAACCAAGTCGAAGTCAGTCCAGAATTGCGATTGGATGATTTACTTGGACAGCTGACGGAGAGGGGCACTCCACCTGATTCGGATGGCGTAGATCACGGACGACGAGCAGACACACGCGAGGCGTGCACGGATGGATCCCGTGAAGCAGATGCGATTATAACAAGCTTCGCGGATTTATTAGATGCGTGGGACTCCAGTGGCGTGAGCCATAGCCATGACTCTGCCACGCTTGAGTACGGCCGAGTAGAAAGGGTTGAGTTGTTACGTGCAGGGACGAGGCATGTCCCGGACGCAGGAACCGTTCTCGCAGCCAGCAATTTTGCAGCCAGCAGTTTTGCAGCCAACAATCTAGATGCGTGCCTGCCAGAGCAGGCTGGTCCGTCCGCGTGGCTTCCTGATGCACCTCGGGATTCGAACGGGGGATCAGAGCAAGGTTTGCCTGCGACGTCAGCTTCCGCTCTGCGCGCATTGCAGCCTGATGGTTCCGGTTCGCAGGTGCTGACCTTCGAAGAAGCTTCGGAGAGGCTGTTCGCGGCGACAAAGCCAGCGGCTTTTCAGAGCGCGAGTGGCCGGTGGGAGCAGGTGCAGCGTGAGCAAGCACCGAGGGCGCAGCTGCTGCCGCCAGGGCTGGACGAACCACAGAATCAACTGCTGACGCCGCAGCAGCAGACACAGCAACAGTCGCAACAGCAAGGGGAACATAGCGAATTACGCGAGCAGCAGCAGCCGCAACAGCAGCAGCATGAAGCCCTTCAGTCGAGCATACCCGCCAGCACATGGCCTCTCACCTCCAGCATCCATCCCCGTCCCTCTCCCCTTCAACGCACTTCCCCCGCGCAACGCCCCTCGCCCTCCTTCGGCGGTGATATAGGAGTGGGCGGGCTCAGAGGGCCTTCCGCCGACCCTCCCGCCGCTCCGCCCCCGTGCAAGCTGCCTCGGCGCCCCCCGGACCTCTCCTCCCGCCTCGCTGCCGTGCTGCAAAACATCAACCCGCCGCGCCCTGCGCCCTCCCCCTGGCAAACCCTCCCCCCCTCGGCCACACCGGGCCTTCCTTCTGCCGCCACGTCTGCTGCTCCCGCTGCCACTGCGTCTACCTCGTCAGCGCAGTCGTTCCCCGTGCCAGGTTCCTCCACAGCGCCAGCAGCAGCAACGGTTCCACCACCTCTAGGAGCGGCACCAGCAACAGCAGCAGCATCATCTGCAGTAGGAGCGGCAGCAGTAGCGGTTTTGGTAGCTTCGGCAGTGTCGTGTATAAAGCCGCCTGAGAGCAGGCTCGTGGTTGGAAGCAGTCAGGGAGATGCGAGTTGTTTCATGGGCTCAACACTGCTCTCCTCTGCTGCTCCCACCAGCGACGCTGCCGCTTATGGATATGACCAGCGACTGCAGTGGCCAGCAGCCTTTTCGAACAACAGTACACTTAGCAGAAATCGCGTCAGTACAGCGCACAGCAACCCACTGAGGATTTCCCCAGGTAGTGCAGCAGAGCAAATCGCAGCAAGCAGGGCGCTCGTTGGTGTCTCGCACGTTGTTGCATTCGGCCCCGAAAGGCCCCTGCGAGTGGATGTGTCGGGCATGCTGCCACGGCCCATGTGTGGCGCGAGGGAGGGCATGCTGAAGCAACAGCTCATGGCTCTCGCTGAAGCCATGGCCGTTGATGACTCGGTGCGTGGGGCTCGTGTCAATTGGCATGGCTTTTGCTCGTTGGCTCCTGCTGATGCATCATTGAGCAAGAGCTGCAGCGCACTACTCACAGTTTTGTTCTCTGCGTTACTTCTCCCCTCCGCCCCCACCAGGTGCGGTGGCGGCAGTTCATGCGGCAGGTGCGGAGGGAGGCAGCAGCGGGGGGGGACACATTGCAGCGCATCGCCTTCCATGCCTTGGAGGCGCTGCAGGCGCGCATGGATGGCACCGCGCTCACCCGCTGGTGCACCCCCTTGAATATCACCCTTCAGGTACGTACCTTCCCCGTTCCCCACCTTCCGCACTCCCCGCCCTCCCCCCTCCCCACGTTCGCCCCTTCCGCACACACAGAAACACACAACACGTGCTCAGTGTATTTTTCTTCGGGCACGTTCCCTTTCCAGTCCGGCACTGTATGTGCTAAGCTCACTGTATTCCGTGCTTGCCACGTGTCCCAGGCATCCCATTCGTGCCTGCATCCCATTCATCTCATGCACCCCATGCATGCCACGTGTCCCATGTGAGCAGGATTCAATGGCAGTGTTGGGCCATGGCAACGAGCATGGAGTGCCGGCATTCATGCACCTCGCCAACATTGCAGAAATGCACGAAATTGTTCGTGCATTCACCCACCAACCACATGCACACCCACACCAGCATGCACAGGCACACGCACAGAGCCGGCCCACCCACAGACATGCTCCTCAGTCCCCTGCCAGCCACCCACACTCTCCACACGCCCCTGCTCCTCCCCCCCAGCCGGCCTCTTTCCCTGCCTCTGCCTCAGCCTCAACCTTTGCAAGCCAGTCCGTGCGGCGGCGGCGGCTGCACATCATAGCCATTGGACTCTACTGCGGGCCGCACTGGATCCAAATTTTCATGCGCCTTGCTGCCCACTTCTCCTCCCCGCCTCTCCTCCCTGCCGCCGCCACCACAGCCAATGGGCATCCACCAAGTGGCATCCCAGGTGGGGGACCAGGGGCAGTACCGAATGCAGCTGGTGGGGGCGTGAGCGGTGTTCAGGGCAGAACAGGGGCGTTTGGGGCAGGTATACCTGGGGGAGGTGCGGCCGCAGATGCACCTGTGACAGGCAGCAAGAGCTTTACCAGCAGCGGCAGCACAAGCGGCAGCAGTGGGAGCACGCACCCCACCACTCTTCCTACACCTCCCCCGCCCCGCTCCACAGCGCATGTGAAAATCACAGCCGTTGATTTCGGGATCATCAAAGTGGAGGAGCATCCAACGGGCCTGGTGCATCTGGGGGGGCAGTATCTGGAGAAAGTGGCATCTATGCTCGGCCTCTCCCTGTCGTTCCATGGCATAGAAACCAACCCACTTGACTTCCACCCATCGCAAGTGGAGGTGGATGAAGGGGAGGAGGTGGTAGTGCTGGCCAATTGGGGCCTCATGGTCTTTCCAGACGACTCTGTCCTTCGCTCCAATCCCCGCAATGCCATCCTCAAGTGGATCCGCGACCTGCGCCCTCTGCGCCCTCTGCGCCCTCAGGTCGACATTGATTTGGATGCCAACGGCCCTTTCTTCCTCTCGCGCTTCCACGCCGCCTTTGCCAACTTTGCCGCGTTCATCGAGTCCTTTGATGCTTCCATGCCGCACTCTGCCTCGTCACGCTTTGCAGCGGAAACCATTCTGGCGCGGGATTTGATGAACGGGGTCGCATGTGAGGGCATGAACAGGTGGCTTCGGTCAGAGCGGCTCGAGAAATGGGTGCATCGGATGAGAACAGTGGGGCTGGAACCCGTACCTTTAGGGCCGGACACAGTGGCGGCTGGGAGGGAGATTACAGAGGGGAGAGACAAGAGGTTCCGGTTAGAAGTGCATGGTGAGACGGGCGCCCTGCAGCTCAGCTGGCGCGGCGTCCCGATGATCTTCGTCGCCGCCTGGAGATGAGGTTTGAGATGATCGTAAGAGCTGTGGCGTCTGGATAATCTTTATGGCCACCTGGCGATGAGCTTTGAGGCAGCCTCAAGAGTTGTGGCGTTCCGATGATCTTTGTGGCCACTTCGAGACAAGCCCGGGATTGATTCCAACGTCGCTCTAATCGGCAGTTTGGCGGGGCAAGTGCGAAGACACCATAGCAAAGAAGACTGTTCTAATAAAGCCAGGGTATGTTTCAGGTGTGTGATGTCCCTGTTGAAGCCGTGCATTTCACCCATCTTGCCCTGTGTTGCATATGTTTCTTGTGTTTAATGCTTTGCATTCGCTTCTGCCTATCCATCTTTCCTCCTTCCTGACTTTTATTTTTCTGGAAACCCCTACTTGCTTACGCCCTTCTATTTGTTGCTGCAGGTTTCCATCATCTTTGTCATCATCCCACGACAGAGTCGTACGACAAGTAAATCATTAGCCATCCTGCCAGCAATCTCTCATTCAGGTTGACCAAACATGCGATGCACTCCCTCCCAACCCAGCTATGGCAAATTTGGTCTGACATGCTGGACAACCATTTGTGTGTAGTGCAAAATCCTGGTCGAGGTCTAAGTGACAAGAAAATTAAAATATTTCCTGAGCTTGAAGCATTTTCAGGTTTATTATCTCATATCTCCACACAGGTATTGGTTGAAAGGGAAATGTATCACCAAATGATACATTATGACACAAACTATGTGCCAAACGAAGAAAATGTTTTTGCGGGGTACTGACACCAACTTCGTTTGACCCGCCAGCGTTTCGGCGAGAATGCTTGGACCTCCCCTCGCGCACGTTACAGACTTCGCGAACGTCACATCATACCTTGATCACCCAACGAACCCCACCATTGTGGGAGATCTGGTTCTCTGGTGTATCTCGGATGTTACAGCTGTTCGGGTACGGTAACGCTGGGTCCCATTCGGTTTCACGAACTAATCACAACCATTCCCTCCATCAGCTTCCCTCCCATCGCCTTTCGGTTTTCACCCATCATGGCGCCCAAAGCTGATCATGATGATGACGGTGAGGTGAGAGATGAGGGGATCAGAATCTACACATTCCTGAACTGAGCAGTTTTTACCTGTTCTTCCCTAGCGTGCCAACCGAGCTTCTTCCGTTACTCACGACGCTCCGCTGACATCATCGCTTATTGATCCGTCTGTTAGGACCAACGGAGCTGATTAACCTTTTAGACCTGTGTCGTTGCTCGTAACCGCCTCATCCGATCTCAGGCGACGCATTCCGTCGTTCTTCTGCTGGTCCTAACCGCGGATCGTCAAGTCTGCCGACGATCGCGTTCCGTGAATATTTCGTTCAGAGGATCAGAGCCTAGATTCGCCTCTTGGAGTCGCCACTCAGCACGGATGGGTCGAAAGAAGAACCAGAAGGGCCGTCAACAGACCACCGCTACTACTGCAGCGGTGGCTCCTAACCCAACCGTCAACTCCGCAGCTCCCCTCGCGCCTTCCGCCAGCGATCCTCCCGCCAAGGCCACCGCAGCGGATCCGCCATCCGCGCTACCGGCCGCAGGCGCGCCCTCCGGGGAAGATCTCCCGACGATCAACGTGACCTCGCCTTTCCGCGCCACCGCGAGTCGCGATTCGAGCGACTCTCACGACGCCGACGACTTCGTCGAGCCGCCGGAGCACTTCAGCGACGGCTCGCGAACTCCGCACGATGGTAACCGCACTCCAACATTCGAGGACGCTTCGGGCAGATTCCCGCTCGAGTCGCCGATGGCGAACGGTAGCAGCGGCGGAAGCGGCGGGTTCGGCGCGCAAGTGGAGGCGGAGAAGCTGCGGAAGCAGCTGGAGGAGATGGCGCAGCGCTGCCGGGAGTTGGAGGAGGGGAAGCGCGGATCGGAGGTTGCGCGAAAGAGCGTTCAGCAGGCGAAGAACGCGCTAGAAAAGGATCTGGCGGCGGCCGCGGAGAAGACGTCGAAGGCGGAAGAGGCGGCGGCTGCGGGGAAGGCGGAACGCGCGCGCCTGGAGGGGCTGGTGACGGCGGCGGAGGGGGAAGTCGCGCGGCTGAAGGGGGAAGTGGCGGGGAAAGAAGCGGAGGTGGGGAAGTTGCGGGGAGAGATGGATCTAGCGAAGAAAGAGGCAGAGGCGTTGAGAGGCGAGATGAGTGAACAGGTCAGGGCTCATGAGGAGTTGGTGCGGGAGCTGAAGCAAGAGTCGGAGGCCCTGGTGGCAGCGCGAGACGCGGCGATCAAGGAATGCGCGGAAGCCAAGGATAAATGCGCCGACCTGTTGAAGTGAGCACGAGCGAGCGGTTGATTGCCGGATCTTTGCAGATGGTCCGGGGTTCAGGGGTTTGCCATGTCACGTGCAGCATCGTTTCAACCTATAAGGTGCCTGCTTCCTGTTTTGCGCAATCGTCACGCGATCCTCACTCGTGCTTCTCCCTCTTCCCCTCTTTCCCCCGCTCTCACCTCCTCCCGCCTTTCTCCAGAGCTTCAGCTGAGGCGGCGGCCAGAGTGGACGAGCTCACCCGCTCCTTGCAGGCGCTGGAGCAAGACAAGCAAAGCTGGGCGGCAGACAGAGAGAAATGGGCGGCAGAGAAGGCCAGCTGGGAGGAGGAACGGGCAAGCTGGGCGGCTGAGAAGCGGAGCTGGGCGGCAGAGCGGGAGACGTGGGCGGCAGAGCGGGAGACGTGGGCGGCAGAGAAGGCATTAAAGGAGAAGGCGAGTGGTGAATGGGACGAAGGGCGGAGAGAGCTGGAGCAGCGTTTGGAGGCACTCACCGCTCAGCTGGCAGCCGCCGAGGCGGCGAGAGCGGAGGCTGAAGCTGCACGGGCAGTGGCAGAAGCGGCGAGAGGAGCGGCTGAGGCAGCAAAAGCAGAGGCGGAAGGAGCGAGAGCAGCGGCAGAAGCGGGGCGAGCGGAGGCAGAGAAGACGTTGGCGGGGAAGAAGGGCGAGTCAGACCAGGCCACCAGGTACGGCTGTCGTATCCCTGCTGTGCTGCTGTGCAGTGCGGTGTGTGCAACCTGCTGTCCCACTGCCTGCGTGTGCATTGCCTGACCCATCTCTCTTCTCCCCCCCCCATACACCCCCCTTATTATTCCCTCTAGTGCCTCAGAGTGGCAGCCATGGCAGCGGCCCGCCTGGCGGAGGTGCAGCAGAGCCGCACCTCGCCCTCGTGTGCGCCCCTATCATCTGCTGACACGCACCCTTTTCTGCCCTACCCATTACCTGCTCTCCCCCCGCCCCTCCCCACCTCCCAATGTGTCTGTGTGCCACTCCACTTGTGCCTCAGGGTGGCAGACAAGGCAGCGGCCCACCTGGCGGAGGTGCAGCAGAGTCTCACCGTCGTGTGCACCCCCCTCCCTCATTGCATTGCCCTGTCTTCCTCCTGCCGTCCCCGTCTCCCTGTGTTTGTGCGCTCTCAGGGTGGCGGCCAAGGCAGCAGCGCACCTGGCGGAGCTGCAGCAGAGCCTCACGCAGACGCAGGTGGAGCTGGTGCAGGCGCACTCCGCGCTACAAGACAAGGACGCCCAGTTGACGGGCAAGGACGAGCAGGTGCAGGCTCTGACCGACCAGATAAAGGCGCTGGAACAGCGCGTGAAGGGTGCGGAAGAGGAGAAGAATACACACGCGGAGGAGGCGAGGAGGAAGGAGGAGGAGGCAAGGGAGGCGAGGCGAGAGGTTGAAACTGTGAAAGGGGAGCTGGGGGCGCTGCAGGGGGAGTTGAAGGCTGCAGCGCAGCAGCTTGCCCAGGCGAAGCAGGAGGCGGGTGCGGGTGGGGAGAGTGGGGAGAGTGCAGGGAGCAGGGTGGGGGAGCTGGAGGCGAGGGTGGAGGCTCTGCTGGGGGAGGTGGCATCTGCGGTGCAGGCGCGGGCGGAGGTGGAGGGGAAGCTGGCGAGTGGCAGCCGGGAGAACGCCAGGCTGGCAGAGTGAGTGGGCTGCTCTGTGTGCTGTGCGCTGTGCGCTGCTCTGTGTGCTTTACTGTTAAGCTGCCTAGCAAGATATTTTTTTTCGTAACGTGCCACCCTTTCTCTCCCACACCCTACCCATTCCACCACCCACCACCCAAATCTCTGCTGCCGTACCAACCCCCTCTGTCCCTTCCTCTCCCACCCCTACCCGTTCCACCAAACACCACCCCACGCAGGTTGGCGGCAACCAAGGAAGCAGAGGCCAAGACCATTTTTCTCCAGCTGGGGCAGGTGAAGCGGGATAACGCCTCCCTCATACCTCCTCTTATCACCTTCCCAATGCCCCACTTCCCTCACAGGCTGGCAGCAACCAAGGAGGCAGAGGCAAAGAGGGGCAGGTGAAGCAGGATAACGCCCCACTCGCCCTTCCTCTTAACCCACTCCCACCTCCCTTCTTCCCTTCCCCCCACCACCCCCTCACAGGCTGGCGGCAACCAAGGAAGCAGAGGCCAAGACCATGTTTCTCCAGCTGGGGCAGGTGAGGCGGGATAACGCCTCCCTCAGTAGCGATCTGGCAGCCGCTACAGACAAAATCCAGGAGCTAGTGGCCAAGAACCGGCGCATGGACAAGGAGGTAACCGCCGCGGCCGAGGCGGCGTTACGCGAGCAGGAGGGGGGAGGTGGGAGTGGGGGAGGGTGGAGCTCTGTGACCCTGGTGACTGTGGGTGTGGGAGCGGCGGCTGTGGGGGGGTTTGCCGTACTACGACTCATGGGACCTCGTGTATGAGTCTGGGGAGAGTGTGAGAGGAGGGAGGTGGGGGAGGTGGGGGAGGTGGAAGTGGGGGAGGGTGGAGCTCTGTGACGCTGGTGACAGTGGGTGTGGGGGCGGCGGCTGTTGGGGGTTTTGCTGCCTTGCGACTCATGGGACCTTGTGCGTGAGAGGGGAAGGATGGGTGGGAGAGTTAAGGTGCGTGAGAGGGAGCGTGTGAGAAGGGGGGGGTGAGTGAGAGGGAGAAGGTGAGAGTGGGAGGGGTGTGACTGACTGAACACTTGCTTCAGATGCGCATGAGAGCTGAGCCGTTCATTCTTCAATCTTTTTACCATACTACACAGAGGGGTTAGGACTAATGTCATCTGGTGTACGATTTTGTCAGGTTTGCCAGTGTCATTTCTTGATATTCCTTAGCCTGATTTTGCATGTTTTAACTAATCCATTCTTCTGAGTGAGACATCTTAATGCCTTCCACTGTACGATTCATTTATTGTATAACACCCTGCTTCGACTTATCCCGCTTTATTCAGCAACAGAGTGTGATGTGCAGTGCATTATAGCGCTAGCAGGCACCTGCAGCAGAAAAGCTACACCATCATCTACACTGTACAACTTATTCACCAAGTATACTACTTTACCTACACCTCTATAGCGATGCACTTGGTAACGGTCCAGTAATTCTCTGCCACGGGGCGGTAACCCTTGGCACAGGCACAGCGGTAACCCAGAGGGGAGAGGAAGTTGGGTTGGCAGATGCTGCTGGGAGGACACTTGGGGTTGGCTGGACACGGCTTGCGCACCAGCTTATTTGTCACTGTGTGTGTGGGGGGGGGGTGTTGGGGTGGATGGTTTGGGACGAGAAAAGAGAGGAGATTGGGTGTGAGAAACAGCAGGCTGGATCTGGTAGGTAGACACTTCCTGCTGTTCCAGGGACACTTGGGGTTGGGGGGACAGGGCTTGCTCATGCGAGGTGAATGGGGAAGAGGAAGGGACGCTGTGAGTTGGGAGGCAGAACGGAGAGACAAGAGGAGGATGGGGTGGGATTTACAGGGCATTGATGCAGAAAGGGCACTTGGCAGAGGAGACGAGGCCAGCACTTACGATTAATAGTGCGTGGCAGAGGGAACTTTGAAAGGGAACCGTCTTGAAAGGGAACTTCCTCTCGAAAGGGAAACATCCTCTCAAAAGGGGAACTTCCGCTCAAAAGGGAAACTTCCTCTCAATAGGGAAACTTCCTCTCAAAAAGGGGAACTTCGCTCAACACACAATCATCCCCTCCCACCGCTTCCTCAAGAGGGACCTTCCTCCCAAACCTCGCCCCCACACCTTTCACGCAGTACTGGTTGTCGGCCGTGGCAGCAGCAGCACCCTTCTGGCACTGGCACGCAGCATCCACCACCGCGCTGTCGTTCTTGCGCAGACTGGCCGGCACACACGCCCCTTCAGCACTTACCCATCAACACTCAACCTCCAACGTTCTCCTCACCTTTCACGCAGTATTGGTTGTCAGCCGTGGCAGCAGCACCCTTCTGGCACTGGCATGCAGCATACACCACCGCGCTGTCGTTCTTTCGCAGGCTGGCCGGCACACACGCCCCCCGCCGCCCGCACGTGCCCAGGCGACTCGCCGCCCGGCAGAAGGTCCAGCAGGTGCTTGCGCTGCGCTGGGGCGGCTTCTTTCCACACGCCTTCTTGTCCCACCTGCGGTTAGAGCGGGGGTGAGGGGCGATGGGAGGGGCGATGGGAGGGGCGATGGGGTAGGATGAGGGAGATGGGGTGGGAGGAGGGGGATGGAAAGCAGGTGTGTGGCCTCACAGGCCCCAGCACTGCGCTGAGGTGACTTGTTGCCACACGCCTTCTTGTCCCACCTGGGTGTGGCAGGGTTGTGATGTGATGGGGGAATGCGGCGATGGAGAGTGGAAAGTCGGAAGGCGCAGCAAGAGGTAGCAATGCACGCCGTGCAGCATGACTCCACCAATGAGCTTCCCTCATGCGTCTCCAATGAACAGGAACAGGAACAGGATCAGGATCAGGATCAGGATCAGGATCAGGATCAGGATCAGGAACAGGATCAGGATCAGGATCAGGAACAGGATCAGGATCAGGATCAGGAACAGGATCAGGATCAGGATCAGGAACGTGATCAGGAACCCACAGGAACAGGCCTGACACAGGAACAGGCCTGACACAGGAACAGGCCTGACACAGGAACAGGCCTGACACACGCACCACTTGAGGCGAAGGCAGTTGTTATCAACGTCGGACTCGGAAGGGCAGATGGAGGTGCCGTTCCTGGCCTTGTACGACACCTCGCCCACAAAGTAATTCGACGCCAGGCTGTGGTATGGCAGGGCCAGGTAGCGTGGAGGGATGGTGCCGCTGAGGTAGTTGGAGCGCACGTTGCTGTGTGGGTGGGGTGGGATGGGAGAGGATGCGGACGGGTGAAGAGGGGTAAAGTGAGTTGGAGACCTCGCCCACGAAGTAGTTGATGACAGGCTGTGGTATGGCAGCACCAGGTAGGGTGGAGGGATGGTGCTGCTGAGATAGTTGGAGCGCACGTTGCTGTGGGTGAAGGGGGGGAGAGATGGGTGGGGGAGGCGGTTGGGAGGTACGAGGCGTTTGAGTTGTGGGGAAAGAAGTGCAGTGCATGCTGATTACGTTTCACTGTTGTTCATTGTGAACAAAGGGGGGGTTACGAGGGTTGTACACATTGCTCATGCATCACTCACACGGGGTGTCCTTTGTTCATTGTGCAGTGCCGATGCATGCACGACTCACATGTCAGCATGACTCACATGTCAGTGAGCAGCTTGAGGCGATCGATGTTGGGGAGAGTCCCGGACAGGTAGTTGCTCTCGAGGTTGCTGTGCCGCCATGCCACACACCACACACCACACAACACACACACGAGTTAGCAAGTTATTTCGGATTACGAAATCTGGCAGAGGGAGCAGAGGAAGCAGAGGGAGCAGAGGGAGCAGCGTTGCCACGTGTCTATTTGGCCTCACGGGTAAAATTGTTCCTCGCTGCTCGACCCACCGGCGATGTGTTACCATGATGCTGAAACGCTCAGGATGCTCAGAATGATCCGAGACGTCTAACATTCCTGAAATATTCTGCACAAATGTGTATTTTCTCACATGCTCTTTGCTGCTCTCTCTGGTTAGAGTTTTACTCGTACGCCCTCTCTCACGTGCTCTCTCACATGCTCTCCCCCTCACATGCTCTCCCCCTCACATGCTCTCTCCCTCACATGCTCTCCCCCTCACATGCTCTCCCCCTCACATGCTCTCCCCCTCACATGCTCTCCCCCTCACATGCTCTCCCCCTCACATGCTCTCCCCCTCACATGCTCTCCCCCTCACATGCTCTCCCCCTCACATGCTCTCCCCCTCACATGCTCTGGATGTTGGCCAGGCGGGTCAGCTGCTCTGGGATGCTTCCACTCAGCTTGTTGTAGTTCAGCGACCTGCCGTGGTGACGTGGCAATGGGCCGGTGATGTGGCATTGGGATGATGACGTGGCAACGGCCATGTGTGGAAAGGAACGGAAAGAGCCAGGAAAATGCTGGATGATCAATGGAATGCAACAGAGAGCGGTGTGCGTTGCAACGTTATGAAGACCAGTAAGTGGCACAGCAGAGCAACGTGGGGGATGTAGCATGAAGAGTGGATAGAAAACAATGCAGGAGAAGGAGGGAAGGTAGGGAGGCTGACAGGTAGGTGAGTTGGGGGAGGGATGCGAGGGCTGCGGGGATGGACCCTGTCAGCCAGTTGTAGCGCAGCCCCCTGCATGGGGGGGAGGGGGGTAGGGGGAAAGGGGGGTACAGGGAGGAGGATTTGAGTGTGAGATTGGCATGGCTCAACGACTGGGGGAGCTGTGAATGTTGATAGTCTCTCGTTGGGTGGCGGATGTGTGTGTTTGACCCGTGGACCCCAGGTTGACCGCGTTGATTCACAGGAACTGCAGGTTGACTCGCATTGACTGCATTGACTCGCAGATACTGCAGGTTGACTGGCGTTGACTCACAGGAACTGCAGGCTCTTGAGACGCGAGAGCTCCTTGGGAATGTTCCCCGAGAACATGTTGTTGCTCAGCCGCCTGGCACACATGGGAAAGGATCCATGGGAAGAGAGGGGGAGAGCTGGGGTAACGGAGTGAGAGGCCCGTGTGGAAAATATAATACTTTCTCTCTCATGCATACAGGGGAAGGGAACAGCAGGTAGATTGGTGGGCATTCCGGTGCAAATGATGAGTGAATTGTGACTCGAATGACTGCCTGAATGCAGCATTCGGAAGGGAGGGCGAGGTGCAGAGGACAGGGAACCAGGGGACTCTCACAGGTAGGAGAGGGAGAGGAAGCTTCCGATGTATGCAGGGATGCTGCCCCCAAAGGCATTGTCGTTCATGTACCTGCAACAGAATGGGGACGGGACAGGAGTGGTAGAGTTGGCAGTGGGAGAAAATAAGGGGACTAAAAATTTGAGACTTGACTAGTTAGGGTTTGAAACTCCTAATATGATGGAATGTAGTGAAGAATCAGCGGCATCGTTACAGTCACATCCGCACAGCCACTCTTAATGTGACTGTCTCAGTCACACCCATGCGTTCCCACGCACACTAACATTGTCACACCGACAAACTCACACTCTAAGTCACAGTCAAAGTTTCCTCTCTCACACCAAGAAGGAGAAACTCACAGTTCCCGAAGGTTGGTGAGAGAGGAGAAGGAGGGGGGCAGTTTGCCACCCAGAGCATCTCCACCGTGCGACAACACTCTGCCGTGATTGGTGGACAGGGAAGGGGAAGGGGGGAAGGGGGGAAGGGGGGAAGGGGGGAAGGGGGGAAGGGGGGAAGGGGGGAAGGGAGGGAGGGAGGACATGGAGAGTGGTAGCAGCCCTGGGGAAACCCAAAAACGTTCCTGCTTTGAGTTTGGACCCTTGGGTTGACTGACTTAGGTTGACTTGGGTTAACTCGGGTTCACCTTGGTTGACCTGGGTTGACCTGGGTAACGACTTGGTTGACTTGGTTTGACTCACAGCTTCTTGAGGTTCTTCAGGTTGCCAAAGCCTGGTGGGAGAGATCCGCTAAAGTCGTTGAACCCAAGGTCCCTGTAACGAGGATGGGGAGGCACGGAAAATAGAGGCGGTTGAGAGGGGTTGGGGATATTATACACGAACCAGTGAGCAAGGCAAGGCAGGGTAGGGCAAGGTAAGGACGAAGGGCAAGGCAGGTGAGGCAGAGGGGAGGAGGGGAGAGAAGCACAGCAGCAGACCAGGTTAGCAGGAGATTAATCACATCACCCGCTCCCATGCAATGCAACCAGGAGGGGTGAGAGCAGTTGGGCTTACAGGTGGGTAAGGGCGGTTAGGGCGGTGACCAAGGGTGGGATTGGAGTAGAAAGATAGTTCTGATTCAGGTTCCTGCCAGGGCGGGAGATGCAGAGGGATGGAGAGAGATGGAGAGAGATGGAGAGAGATGGAGAGATGCATAGAACCCGCCTGTAGGTGGAATAGGGCAGGAATTGTACCTAGGGGATTGTTCTACCGTTCTGGAGCCCCTTCTTGAGCTCTAGGGGACTTAGCAGGAATGTTAGTCTAGGCTTCTTTGCATGTTAGTACTTTGCTGTTTTCCATTGCATGCTTGTACCCTCCTGGTTTATCAATATACGGACCATTAGAGAGAGATGGAGACAGATGCAGGGAGATGCAGAGATGGTCCAATGCTAAGTCAGGTGGGTTATGGAGCCTCAATTCGCATCCAGGCGAGCTGCCCAGCGTTCTGATTTGAGCAGCAGCACAGCACACATGCCAAACGCACAACATGGAACGAGGGCGCCTATAACGCGTACAAGGGAAGGGAGTGTGTGCCTCACAGGTGCTTGAGCAAGCCCAGGTTGCCGAGTGCGTTGGGTGCCTTTTCGATGTCCAATGCCTCTAGATTGCTGCAGCGCCATGGTGGGAGGGAGACGAGGAGGGGGGAGAAGGAAAGAAGAGGGATCTATGCTTGAAGCCGCCCCATGCATTGCTGAGTGCGTTGGGTTCCAGTTTCGATGGCTAGCGTTTGTAAATTGCTGCCGCGCCAGGGGAGACGAGGAGGGAAGAGGGGGAGGAAGAGGAAGCTTTGGTGTGGCACAGTGCCGAAAAGGATCGGGAGAGGAAGAATGCTACGATGGGGAAGAGGCATGCGGGTGTGACAGGTGAGCTGGAGTGGTGTGGCGTAATGTAATGCACGGGTGGTGGGGTCGGGTAAGGGATGCAGTGAGAGGGGAGAGGGGATGGGAGGGTAAAGGTGAACGTCCTGGTAGATGACTCTGAGAGGGTAAAGGAGGGGTGCGGCGAGAAGAGTCGCGGGGGTAAGTCAAGGGGTACTAAGAAGCAAGAAGTGCGTATTACAGGTAGACGAGGTTGGTGAGGGGCGCGAGGGGAGCCACGTCCTTGATGGGGTTCTGACTCATGTCGCTGGCATGAGGTGCGGAGTGGGGGGGATTGGGGGGGATTGGGGGGGATTGCGGGGGATTGCGGGGGATTGGGGGAATGGGGGAAGTTTGTGGATGGGGGGGAGGAGGGGTGGGGTGGATGGGAGGGATCGGGTAATGGGGGAGATTGGAGAGACGAACGGTATGGATGGTGGAGTCTTTCGGCGAAATTGCACCGCAGAGGGACAAGAAATGGCTTGCGATGATTGATCGTGGAGTGAGCATTGACTCGCGTTGACTCACAGCAAGGCGAGCGCGGTGAGGGCGCTGACTCCCTTGATCGTGCCGTTGATGTTGGTGTTGCTCACGTTCCTGCGCACACCAGCACGCACCAGCACGCACCAGCACGCACCGCCACACACCATCACGCACGCATGTGTTGCCACACGGTCATGCACAGCCACGAACAAACAGGACCTTCCGTAAGCTTGCATAGTTCCCGCCGTTGCTTTACGCTGCAATCCAACCATCCTTCTGATACTACACGCGCTCTAATCTGCGTTTCATGTCAGAGTACGTACAGTCCGATGATGATACCCTTGTCGTTGCAGATGATCCCGGGGTACGCCATGCAGCGCTTCGGCGGCTGCTTCGACGACCACGCGCGCGAGTAGTTGAACCCGCGGCCCCACTCCTTGGCCAGCGCTCGCAGCACCGCCACTGCGCGCACAAGCACGCGTAGACACAATCTTGAGCCGATTTTTGGGACGAATATTGAGACGAGTTTCTTCAGGCGTGCGTTACAAGCACGAGTAGGTGGTGGTAAGAACCGTAACAAACGGGTGGCAAGTGGGTGATAATCCCGTTACAAGCGTGTGGTGATTTTCTTCAAGACATCTCGTAATGAACTGAGGAGCTTCCAGCCGTATGGCAAGAACGGTGCGAGTTCTTGCGTGCGCTGCGAGTGCGTGAATACGCTGCGAGTGTGCAAAGCGCAAACCGGGAGGGGAATGGGTGCGCACATTGGGAGGAGTCGATGACGGTGACGCGGTTGATGCCGGCTCGAACCACCGGCGGCGACAGCAGCGCCGCGGCCGCCACCCACGCGACCACGAGCGCGAGCAGGCGTGGGGGGATACCGCACAGTGCCATGACGGAGTGACGCAATATGAAATTTGGGAATTTGAGTCGCGAAGGGAAGGCTTGCAGACTCCTATAGATATAGGTGTATAGACTCTTTTTGACGGCGGATCGGAGACCCTGTGTCCTTCAGTGTAGCGACTAACAGCGAAAGTGACTATAACACGAGCTCGAGACGGACAAGATTACGAGGCCAATAACTTGGAAGCATTGGGCGGGTGATGCTCTCGGGTCGCGCCTCGGAGAAACTGTGGGACGGGCAAGCTTCTAAGCGAGCAGCGCTTATCCGAGCAGACTAACGTTATTCAACGAAGCGCGTTTGACGCGTGTGAGGTAGCTTCTACACTCTTTGCAATGGCAGCAGATCGGAGCTGAGCAAACCGTCCCGCGTGCATTAGCTATTGAACCATTAGGCGCAAGATCGGGATATCTAACTTGCAAAGCTGCACTCCGCTGACGTGCTCTGAGAAGTGCGCTTCGACCGAGAATATTTATCTGCTCACAAGGCACTTAGCATGACGGGCGAGAGATAAAACCTAACGAGGCTACCTCAAGAACGCCGCAAGCGCAGTGACGGCTACGAAAAAGCTCTGCTGGAGCGGGTCGTGCGTCGTTGACGGCGGACGTTGCGGCGAGCGAGGAAAGCGAACGGCTCGAGCCTTTTCTGTAAGCGGACACACGTACGAAGCATCGGCGAGGCTACGATGACTGCTATCGGGCGAGAAACGCCAGGCAAACTGATCTATGCTACTCTAGTTCGTGCTTGTTCCAGCAAGATAGCCGCACTCATGCTAATCCATGCAGCAAGAAACGCATCACCCTCCTTCCCTGCAAGAAGCTCCATCCCAGCTGCTGCTGCGGAGTGGAAAGCTGTGCTGAGTTGGTCGAAGTCTCCATCCAAATCAACGTTTTTCTCCCGCCACCGAGTCGCGAGTCGCCATGTGAAATTGAATGTGAGCGCGGTGAACGGATCGCGTCTGTTTTACCGCCAAGTCTGCTCCTTTGACCAAGCAGCACGACATGATGCCAAGGGGGGGGGGGGGAGTCGAAACTCGGGGACGACGCGGATTGGGGGAATTTCTCCAAGCCAGGAATGCCGCCGGCGCAGCTGGCGTTGACGGATGCAGTTACGAATTTCAGTCGGGGAAAAGGCCATTGTAAGGAATTTTCTCGGCATTCCTTACGGAGCCCGACTACATCGCGCACTGTTTCACCAAACACCTCGCACTGCTGGCCTGGCCGTAACGGCCTACGCTTCGGGACTAGCCCGAGCCTCGCTCCAGCGTAGCACTAGCTAGCTCGCACGCACCGCGTTACCGTTTGCATGTTTCGCATATAAATGTTCGCTCATGCCTTCGCTCACATTTTGTACTCGTTTTGACACCTTAGTGCAATTCTCGCTACTTCGATTCATTGCACCCGTAACAGCCATACACATTCATCAATTTAGGAAAACATTTCTATCATACAATACATGCTAAACAATCCTGATCCTACTCACCTCCCTACAACTACATTCTCATCAAAATCATTATCTACATGAATCAAATCCGGTCTACTTGTGCCACTGTCCTTGGTCCTAACAGAACCTAGGTGTTGAAACAGGGAAGGCACGTGGACGTACCCCTTGACGCCTGACACATTCAGGTACTTGTTCACGAGAAGATCCATGTTTGTCTCCATCAAGTGCTCCTCCATGTACTGCAGCATACCTTCCAACGCAGTCACGTTGAAAAGGAGTGCCTGGGCGCAGCATGGCACAGAATACTCATCCCCATGCTGGTGTCCCCAGTTGTATGACTGGGGGTTGTACAGCGATACCACTCCCCAGCTCTTATGGGTCAGATCCTCTTTCACAAACCTCTCAATCCCAACATCATACAGCTTGGCAGGCAGAGTATCGTCCTGCAGCAGCAGAACATACTTGGGTCGGGTGGCGAGGCATTGTCTCGCCACATAGATAAAATCCATGACCAGTTTGGTGCGCCATTTCCAGCTCTCCCACCCATCCTTCCCCACCATCTTATCCTCAACTCCCCCGCGCCTCAGATCCTCCTCCCCCTGCCCTATGAACCGGCACACGTCCTCATGCGCTCTCAGCACATCCACACGCATCGACAATCCCTCGGCCGCTTGCTCTATCTCTCGTGTATAAACACCGACCATCTCGTTCGCCCTTTTTGTGTCTTCAACGACAAAATCAGCTTCCATATCCTCAACACTCTTAGCCGCTCCGATCCGCCTGAGCCTACCCATGCGCTGCTGTCTGTTGGCCGCAACAGCAGCTGGAACTAACGCCTTGCAGCCCGCGCTATACACCACCGCGTGCATTTTCCCCAGGCCGCCGCGCTGCTTCCCCCTATGCGCGGAATTCTGCCGGGAGTGGCGCTCGTCAAGCAGCTTCAGCAGCGCCACGGGGAAATGCCACGGGGGGAGCTCCTGGTGGGGGAACGCGCGCGGGGAGGAAGGGATCGCGACGCATATGCCGCCCCCGCCGCCGCCGTCGCCGCTCTGCGGATCTGTAATGCCATCCCAGTGGCCATCGCCGCTCCCACCGCTACTCAATGACGCAGGTGCATTTACCCCTGCATTTTGCGGAATGTTTCCGCTGCCTGCCTCTCCGCTGCTCCAGCGAAACCACGCTCCCACTGGGAACCAAGGATGAGCCGCATGGCGCGAAATCCCTCCGCCTCCCACTCGCGGTTCGAAAAAATCCGCGCTAACGTGTCGCCTGAGATGCGAGAGCGGCAAACCCGTTACTAGGCTTTCCGGCGAAGCTCTCTCAAGCAACGGTCGACGCATGAAGAAGCTAAGCGGGCCTCGGAGGCCAATTTCGAACGGCTTGAAGCGCGAAGATCCTCGAAGGATCGACTCGTGCGCGACGCTAACGGACGGCAGAGACGGTAAAGGCCAGGCGTGAGCGAGCCACAAGGCGGGGAGCATGAGGAGGAAGATTGCGAGGGAGAGCAGCAGCAGGAACACCACGACCACGCGTCGCCAATGCAGCTTGCAACACGGCGAATGCGGCGCGTGCCGCGTCGGCCGTCTGCATGGCGCCGCCGTTCCAGATGCTTCGAGCGGGGCTTCCGCGCCGGCTTCCACGGCGGACGGCCGACGCGGAGGAGGATGCGGCGCCGCGTGATGTGGCTTGGCGCGCGGCTGCGGGGAGGAGGAGAGCGTGGGCGTGAGCGCGACGGCGACGTCGCGCGGAAGCCGCGGAGAGGCGCGACAGCAGGTGGAGCTCGAACCGGCGGCGGGTTTGCTCTCGGCGGGGGTTCGAGCGGGAGTCCTGGTGGAACGGTGGAGGGAAGCGAATGACGAACCCAGGTCTGGGAGGGGTATTGCGAGTAGCTTGGTCCCCCGACGCGTCGCGATGGGTTTTTTGCCATCCATGTCTGGTTTGCTATCGATCGGACCTTGGGAAGATTGCGAAGGCGGTGAATCTGCCATACCAGGGACGAAAATGGGACAACGAGCTCCGTGCACGTGTTGAACTACTACTACTCTGTGGTGGTAGTCTGGAGTGCGTGCTGTCTCTTTCTATGAGCAATGGGCATGAGAACGAGATGGTAGGACTATGGATCTCTTCGCATCTACAAGGGGCCATTCGACAAAATGGACAACGGATCAGGCTTGGGTTCTATCGACCTGAGGTTACAGCAGCTGATGGGAGGGCCTGCGGTTGGAAAGAAAGGGTGGAGCTGAGGCACCTGTTCCTCTGGCCTGAGCTGGTATGATGCGAGAGAGGCATGGAGGAGAGAAAGACGACAGCTGGTACGACCTCCACTTCTTGGGCATTGCTGGAGGGGCGCTTGCTTGTTGTGTGGAACGTCGGCGGTAAGGTGTCTTGGGTCTTGTCGGCCCCACTCTCTGTCCCTTCTGCCAGCGAAGCTTGAGATTGCTGAAGCGATATGAGCGAAATTCTGTAAGCGGAGGCGAAGCCATCTACTGTAGTAACAGCTTCAACACTTCGAAAGCAGCACTAGACCAACCAAAGCAACCACATGGGGGAACAAAATCATGTCATCATGACATGGGCAAACAGCCTGACGTGGTGGTCTGTCGCATCCCACCCTCCAAAACATGCAGAACTTGAAAATCTCACCTAATTTTCGCCAGCCTTCGCTAAGCTCGTCCAGGGCAAGAACTCCCTGACGATAACTTCACGAAATTGTTCACTCGATTCACGGGGTATGCTTGCTACACGACAGCGTTAGCACAAGATGTGGAACATGATAAACGCCGCACATGGGGGACATTGGCAGCTTGGCGTTTGCCAGCTGGATTTCAGCGAGCCGAGATCATAAGCCAACAAGGAAAACGGTGATGTGAGGTACGGTGAGGATGGTGAGCACAAATAGCACAATGTAATAATGTAATATTGGTTCTAATACAACATATGGCTTCATCGCATCCACCTCAGTGACCTCATAATACAAATTTCAAGACTCCATGAAATTTAGATGTTTCCCATAGTATTTCTTGATAAAATATCAAGATAGTGTTGTTTTTTCTCTGTGATTTGTTTATGCAGTTTTATTGCAAGACCTTCACTATTCAATTGTTTACTTGGCGTAAGAAGAATCATGAAAAAACAATCATTTCTGATTGAATGGACGTCTGGTCACATTCGGATAAGTTTATAAGAACTTTAACAGCTAAAAATGTTTCAAGATTAATAGATTGGTTGTTCTTAGTGTGCATTTCATTTTTAGTTGTCGTGAATGAATATATTGGCTGGTGACGCAAACTGCTTCGCTATTACCTGACACTTTGCGGCGCAGTGGACCCCGCTCCGCGCAGCACAATCCGCTTCGCCCGCCCCACGCGCTATTTGGGGTGATACTTTGCGGCGCTGTGCACTCCGCTCCGCGCTGCACTGTGCGCTTCGCCCCGCGCGCCATTTTCCGCGTGGTATTTGGGCCAAATCGCCGCAAGCAGATGCCCATGGATGGAACCACACACCTACCATCACATGATGCTTCGCCACTTGTCCAAATTTCATCACCAATCAGCTCGCGAATATATTTTTGCTAGTGCGAATCTGTGAAACCAGCAGTACTCAAATTTTCGCGAAGTTCGCTGAACACGAAAGTCAAAGGTCCCCCATCTCGGCCCAGCCATTCCATGCTGAGACCCTATCTCCCACCCCATTCCTGCCTCAGCCGCTCCCTCCCAAAAAAAATCACTATTTCAAGGTTCACCGCGAATCACTAGTGCTCACCCGTGGTCCCTCCTAGAGTTCCCAAGCAGCCGCTTGTTTACCGCCAAATCAAACGGTCGCTGCTTGAAACCGTGTAGATTCCGTGTGGAGATTGTTCATCGCTTATGCTTCGCGGCTCGAAATCGTCTAGGTTCCGTGTGGAAAATTTTCATCGCCCATCCTTCCGCACTCTCAATTCGTAGTTAGCCACGAATATTTAGCAAGCAGGTCATCCTCTTTCCTGTACTCCTATCAATCTAGCTTCTACGATGTTATTACGGCTTTCTCGGTCAAGCCCTTCATCCTCTCTGGAACTCGCCTTCTGAGGCGGAGCTCAGTCGGTTCAAGCTGCAACCTGCTCGAGCACGGGATGTCTCAAGTGCATGGGATTCCGCCTGCTCGAACTCTTCACCAGCCCGCCGTGGACCTTTCCAGCTAAGTGTTCCTTCCACTGCTGTCGAAGTTTTATTTTCTATTTCCAGCTTTTTGTTCGTGCTGTTAAATTGTTTTCCAGCCAAAGCGCCGCCTGTAGAGCTCCCTGTCTCCTACCCTAGGTCTGGTTTAGCCTCTTTAGTCGGTCTAGCGTCAGCGTCGCTAAGTCAAGCATAGCTGCGTCGGTCTGTCAGAGCTTTGCAGTGCGGTTGCTTTGGCTGGAAAACATTCCCCATTTCCCCACACACGACTTCACCGCTTTTGTCGTCTTTATGGCATCCCACTGTCACTTGAAACTGACTTTGTTGTTTTTTCTTCTAATGCATTCAGGTGTTCCTTCAATAATATGGGAGTAGCCAAGACCTTCTTCAACCGCGTTGAAGCAGCAAGGTGCTCAACAGTCAACATTCAAGTCGTGGAGCCAAATCTGCACAACGTCAACAGTTCAAGAAAAAGCTATGTATCACGCGCCCTTGTCTTCTCTTTCATTGTTTCCTGTTGGTAATGTTTCTGCTCTTTCAGCCATCATCATAACATTTTAGCCTTCCAGTGCATAATATGTATGCTTGAGTGCTTAACATTACCACCACTTGAGCCTTCCCTGGTATTTTTTTAAGGTACTCTTTTCTGGTGAGTCCTTCAGGTCCCTTAAGGTTTTTTTCTGGTATATGGCTCTTGTGGTTGTGGTGGTGAGCACCCTTGTATCCATACTACTGCATCTTCCACCCATCATGCATGCATACGCTTGCCTTTCTGGACCTTCTTCTGCCACCATTACTCATACACCCCCTTCCCGTTCCTTCACTCAATTTGCAGGTATCTCAACATTAAAGGCCTTCAATGTTCAAAGACTTTTGGAAGTCAATCATTTCAAGCCCCAAGACTGAAGGTTCTGAAGGTAAGGACTAGTCCATTTGACAGTTTTATTTTGTGGCACACTCACTAACATTCTGCTTTTCTTCCTGCAGGAGTTTCAACATGTCAACTGACACTTGCCACTGAAGATGGCCAAGAGTGAACTCCGAAGTTTCAAGCTTACCTCAAATGGTAACACTTTAACCTTCCACAGTGTTAATGTGTGCCACACTTACTGACATTCCGCTTTTCTTCCTGCAGGACTTCAACATGTCAACGGTGACTTCAACAAGATCTTCAAATGACAGCCATCACTGAAGATGCTTAACTCAGCAATCAAGATCTTCAAATGACAGCCATCACTGAAGAACTCAGCAATCAAGGTATGTCTTTATTATTTTAGCAGTTCAATTCAATGCTTACTGCATTCCTGCTCACTCTGGCTGAGGACTGATATCTCTTTTGTCGTTGTGCAGGTAACCTGAAGGCATGGGGAGGCAAAGCATGGTGCTGAGGGACCCTTGGGGTTGTCTAAAGACTCGGATCCGGGCCATGTAGCAGACTGATTCTGTCGTACAGAGCTGACTGCAGCAGCTCTGTATCGGCAGATTCAGTCTGTGAAAATGGGCTCCCGCATGCCTTGGGTTTAGCGACTCTGAGGGTGCCTTCAGCAGCCAATTGCCATGCCTCCTGCAGCCACTCTTTCCAGGCCAAGACAGTGTGAGTTGTTTTGGTTGCTTCAATTTAACTGCTTATACTTCTGCCTGGATACTAACGCTTTGTTTTGTTCTCTGCAGATATTCCAGACTAAGACTGTGTATCCATGTGAGTCGTTTTGGTTGCTTCAGTTTAACTGCTTATACCTCTGCCTGGATACTAATGCTTTCTTATGTTCTCTGCAGGTAGTATTTCTACAACAGGCTTTAGGGCAAGTTGATGTTTTGTAGCATTTTGTATATACTGACACTTTAATGTAAACTTTTATGCATAGAATTTCGAAGCTGAAAGCAACTGTAAAACGATTCAAAAGTTAAACAAGAATCAAGACTCCCATACTAGCATGAACCTTGTTACTACTGCCAATGAACTGAACGATTTGACTAGCATGATCTGTTACGATTTTACAAGCTGAACCTCCAAACGAATAATGAGAGGTACCCGACATTGTACAACGGTATTCCATCCCGGCTCCGCGGGAAGGGTACAGCGTCCCCTCTGGCTCGATCGTGCAAAAACCGATCTTTGACCGCACCAAAAACCCGTGTATTGCATTCAAAACTTCTAGACGTTTTTTGAACCACGTGAAAAATCGACCCTACGTAGGATCGATCGCAGGATTGGCCTTCAGGTAACGCGTCCTCAAGAATTCTCGAAATCTCCGCGCATCTCTGAACTCTCGGCTGAGGTCTTTCCCCGCTCCCAGATTTCCCTTACCGTACTGTACCGCCTTCCCCTTCCCCCCACGCCTGGCATTCCGTCCATTTATCATTGCACCCGTTGTTAGGACGCGTCACCTGAAGCGGATCGTCGAAGATCGGCCGATCCGCACCGATTGCCATTTCGAGCCCAAGCTCGGTAGAGATCGGTGCCCATGACTGCGCAGCTACGGCGCACCGATTTTAAGGTGACAGGTTCGGTATGGCAGGTTACGGGGTTGTGGTAACCTGGCCTGCGACATCAGCTATGTTGTCGTGCGCAGAATCGCAGTGGGAAACCTAGGGTATGCGATGACGAGCGAAAACAATCAAATTGACTGTCACTTGTGGCGCGAAATTCCACACCCCGCCACCCAATCTCACGCTCGATATTTTTACTTTGCTGTATCGATCAGGGCTCCCATAGGTGACAGGTTCGTGGGCACATTTTTACCGTACATTCGCGAACATTCACGATATCTAGTTACCTTGTTGATTACGACGCTACAGTGCTACACCCCATGTGCAAAACCGATCTTCCAGCCGATCGATCCGCTTCAGGTGACGCGTCCTTACATCAGCTTCTTGACAAGTCTTCTGCCATCCATACACCACTAGCGCTCGAGTTGAGACCGGACTAGCAGCATGCTTGTACGATGCCATTGGCTTACATAGTCTGTGATTCAGGTTAGGTTTGGCATTAGTAAGGATCCGAGGCAGCCATGGTGTTCATGCGTAGCTCCGCAGAGGAGCTCTTCCGAACTCTTGCGCAGATTCCTCCCGCCGATGGCCACGGGAAGCCATCAGTTCCTCGCGTTTCAGAGACATCCGTCAACATTCACGATTTGCTTGTAAAAAAAGTGCTCGCATCGGGAGGCATTCGCGAATCGTCGTCGCGAACTGACGACATTGATAACGACGGCGACGCGTCTGCTAGCAAATGGCCATTCCGAAAGCCGGCGACAACATTTTCCGCATTCCTCGCTCCCCGCGAGTTGCGCCAGCTCGCAGCAGCCGTCGGCTCGCTCGCCGGTCCGGATCCTTCCAGCGGCCGCGCAGGCGGAGCATCTGGCGGAACCACCAGCGCGAAATCCCTTCGCAAGCACCATGATGCCTCCGCCTGTTCCGCGCATGTCTCCTCTCTCCCCGTGCTCAACCTCGCATTGGATTACCTGCAGGCTATTCCTGACCTGCTTCTAACCCACGCGGGTTCCCCCGCCTGCCGCGCAATGCTCGCTTGCTGTCGCTCCGGCGCTCTCCTCGCATTCCTGGCGGAGCTACGCCGCTGCGCTTCCGCAGACCCGTGCGTCTTCGGCTCCCCCGTGGGGAAGGCGACGGCGGAGCTTCTGCTGGGCCTAGCGCGCTCGCACGACACTTTCCTCGAAGCTTCCGCCAGCCCATCGAGTCGCGACGGCGCCAGTTCGGATTCCGCGCTCACAGGCGGAACAGCCGCGCGCGCGTCCTCCGCGGGAGCGGACGTGCAGGCGGTAGTGGGGGAGGTGGTTCTGGCGCTAGCGCGGCACTGCATCCCCGCGGGGCTCGCTGAAGCCGGCGGAACCGATTCGCCAGGAGGGGACACGGCGGGCGACAGTGGCATGAGCGGCGGAAGCGCCGTCCTCTCATTGGCGGAAGCATTGCAAGCTGTGTTCGACGTGTGGGTGAAGCCGCATGTGGGAGGGGGGAGCGGTGGCGCAGCGGGTTCCGCCACCATTCTGGGCAGAAGCAGCAGCAGTGGCGGAGGGGAAGGCGGGCTGGCGGGGGACGATTTGGATGGGCGCAGACCCTCCGCCTCGAGCGAGCAGCTGACGTCGCTGCTGACGTCAGGAGCCGGAGCAGTGGGGGACGCGGGGCATTTGCCTGGTGCGGAGGGGGCGGTGGAACTGGTGGGGGCGGTACCTGTGGGTCCGTGGCGGCTGCAGCTGCTGGCCGGCGCGTTCAGGGTAGCTGCAGCGGTGGTGGGAGGGGAGGACGATGGCGCACTGGCGGGGAAACGCGGAGGCGCAGCAGGAAGCGCGGGGGAGAAGGCTCTGGAGAACGTAGTTGGCCAATACGTCGCCGCCACGTCAGCTCTGCTGTCGAATTCGACAAAGCTTTTGCAGGTGAGCGGTTTGCTGCACGATGGGTGGTGGGTCGTTGCTTAGAGCCCGGTATACACTGGTTGCAGGAATAGAGACTGCTGTAAGATTGCACATTGCTCTAGTAGTCTAGAATGGCACGTTGCTTTGACTCCCATGCCACTGGGTGAGCCTCGTTCGAGAGGCTAATGCGCTCCCACCCCTGCGTCTGCTGCTGCCTCTGCTGCGGCTGCCTGCCTGGCTGGATGATGCGGGGGCGTGGTGTGGTGTGATCATCGGCTGTGGGGACTTCTGCTGCGCTGCACTCCCCACCGCCTCTTGACTGCCTCTCGCCTTCATGAGTGTGCGCCGGGCCTGCACGGGTCCCTTTGGCTGCCATCTGCCTCTCCCCTCCTCTCCCTGCTGCTGCTACCTTGGCAGCCGCTCCTGTGGCCGCCTCCGGTGCTGCTCCTGCTGCTCGCATATGCTGCCAACACTGCTCCCACCGCCGCTGCCGCTGCAACACCCGCCCGTTCTGATTCCACACCTTCTCTTGCTGCCACTGCCACCGCCACTGCTGCTGCTGCCTCCACTGCTTCTACTGCTGCCGCAGCCGCCGCCGCCGCCGCCGCCGCCGCTGCTGCTGCTCCTCCGGGCTGCACCCCTCCGCGGTGCTCCTGGGTCTTCCCGACTCCGTCCATCACCGCACTGGCAACCCCACCCCGGCCGCACCTATCCTCCGCCACTGCTGCTGCTGCATGTGCCGTTGCTGCCGCTGCAGCTGCTGGTGGTAGAAGGGGCAGTGGCAGCGGCAGCGGTATCAGCAGTGGGAGTAGCAGTGTGTTTCATCCACCGTATCCGTCCTCTGCTGCTGGGCTGGGGCTCGCTGCGTGCATATCCCCTCCTCACTCCCCTCCTGCGCCTACCTCCGTGCCTCCGACCTCTGCTGCTCCCTGGACTGAGGTTGTCCTGCTGCTGCTGTTGCCCTGCCCCGCTGCTTCTCCTGCCTCTTCTGCCTCTCTTTTCCTCCTAAATATTGTCTGTGGGGAATCGGGTACCTGAAACCTGCGGACACTGTTTGCTGCACGTCATATGGCAAAGGAAAAAACGACCCCGGGGGAGAGCACAGGGCAGCGACTGTTGCCTTGTGCAGTTCACATGCATGCAAGCGCATCCTCTCTCCCGTTCTCACATGATGTAGTTTTCCTATGTTCGCGTCTCTATCTTCCTCCCTCCTCCACCCTCTCCTGCCCATCCTTCTTTCTCCATCTCCTCCCGTTCCCCCCTTTTTCTGTGCCCCCTCTTCCCCATTCTTCCCCTCTGCTCCCCCTCCCTCCCTCCCTCCACCACAACCCCACTTATTTGCACCGTCTCCCTGGCAGCTGCGGCGGCAGGAGGCAGCAGGCATGTCCTTGGCAGCTCGAGCAGAGGTTGCAGCGAGGCTGCACGCTGCTGAGTCAGCAGCAGCGTTCGCCACGTCAGCGGTGGAGGGGGGGCGGGCGTCGCTGCGGGCGGTGAAGGGTGTGAGGGCGCTCTGCCTGCAGGTGGCTGATGCGTGCTCGCGATCCGCATGGCGCAAGGTAAGGGGAAGGGGATGGGGGACGGGGGGAGTGGGGAAGGGGGATGGAGGGAATGGAGGAAGGGGGAATGGGAAAGGGGGAAGGGGGCGTCACAGTGGTGAAGGGCGCGAGGGCGCTCTGCCTGCAGGTGGCTGATGTTTGCTCGCGATCCGCATGGCGCATGGTGAGGGGGCGGGGGAGAAAGGGAAGGGGGGCAGGTGATGGGGAAAAGGGGGAAGGGAGTTGGAAATGGAAAAGGCAAGGGCAAGCAGAAAGGATGATAGGGAGGAAAAAAATTGAAGTGAGAGGGCGGGTTAGAGAGGGGAAGTCGGGGGGATGTGAGAGAGAAGGCGAAGGCGATAAGTAGAGAAGTTTCAGGCGAGTGCACACATCAAGAGAGGAACAGAAACAGTTACCAGCTACCTCACCCACTTTCTCCCACGGCGCCCTACTCCTCCCCGCCCCCTGCCCCTCACCAGATCCCAGCCTGTGAGGATCTCTTCTCAGCAGTCCTATCAGCAGCCGCCAGGCTGGCAGTGCGGCAGAGCGAGGCGAGCGGGGCAGGGCGGGAGGACGCGGAGGCAGCAGCGCTGCAGGAGACACTCCTGCCCATGCGCTCCCTCGTGCTCGCCGCCGCCATGCAGAGCCCCATCCCTGCCGCTTCCCCCACGCCCACCACCGCGCTCACTGCCACGAGGCGCGCGCCGATGGTGGCGAGTGTGGTGGGGGCGTGCAGCCTGCTGCTGCAGGCCACGTGGGCGTCTGGCGACCACGCACGCGTCAAGTCCTTCCTGCTCTCCCTGGGATCGTACATGCGCCAGCCTCCCTCCTCGCAGGTGCCATGAATTTACATTCTTCTAGGTACAAGTTCACGCTTAGCGAAGTGAAACGAATGAATGAAAGCCATTCCAGTTAATAAGAAACGTAGTGCTCACTACTCAGGCAAACAACAGGCAACTGGAAGCATTACAGCTTTTGCAACCTCTTGCCTCCCCGCGTGGCACGCTGCTCTGCAACCTTTGCCTTCGCCTCCCACCCCCTGTTTCCCCTCTCCCCTCTGCAGGACGAGCAGCAGCGCGCCAGCATGGCATGCCTGCGCCACAACCTGGCGCCCATCCTAGTAGAGGTAGCAGCAGCGGCCAGGGGCGCTACAGCCGTGACAGCCGTGGTGCCCCTGCTGCTGGAGGCAGTGCGAGCACCCAAGGAGGACCCCGCTATCCGCCACGAGGTGCTGCGCGCGCTGGCAGCAGCAGCGGTGGCGGCGGCAGGCATGGGGCAGGAGGGGCCGTACCGAGAGGTGGCGGTGCTGCTGCTGTGGGAGTATGGTCGGGAGGCGGGGGAGGTGCAGCCTCAGGTGGAGGTGAGTGGTGGGTGGGGTGAGGGAAGGAGAGATTGACGAGGGTAAGAGTGGGGTAGGAGGGGCCGTACCGAGAGGTGGCAGTGCTGCTGCTGTGGGAGTATGGTCGGGAGGCGGGGGAGGTGCAGCCTCAGGTGGAGGTGAGTGGTGGAGGAAGGGGGGAGGGTAGGGATGGACGGGGAAGAGAGGGAGGAGGAAGGGACGTGTAAGGGGGATGTGGGATTTGGGAGTTGGGAGTTGGGATAGGAGAGTTTGCTCACATTGTACAGAAACATCTACCGCCGCTGCTTCTCTCCTCTTCTCCCGCCTCTCATCTCCCCCAACCCCACATGAGCTGCTCTGCTCCGTTCTGTCACAGCTGGCTTCCACTCTCTCTCCCTCCCATCGTTCTGAAACCACTTTCTGCCATTCTTCTCCTCTCCTCTTCTCCCGCCTCTCCTACCACCCCCACCAGGTGCTGTCCTCTGTGCTGGCGCAGCTGGCCTCGGGTCTCTCCCGCCCATCCCTCCGAGACGACTTCTTGCGTCGCCTGCTCGCCACCTGTGCTGAGGTGGCCCTTGCCACAGAGGCGGAGGGGGGCAGGTGAGCAGGCCAGGTCTACTAGAGCAACGGTGTGGACCTTGTCCTTTGCAGTGTGTGCTTGCCGCTTGCCCCTCTTGCAAACGCTTGCTCCTCCCTGCACTGCCTCAACCTAACCTCCCCTCTCCCTCTCTCCCTCACGTTGTGCCCCCTCCGTGCCCCATCAGCCGGGGAGCAGAGCTGCTGGGTCCCCTGCTCCCAGCAGTGGCAGCGGCGTGTCGCCACGTGGACCCTCTACACCGCCCGGTGGACCCCTCCCTGCAGCGCCTCTTCCGCAACCTCTGGTTCTACTGCGCTCTCTTCCGCCTTGCCCCGCCCCTCCACTCCTCCCCCGCCTCCGCTGCTGCCACTGCCGCCGCCGCCGCTGCCGCTGCAGCCACTTCTGCCGAAGGTGCCTTTGGTGCAGCATCAAGCAACACTCCTGATGCTGCTGCTGGGGGTGGTGGGCAGGGCGTGTCTGGTTCCCCGTCGTCCAACCCTCCAGGGGTGCTGGCAACTTGCACCGGTGGTGGGGGAGGTGGCAAGGCGGGGGGAAGTGCGGACGACTTGACCAAGGGGCCGTATGCATGGCGGGCTGAGTGGGCTGCTGCTATGAGGCACATCGCTGCTCATACTCCTCCGCTGGTATGTGCCCCTCACACTTAGTTGCACAAGAAGACAGATGCACAATCACACAGACACACAAGCAGGTAAACTCACCGGGACACATGCACACATGCACACAAGCATGCACCAGCACCTGTAACTGCACAAGGGATCCTCACTCCTAGACTCTAGGTTTCTTGCGTTGCGTGTAGGGTGTCTCACATGTGCTCAGAGCTGCCAGGCCCGCGTGTGCTGCTGGAGGGTGCGTGGGCGGTCTTCTCCCCGCGTGCATCCATCTGTGCAGGCAGTGGGCGCCTTCTCGCGCCTTGACGACGAACTGGAGCTCGCAGCGCTGCACCGCCCCGGCAGCCAGAGGGGCAGCGGCAACGAGCAGGCGGCCGTGAGGCAAAGGAACGTGCTGGGCGCGGCTGTGGGGTCAAGGCTTGATGCGAGCGTCATCAGCAGCATCACTGGTGGGTGGGAGGAATGATATGGTTTGGGCAAGCTGTCTGAAGGGGAGAGGTGTCGGGCAGGCAGGTGTGAGGCAGAAGGGCAAGCACTGATGGACGGTGGTGTGACCGTGTGAGTGGACCGTCACTGTAGGAAACAGTTTTTGTTGTTGTCACTAGTTCAATACAATAGTACCCTCTTACCGCCCGCTTGACAGATTCGCAGAAGTGACACATTGCATGTGCCCGCCCACCTCTTGCATTCTGTGCAGGGGTGAAGGCCACCAATCTGTTGTCCATTGTGCTGCTCGAGTCCCTCCGCGTGTCTGCTGCCACCGCCCTCGTCCCCGTCCCTGACACCACCCCCCACTCGCCCGCCCGCGGAGAGGAGACCAGTCAAGTAGCAGCAACAGGAGAAGCAGCAGGGGTGGTGGCGGCGCGGCAGCGGTGGGAGGAGGGGAGTGAGAACCGCAGTGCGGTGACGTGTCTGCTGGAGTACATTCAGATGCCCAACCCCCGCGCTGCTGTGCGCCACTGCCTCTCTGCCGTCGTGCTCCGCGCCTTCCACGCCCTCCTCCTTGCCCTGGTGAGACTTTCACGTCACTGCTGTTCTCTTTGACCTCGCAAGAGCCCAGCGGGACAGAGGAAGGCAGCAGTGTCATGTCATCCGTGCATGCAGCTTCATGCTGCCTGTTCCCTGTGGACACATCAAATGGGTTCGCTCCATTCACCAATCTAGTCCACCCCGCCTCCCATCCCCGTCCACCTCCCTCCCACCTTATTGCACATTCCTTTGCATTGCATTCCCCCCCTCTCTCCTTTCCCTGCCCCCTCGTAGGAGCACGAGCCGAGCGACACAGTGAGGCAGGCAACCCTCTGAGCACACGCATGCATGCTGCTGGACTGGACGCGCTGTGGGACGGGCAGGAGTTTGTGTGCGACACAGCACGCACCATGCTCTTCCCCTTCTCCCCACCTCCCACACAGGAGCATGAGCCCAGCGACACGGTGAGGCAGGCGGCATTATCCGCGCACGCATGCGCGCTGCTGGACGCGCTGTGGGACGGGCAGGAATTCGTGCGAGACACAGCGCGCACGATGCTGAGCCTGCTGCGCAAGGCCTTCCCGCACCTCCTCTGGCACCCGCGCTGCATCCGCTCCCTCCTGCGCTTCCACCCGCCGCAGCACATGCTCGCCTCGGTCGGAGAGGCTGCAGCGGAGGCAGCGGCAGGAGTGGGAGGGGGAGCAGGGGGAGGGGACGGGGAGGAGGAGATAGCGGAGGTGGCGTGGGATCCAGAGGCGGCTGCTGCAGCTGAAGTTTTGGCCATGGATGTTGCTAAGGACTGGCTCGCCACGGCGTTTCTCCTTGCGCCACTTGTCACGCAGGCATTGGTCGAGGTGACATCTGGGGGGTGGGGTGGGGGGGGGGGTAGGAGGGAGGGGTGGATTGTGAAGGGTCGTCCTTGGCTGCGCTACGTCGTCACGTGCTGTGCTCCCGTGTGTAGATAGATAGGGCAGACAGCTGCCAACATATCCCTGTGCCTGTCTCCTCTTTCCCCCCTCCCCCCCCCCCCCTCCCCTTTCCCCCTCCCCATTTTCCCTCACTCTCCCCATGTTTTTTGTTTGTGTGTGCATGTTTTTTTTTTTGTTTGACGTCCCTCTTCAACCCATCCCCACGCTCCCCACTGGCTACGTGTTTCCACAGGAGGTGCTGCGGGGTGGGGACTCGGACCCAGAGTCAGTGGCGGGGCTGCTCAGTGTGCTGGCAGACATCAAGCACCGGCCCCGAGGTAGGGGGCGCTGGGGGTAGTGCATACCTGCTACACTGCTACACGTCACTCATTTATGGCAAGGGCAGGGGAAATCTTCTCTGTGTCCATCCATATCCTTCTCCTTCCTCGCTCTTTACCTATCCCTCCTCTGGTTCCCTCATCCATCTACCCGCATTCTTCCTCATAACACCTCTCTTCCTCCTCTCCGTTCCACCCGTCTCATACCCCCCAGGGTCAGCAGCAGACAGCACGCGGTCGCCCTTCACCCTGGCCGCACAGGCCACAGTGGCCGCATCCCTCAAAGCCCACAGCATGGGGCAGGTCGCCGGGCTGCTATCAGCCCTCTCCTCGCTCCCTGCTGCCTCAACCGGCATATCCGGCACAGCAGGCACAGCAGCAGTCACGTTTGGCACAGCAGGCTTGGAGGCCCATCCTCCTGCCCACTCTCCTTACAAGCATGGCGCTGGTATAGCAGTTGGATCGCATGCAGCAGCCAAGCCGGACCCCCATGTGACTCTACTGCAGGCGGCTGTGACTCAAATGGAGGCGCTTGTAGAGGGCGGGGGCGGGGGAGGGGAGATGGGGCAGGGGGTGGTATCATGGGGGCACATGGGGGGGGAAGAGGGGCGGAGGAAGGAGAAGGAGAGAGCCGCATCCGTGGCAGCAGATGCAGAGAAAGTCCGGGACAGGTGCCTATGGGCTGTAGCTGCTCTAGTGCTGGTGGAAGGGCAGCAGAGGGGGCATCAGAGAGGGCAGCACAAGGGGCAGCAGAGGGGGCAGGGCAGGAGGCGTGCCTCTCCCCATCAGTCCGCTCTGGAGCTCCGTCTAATCCATCTCCTCGCCCGCACGCCCCTGCGTTTCTTCACCCCCCAGTCCCTCCGCGCCTGCTGCCTCGCCTGGGCCTGGCTGCTCGCCGCCCTCCCCCGCCTCTCTGCCCCTCTGCTCTCCCAAATCGCAGCGGCGTGGGGGGAGACGGTGGCGGGGAGGAGAGGGGTGTTCAGAGCGTTGCAGGGGGATGAGGAGGGGCCAAGGGGGTGGCTGCGGCCGCTGGTGGTAGGGGGGGTGCCAGAGGGGTTTTCGGATCACAAGGGGGAGGAGGCGCAGGCACTGGAGGAGCTGGGCGCGCATGCTGCTTGGATCACCTTCATCTCTGACTGTTCCGAGGTGGGTGCTTGGCATGTGGTTGTGCTCAGATCAGATGCACAGCCGTGGCAGTGAAATCAAATCCAGGCAGCAGCCATTGCGCGGTTGCTGCTCTCTCAACTCTAATACTCTGATCTGACCCCCCTGTTCTCATTCCTCTCCATCTATCCTTCTCTGTCACCGTTCCTATTTCATTTGTGCTGCTGGCAGATGTACGGGCGGGGCAGTAAGAGCCAGGCAGCAGCCATCGAGAGGCTGTTGCCCTCCAACCCTAATACTCTGATCCCGCTCTCCTCATCCACTCCATCTATCCTTATCCCTCTCCTTCCTCTCTGTGTGTGTGTGTGTGTGTGTGTTGGCAGATGTACGGGCGGGGCAGTGAGAGCCAGGCGGCAGCCATCGAGAGGCTGCTGCTGGCCTCTCTCTCAGACATCACACGTCTCTCCCGCCACCCTGCCGCCCGCGCGCCCCTCTTTGACCTCTTCCGCCTCGCCCTCTCCTTCGCTCGCACCCGCCTCCTCGTCGCCACCAACCCCGCTCGCACCGCTGCAGCGGCAGGAGCAGCAGGGGTGGCAGGGGCAGGGGCAGTGGCAACGTCATTGGCAGCAGCAGCAGCAGTGGCGGATGTGAGCCGGTCAGATGCTGCCACGTCGCCGCATGTGTTCTCGGCACGGTTGCTACGGGACCGAGCGCACAGGTGCGCATCAGGCAGACCCCATTGTCCAACAGTTGAGCAACAACTTGTGTGCTTATGTATAACGCAATGCGAGAGGGAATGTGGGACTCAGCTCGAGGTCAACTTCTACCCACCTCTCCACATTCACTCTCATGCCCCTGTTTCACCTTCCCCCTCCTCCAACAAGGCGGTGCTGAAGTGGTTCAGCGTGGACCGGGGGTACTACGTCGGCTGATACGATTGATTGCAGGAACAAGTGTCGTATCAATCCCCACTCTCTTCCCGCACCTTTCATAACCCCACAACCCCTCTATCAGGGCGGTGCTGAAGTGGTTCAGTGTGGACGCGGGCTACTTTGACGGCTGGCCCAGTGCGCTCAGGAGGCAGGCAGCCCTCGAGGAGATGGCAGTCATGGACGCATTCAGCAAGGCGCTGGCCGATGATGACACCATGGAGGATGCATTCTGGCCGCCCCCTGCTGGTGCCACTGCTACTGCTGCCCTCTCCCCTGCGGTAAGCTGCTGCTCTCTCGCCCGCGTATGCTGTTGCTCTCTCTCTCGCCTGCAGCAAGGCGCTGGCCGATGATGACACCATGGAAGACGCCTTCTGACCGCCGCCTGCTGCTGCCGGCACTGCCTCTGCTGTCCTTTCGACTGCAGTAAGCTCTGATGCTTTTGCTACTGGCAGCGCTCGACGAGATGGCAGCCTAAGAGCTCCAGTCCAGAGCACCAGTCCAGAGCACCAGTCCAGAGCACCAGTCCAGAGCTCCAGTCCAGAGCACCAGTCCAGAGCACCAGTCCAGAGCACCAGTCCAGAGCACCAGTCCAGAGCTCCAGTCCAGAGCACCAGTCCAGAGCACCAGTCCAGAGCACCAGTCCAGAGCACCAGTCCAGAGCAACAGTCCAGAGCACCAGTCCAGAGCACCAGCCCATGACACCCCCACACCCCCCCCCCCCTTCATGCACCCGCGTTTCCCTCCCCCCAGCAGTCCCACCAGCAGCGCCGCCATCCAGTGTGGGGGGAATTCTTCTCACCGCACCGCTCGCAGGAGAGGCAGCAGCGCCGCCGCCTGGGGGGGGCATTTTTCTCCTCACTCACTCTCATGTACCCTTTGTTCCCTCTCCCGCCCTCCCACCTGCTGCCAGTCCCACCAGCAGCGCCACCCTGTGTGGGGGGCATTCTTCTCGCAGCACCGCTCGCAGGAGAGGCAGCAGCGGCGCCGCCTGCTGGCCCTGCTCACCGCCCACGAGGGCGAGTGCTCCGCTACGTGGGCCTTCCCCCTCGGGTCAGTGCTTCCCTCTCAACCCTCCAAGGCCTCTCCCTTGAGGTCAGTGCGAAATCCCAGACAGTTGATTCTTGAGATGACTCAAGAGTCTCACGGGTGAGTTACCGTTTCTTTAGCCTGATCCTATCCTCTCATTTGCTGTCACCTTTGCGCATGCAGCGATGCACGGCTTAACCTTGCACCCTTCCCACCTTCACTTCCCTCCCCTCCTCTGCCTTTCGCTTTCCCCTCCTTACACCAGTTTTGCACCAGATGCGTCACGCACGGCAGCAGCAGCGGCAGCCACGGATATCCAGCGCAGCAGGGCGCGAGTCACCGCGTCGCTCTCGCCCAATGACGTGCCGCCACTTGTGCGCGCCGCATGGGCTGTCGACCCGCGAGTGGCCGTGTGCTTAGTGCAGCGCTTCCCTTCTGTCAAGGGCATTCAGGACGACGTGGGGACACTCATCCGGGTGAGTGGAGGCTTGAGCGTGCAGGCTGGTTCTTCAAAGGCAGCATTTCTGGACTGGTGCAGTGCAGAGAGCTCACTTCCCATCTGTGAATGTGAAGCAGCAGTGCACCAGGGTTCGCCTCGCCCCTGCTGCATCTTCAGCAGCCATTGTATCGACGAAACTTACCCATGCCCTTCCCTGTTGCTCCCCTCCCCTCCCCTCTCCTCCCCTCCCCTCCCCTCCCCTCCCCTCCCCTCTCCTCCCCGCCCCTCCCCTCACACACAACCACCAGTCCATGCCACTGCAGGTTCGTTCTCTCCCCGAGGCCCTCCGGTGGGTGGTGACGCCAGCAGCAGTGCAGCAGGACTCGCCCCTCCTCCGTCTACCTCTCCCCTACTGGGCGCCATGCTCCGTGGCAGCCGTGCTCAACCTGCTGCTGCCCGCCTTCAAGGGCCATCCACGTGTCATGGCGTATGCATTCAGGGTGCTGGAGGCGTATCCCCCGCCCACTGTCACATTCTTCATGCCGCAGCTCGTGCAGGCACTTAGATACGACCACGATGTGAGTGTGGCTGGTCAGAGAGATCACCATCTGAGTGGCCGGTCAGAGAGATCATGTTCTGAGGCTTAGATATGGTTCTGATGTGCCTCTGATAGATAGACCTGACAAGCTGTCTGGTTTGTGGTTTCTTCTCCTTTCTGCCTGCGCCATCCTCTGTCTCCCACTTTCCCTTCTCAGCGCTGCACTTCGCAAATTCATTTGCTGCTTTTAACAAGTCAGAGTCTGGTTCGCCTCTTTCGTTCCTGCCTTCTCCTTCCCCGCCCCGCAACCCCTCCCCATTCCATCCTTACATTGCCCCCCTTTCCTAACCGGTGTTGCAATGTCATGTCACCTTTACGATCCTCACATGCCTCTCCCACCTGTTCGCCCTTACCCACCCATGGCAGGGGCTGGTGGAGTCATACCTGCTGCGAGCTGCCCTGCGCAACATCATCTTCGCCTCTTCTGTTCCTGCCCTCTCTTTTCTACCTGTCCTCTCCTGCCAATCCCCGCGTGCCTCTCCCTCCCTTCCCACTCGCCCTTACCCACCCATGGCAGGGGCTGGTGGAGTCATACCTGCTGCGAGCTGCCCTGCGCAACATCATCTTCGCGCACATTCTCATCTGGCAACTGCAGGTGCGCTGCTTGCCTTGGGATGTAGTGTCTAGTTGACCGCGCTCCGTTGCCTGATCAGAAAAAGAACTGAAAGTAGCTGAGACAATCAGCCATCAATCACTCTGAGCACTTGATTGAAACAATTGATTGGAATTGGCGCACAGATCATCCAACTGAACCTCCCTTTATTCCACTCTCCCTGCCATCCCTTCCTACTCTTCCGCTCACCACATCCCCACTCTGCTTGTCCCATTCCACGGAAACTAGATAGATCCTGAGGGGCATAACCCCTTCTCTTCTCCACCCATCACAAGCCTTTGTATTCCCCATCATCCTCCTAACCCCCATTCCTCCCCCAGGGCGAGGAGGCAGATCCCGAGGGGCAGCAACCACAGATTCTCCTTCTATGGCTTTAAAAATCCTCAAAACTCCCAACTCCCCGCAACCCCCATTCCTCCCCCAGGGCGAGGAGGCAGATCCCGAGGGGCAGCAACCACCAGCTCTCGAGTCCTCCAACGGTGCAGCAGCAGAGGGAGGTGCATCTGGAGAAGGCGCAACTGCTGCAGCAGCGACAAACATCCTGTGGACGATAGTCCCGCGGGTGCGGCAGCGCATCATCGACAGCTTCAATGCCGAGCAGCGGGCTGCTTTCGACCGCGAGTTCTCCTTCTTCGATGCCGTCACCTCCATCTCCGGCACGCTCCGACCCGTGCCCAAGGAGAAACGCCGCGCCGCCATCCAGCCGTACGTCCTTGTCTGTCTTGTGGTCGAAACTCACAGGCATCCCCGATTATAATTATACTGTCCCCATCGCTCGACCAAATTTTCCCACTTACCCTCTCACGAGCAACGCAACGCCCTTTCACCCCCAACACCCTTCCTTCCCCCCCCTCCCCCCACCTCCTTCTTTTTCGTCCCCCCACCAGCGAGCTGGAGAAAATAAAGCTGCCGGGAGACGATTTGTATCCGCCCACAGACCCCAACATGCTCTGAACTCCATCACACAACACCCTTTCACACCCAACACCCTCCAACACCCTCCATTCACTCACTTGCGCACAGGGAGCTGGAGAAAATAAAGCTGCCGGGAGACGACGTGTATCTGCCCACGGACCCCAACATGCTCGTGCGCAGCATTGTGCTGGACAGCGGCATTCCCCTGCAGTCCGCCAAAAAGGTACGACTTGACCAAGTTAGTCAAACCTCAACTCTTTTGAGGTTTGAGACTTGTCTTTTTTTTTTTTACCCAGCTGCATTCCTCTGCCTCTTCTTCTTCCAGCAGCGTAATGAAGCCCCTCTCTCTGGTGTGCAAAGGTGTAACCGCATAGCATTACAACCAGTATGGAAAATATAGTACATACCTCGTCTTCTTCCACCTTCCTCCCCTCCTCCCCTCCTCCCGTCCTCCTGTCATCTCCTTCTCCAACATTTCTTCTTTCACACCCTCTCCACCCTCCCAGGTGCCCATCCTGATATCATTCATGGTGGTGCGCAAGGACGAGGACGGGGTGGTGGACGAGCACAAGCCCGAGCACGAGACTGACACGTGCTGCAACCTCCCATACGCCCCACCACACCCTCTCCCCCCCTCTCCCCTCCCCCCAGGTGCCCATCCTGATATCATTCATGGTGGTGCGCAAGGATGAGGACGGGGTGGTGGACGAGCACAAGCCCGTGAAGCAGGGATGCATCTTCAAGGTGGGTGGGTGCTGTGCTCAGGCAGCCGTGCTGCAATCTCTTTTCATAACACCTTCTCACTGTGATCATATCTCGTTCTCTGATCCTGTTGTGCCCAGCCAGGTGACTTAAAAGTCACCTCATAGCACCCTTTCACCATGATCATATTTCGTTCCCTGATCCTGTTGTGCGCCCAGCCAATTCACTCACTGCTCTGCCAACGTGACCTACTCTTATACTTACATCTACATTCTGTGTTGTGTGGGAAATACGCCAGAATTCGTCACACGCTGACCTTTTCCTGGCGCTATGCCCTCTGTCTCCCCCTCATGATGCTGTGCTGCCCTCGCAGGTGGGAGATGACTGCAGACAGGACGTGCTGGCTCTACAGGTCAGTCCCACTCCACCCTTGGCACCTCACAGTCAGACCCACGTGGGAACTGCAGGTCGAAACTGCAGGTGGGAACTGCAGGTCGAAACTGCAGGTCGGAACTGCAGGTCGGAACTGCAGGGTCCAGGTGGTCCCTTACACGTTGTGAGACGTCTCAGTCAACTCCTGCACTGCAGTCAGTGAGCTCCAGTCAGTGAGCTCCAGTCAGGGAGCTTCAGTCAGGGTTAGGGACTGCCACTGCCACTGCCTCAGGTGATCGCCCTCCTGAGAGAATCAACAAAGCAGTGGGCCTGGACCTGTACCTGTTCCCTTATGGCGTGCTCCCCTCGGGGTATGAGCGCGGCATCATCCAGGTGGTGCCCAACACGTTGTGAGAAGCGTCTTGGTCGTCTCATTGCTTGTACTCCTTCCCCTGCCTCAGGTGATCGCCCTGCTGCGAGACATCAACAAAGCAGTGGGCCTGGATCTGTACCTCTTCCCGTACGGCGTGCTCCCCACGGGGTACGAGCGTGGCATCATTCAAGTGGTGCCCAACACGCGCAGTCGCAACCAGATGGGAGACGTCACGGACGGCGGGCTCTTTGACATCTTCCAGAACGAGTTTGGCGCCATCGGGTCCGCCGGGTTCGAGCGCGCGCGGCATAACTTTATCGTCAGCAGTGCGGCGTATGCGGTGGCGAGTTTGCTGCTGCAGCCCAAGGACCGGCACAATGGGAACCTGCTTGTGGATAAGTAAGATCATATTTAGTAAGCATCTATGTAGGCCCTGTAGCGACGTTTGCTGTAGCGGCCTACGTTGTACCGAGTATCTCTCACCATGGACCTTGTTGTCTCTCACGCTCGACACATGCCCTCATATAAATCCTCTCCCATATCCCTCTCCCGGAACTTCATGCAGCGATGGCCGTCTAGTGCACATAGACTTTGGGTTCATCCTGGAGACGTCGCCTGCTGGCAACCTGCGATTCGAGAGTGCGCAGTTCAAGCTGAGCCACGAGATGACGCAGATCCTCGACCCCTCAGGCGACCTCAAGAGCGAGCCCTGGCGCCGCTTCGTTGGGTGAGACATGAGACAGGCTGCATGCTGTTCTTTGTCTGCTTGACATGGGCTTGCACAATTTTCTGTGTCTGATGACTTATGGGTTGACTCAAGAGTGACCTCAAGGGCGAGCCCTGGCACCGCTTCGTGGGGTGAGCTGAGACTGGCTCATGTGCTGCTCTCATTCCCCCGTGTCCATATTCTCCCTGCTATTGTTTCTTGTTGACTTTTGTTTGCGTGCTTCTTCGTTTCCACTTGGCATGGGCTCACATGGTTTCCCTTTTCTGATTGGCATGCGATTAAATGCTGTGTCTTTCCTACGTGACGTCCTTCATTCTCAACTCATCCCTTTTCTCCATCGACCCAATGCAGTCTGTGTGTGAAGGGCTATCTGGCGGCACGGCGGCATCAGGACGCCATATTGAACACGGTGCAGCTGATGCTGGATAGTGGCCTGCCCTGCTTCTCACGCGGCGATGCTGTTGGCAACTTGAGGAAACGGTTTCACCCAGAGATGGGCGAGAGGGAGGCGGCCAGCTTCATGATTGCCACTTGCGTGGATGCGTACAACAAATGGACGACCGCTGGATATGATTTGATCCAGTACATGCAGCAAGGCATTCAGAAGTAATGCCTGCAAGGCTGAAGTGTTCCATTACGTATTATATTGTATGTTGTGCTACTAATGGGTTGTTCTTTTCCAGCTTGGTCAAACCTTCTTTTGTGTATTTGATGATTAATTTGTACTGCTGTTTCAGTTTGTAGATTTATATATGCATTGCACGATCAAGTACCTTTGAGCGTATACGATTGACAATTGTTATCTTCGGAGTCCAACGGAGGCGCTTCTAAACGGACTTATCTGAAGGTCTTCCTTCTCTCAATGCTGGCCGAATCTCCACAAGCACAGCACATGTACATGCTTTGAAATCTAGTCTCATGAAAGCATTTCGTGCCATCTCCCACGCCATGGCTTCTCGCAGCGTCTCCTCGTCCCTCCAAGGGATGCGGGTTCTGACTGCGAGTTCCTCCGGTTCAACCTATGCAGTCGCAAGCCTGTCGCCAGCCGCACGTGCACGTGTGAATGCTGTCGCAAGCGTTCGCACGTTCGCGCTTTCGGAGCATTCGCAGAGCCCTCTGGCAGGCATTCGCTCTTCGCTCCGTCGCGCGGGTGGTGCGAGCGACGAAACATTGCGTTCAGGCAAAGAAATTAAACGATGCGCTGTGAATAATTCAAGCAGCAAACGATCCGTCGATGTCAAAGCACAGGCTGGCGGAGGAAATACAGGCTCCGGGGGCAGTAAAGGCGGAGGGAGAGGAGGCGGGGGCGGAGGGGGGAGCGGCGGAGGGGGTGGGGACGCGAGCAACGGCGGAGTTCCTCCTTCAGGACTTCAATTGCTGGCCCTAAGGTAAGCGACAATTTCAAGATGCGGTTGGTTAGCAAGCTTCGTGCACGTAGCCGTGACAGTTCTTTATGTGCTGTCTTCGCCTACCTTTCTCCACCCCGCGCCCCTCCCCACCCCTCCTTCCCTCCCTTCCCACTTTTCCCCCTTCTCTTCTCTCTGGCGTCAGCTACATGGCATCGCTAGAGTCACGACCGTTTGTGACAAAGGGGATCACAGCCGGCTTGCTGAACGCACTTGCAGACCTTTTCTGTCAGGTATGTTCAAAGGATGCGCTCTTGGTTGATTGGTGCACTTTCTTTTGATGGATAAGTACACACGTGCTCTTTTTGCAGATTGACTGTAAAAAGAGTTTTCCAATGTCGAAGCTACTCTTACCAGTACTCTTTTCCCTGGTTTTTGCGAGCTCACCTCCCTGCTTCTAGGTTGTTGTGGAAAAGGACTCATCCATTGATGTTCGACGGCTGGGAGGCTTCGCTGCCATTGGACTATTCATTGTCGGCCCCGCTTTGCATATCTGGTGAGGCTCGCTTGTTTTGAATTTGCCTGCTCTGAGTAGTACATTGCAGCCTTTTGTTTACTTGTCCACGGAAGAAGAGTTGATCTGTGATGTGCTTTGTGTGTGTTAACAGGTATGGCCTGCTTGGAAAGTTTATTCAAATTGAGGGTTTCAAAGGAGTTCTTGCTCGATTGCTCATTGACCAAGTAAGGGTTTTCCTTCTTGTAGCCTGTGCTTGTCAGTTGGATGATTGGCTGTGTTGCTTTCTTCTTTGCAATGCAGATGTTTGATGGTTCTTTTCTGTAAGTAATTGGTTAATGGCATCGTTTCTCTCTGTGCACATCAGGTGATATTTTCCCCGTTATCAATTGCCACATTTGTGGGGCTGGTATTGCTGCTGGAGGGCAAGCCAGGGCGTATTGTGCCTAAACTAGAGAAGGTGAGATGTCTACAGGGGACAGTTGTGAAGGCTTGGTTGCTGTAATGATGGGCATCAATTCACTTGACATTAAATGCTTCTGAGAATGAATGTGGCTTTTGCAGCGTTTGATAGCTCGGCTCTTGCTCCATGCAGGATTTTGTGCCAACTTGCATCAACATGTGGAAACTCTGGGTGCCGTTCCAGCTATTCAACTTCGCCCTTGTGCCTCCACAATTACAGGTATGCACTAGATCCAGGGCTTTTTATTTGCACTCTTTGTGGTTCTTCATCTTACCGCATGTGACTATTATTTTCTTGTTGGGCAGGTTGGTGCTGTGAATCTAGTGGGCCTAGTCTGGACCGTCTACATGTCCTTCGCAAGCCACAATGACATTAGTGATGCTAAATCCCATGAGAAAAAGGAAGCTGCATCTGCATAGGGTGTAGAATTTTGTGGCATGAGTTGCCACTGTGAGTTGCTTTTTATGACGTATAGAAGTGTTGTAAACCCCAGCGAGTTGCTTTTGGGTCTCAATGTCTCTTGATTGGTTGCCGCTGTGCAAATTTGTTGATCTGGTGAAGCTGAAACCAGAGGGCGCGCGATTAGAGGGACAGTCCACCCCGACGCCTTGCCCGATCGCGAATCCAACGGCCAAGATATTCGCAGCCAGTCGTCGAGTATCTCAGCGGTTCTGTCCCCCAATCTTACGGCCAAGCGTTCTCGCCTCTGCGAACAATCCCCCAGCCCAGCCCCACCAACTATCTTGTTCACACACGGAACATCCCTCCGCTCCGCCCCTCGCCATTGTAGCGCAGGAGGACCTAGACAATCACCAAACTCCGCCCACCAATTATCCTTCCCTTCCACCTTACCCTTTCCACCTCACCCCACCCTACCCCAGCCCACTCTACTCTTTCCCACCTCCCTGTTTCTTTTAGCAGGCGAAACACCTTCCACTCCACCTCTTGACGCGCTTTCCCCCTCACGGCTTTGTCCAGCTGAAGTTACCTCGGAACTAATCCCAGCGGCCATTGTTAGCGTTGATTTCTGTGACAGGTTAGTTTACGGCATTGCGTTGACCTTAGCTCTGCCTAGCACCGCATTGTGCCAACGTTGAAATTTACGTTGTTTGCCAATTTCGGGTCTCTGCTCTAACAACGAATGTAACGGTTTCGGGCATTTTCCTGTCAGCCATTGTCAAGGCAGAGTCACCGTCGAGCTGCACCTGCACAGGACTTGTCGAATACAAATAACTGCTACTACTAATAGCTTAAACCAGAAAACCGTAGTAGTTACAGACTCTTTAACTCCGCGCGGCAATGGCGGGGGGTGGTCTGCGTGTGGACGTATCAAGAGACGAAGGCGACGAGCATGCGGAGGGAACGGCGCAGCCCAAGGCGAGATTCTCCGGCGGGTCGCCGTCGGGCGAGTCGTCGCTGGTGCAGCAGCGCTTCCCGTCGTCCAAGATGAAGGTCGACGAGCTCTTCATTCAATGGCTCTCGCTGCCCGAATCGCAGAAGCTGGTGGGTTCGCCTCGCGAAAGTTGGCTCCGTTAGGGTTGGCTTTTGCAAGGGGTGGCCTCTCAAGAGTTGGCTCCGCTAAAGTTGATTCCGCTAGGGTTAGCTTCGCAAAAAGTTGACCTCGCGGGGGTTCTCTATGGCTAGGGTTAGCTGTGTCGGAATGACCGCAAGCTGCCTCTGTTGCAAGGTTAGGGTTTGCTTACGCATGCAAGGCGAGTGCTTGTTCGGAAATTGCTGGGACGACGATCTGTTAGAATGGGAAGGGAGATGTGAGTATCCGACATACGCATTCGTGGCTGAAGATATTTCCACCAGTGGGACTGGGGAAAAATACTATGGATGAAGTACCAATGGACCTCCGTTCCCGTTCGTGCATTTCTAAATTCGTCCCTACGCGCTCTTCACTTATTTCTCATTGACGACTAGTTTTCGCTTGAGATCCCAGCGTTCGGAAGCCAATGCTGACTGCTTCCCTCTCAAACCCCGCCATCTCACCTGCCACGTGTCATGGTCCAGGTGATGTCGTTATTGGAAGACGCCAAAGCAGGCCGTCCGCTAATAGCCCCCGGGGGGCCCAACTCTCACAGCGCAAGCGGAAGCCTCTCCCCGCTCTCCCCCACAAGCGCCTCCTCGCTCTTCGGCGCAACCCCCCCGCTCTCCCCGCGGAGCGACAAGCCGATGTCGCCCAAGTCGCCGCTGCGTCGCCAGGCGTCGGGACTGAGCCACGCGGGATCGCCCGTGAAGCCGCACGCGAACCGAAGCTTCGAGGCGATTCCGCAGTTCTACTTTCCGAACGGCCCGCCGGCGACGGAGGACGTGGCGAAGCAGTGCATGGTGAAGATCCACCAGTTCTTCCACGAACACCCCGAGGGGCTCAACGCCGAAGGTGAGTGCGCGGGAGGGTGCGCGGGAGGATGCGCGGGAGGTTAGACAAAAAGTAGAACGTCTATTCTCGAGAGACGGAGGACGTGGCGAAGCAGTGCATGGTGAGGATCCACCAGTTCTTCCACGAACATTCCGAGGGGCTCAACGTCGAAGGTGCGTACGGGGGAGGGTGCGCCGGCGGGTGAGGGGGAGGGGTATGGGGGAGGGTGCGCTGGAGTATGGGCGGAAGGTGGAAGGTTTACCCTTGAGAGATGGAGGACGCGGCGAAGCAGTGCATGGTGAAAATCCACCAGTTCTTCCACGAACACCCCGAGGGGCTCAACGTCGAAGGTGCGTACGGGTGGGGGAGGCTGTGGGGGAGGGTGTGGGGGAAGGTAGGCGGGAGGTTGGGCGGGCGGGTGCGTGGGAGGGTGTGCGGGAGGTTATGCGGAGAACACGCCCAGGGATTATATGCGGAATGCATCTGAGCAGATGCGGACGCGCGATTTGTATGAGCCTTAGGTAGTCACATAACATCATCCCACACCCCCGTACCTCGTTCCTTTCACCTTCCTTCACTCTCACCCTCTCTCTCCTCCCCTCGTCTTGCAGCGTTCATGGCGGTGACACAGGAGGTGTGCAACGTGCCGTCCTACCCAAACACCCCAGTGGCGTCATGCCCCAACCCGCTCTCTCTCCGTCTCCCCTCCCACTCTCCGCACGTCTCTCCCCCCCCGCCGCGCAGCATTCATGGCGGTGACACAGGAGGTGTGCAACCTGCCGTCCTACTTCAACTCGGTCATCTTCCAACGCATCGACTCCGAATCCACCGGCCTCATCACCAAGTGAGTTCTCATCTCGCTTAATTCCCTTCTCTTCCCTCTTATCCCCTCTCTCTCTCTCTCTCTCTCTCTCTCTCTCTCTCTCTCTCTCTCTCTCTCTCTCTCTCTCTCTCCTATTCACGGTCTCCTACTCATCTTTTCCCATCCGTATCCATCGACCGCCTCTTCTCCCCTGCCCGCGTCCTCCTGTTCCTTCCTCCCCCGCTCCTCAGAGACGCGTTCATGCGGTTCTGGGTGGACCGGCGGCTGCTTGCAGCAGACATGGCGACGCAGATCTTCCACGTGCTCAAGCAGGACCACCAGAACTACCTCGTGCAGGTACTATCTGAGGCAGTGGTGCAGGTACTATCTGAGGCAGTGGTGCAGGTACTATCTGAGGCAGTGGTGCAGGTACCATCTGCAGCAGTGGTGCAGGTACTACCTGAGGCAGTGGTGCAGGTACTATCTGCAGCAGTGGTGCAGGTACTATCTGCATCAGTGGTGCAGGTACTAAACGCATCAGGACCACTAGAACTACCTCGTGCAGGTACTATCTGCAGCAGGAACCAATTTCAGGTGCCATGTGGTGCTGGGTGTCCCATTTATCCGCGTGTCATTGTCCCCTCCTCTCTCTGTCTATCCTCCCTCACTCTCTCCTCCCCAACCCTGCCCACTCTCTCACTTGCCCCCGCCCCCGCCCTTTTCTCTCCTGCACACCGTGTTCCCTTCACCAACCCACCAATCTCTCCTCCCCCTCGCCTCTCCCCCCTTTGCTCCTCCCTTCCTTCCCCCCCCCTGCGCGCGCTCCACAGGACGACTTCAAGCCAATCATGCGCGAGCTGCTGAACCGCCACCCAGGTCTCGAGTTTTTGCACGACACGCCTGAGTTCCAAGAACGATACGGTGCGTGTTCATGTCACAGGTGGGGTTTGAGACGTCTCAAAGCAACAATACGGTACACATGCAAGCAGCAAGTGCGGTGTGGGTAAGCAACTGCTGTGCAAGGTTAGAATATTGAGCCACGTCCTAGCTTGTCTCAGTGTCCTTCTCTCGATCCCTTTGTATCTCTATATATCCCTAATTACCTTCCTCTCCATGTCGCCTGCCAGTCATCCCCCACTCGTCTCTCTCCTTTCCGCTCCCCCCTCTCCATCCCCCCCCCAATTTCCCGCTCACATGGTGCAGCTGAGACGGTGATATACCGCATATTCTACCACATCAGCCGGTCGGGCAACGGGCGCATCTCACTGAGAGAGCTCAAAAAGAGCAACCTCATGCAGGCGCTGCAGCAGGTGGAGGAGGAGGAGGACATCAATAAAGTGCTCAAGTGAGTCGGTAGAATATGCTTCTTGAGACCGCTGCAGAAGCCCCTAGACAAGTGCTACAGCAAGTGAAGCAGACCGCTGTCCACGTGGTGTGCTTCACGTTCTGGCTCTCAGGGGCCTCCACCATCCCCCTCCCCCTGCAGGTACTTCTCGTACGAGCATTTCTACGTGGTGTACTGCAAGTTCTGGGAGCTGGATTCGGACGTACATTGCAAGATCCACACACCAACCACCCCCACCATCCCCGCACCACACCCCACCCATCATTAAGCATCTCAAGTCCACTCCCTCTCACAACAACCCCTCCCCCTGCAGGTACTTCTCGTACGAGCATTTCTACGTGGTGTACTGCAAGTTCTGGGAGCTGGATTCGGATCACGACTTCCTCATAGACAAGGACGACCTGCTGCGCTATGGCAACCACGCCCTCACCTACCGCATCGTCGAGCGCATCTTCGCCCAGGTGAGATGAGGCAATTCTCAAAGCGCCTCAGAAAGAGCTGACTTTTGAGTCGACTCAAAAGTCAGCCCAGGTGAGATGAGGCAATTGTCAAAGCGCCTCAGGAAGCAGCTACCACTATGTTGAGCGCATTTTCGCTCGTGACTGAAAGTCGTTCCCCAGGTGGGTGGTGGGGGATCGTATCTCAAGTGGGCCTTTCTTTGGGTTATCCTTCTGTTTCTCACCCCTATGGGTTTCGCTACTCCTCTTCCCCACTTCTCTCACTGTAGGTGCCCCGGCCGTTCACGAGTGGAGTGGAGGGCAAGATGGGGTACGAGGACTTTGTGTGGTTCATCCTCTCAGAAGAGGATAAGTCGTCTGAACCCAGCCTCGAGTACTGGTGAGTCTCTTCTCTTGCTGTCTTTTGTAGGGAGCTTACTTGGGTAGATGTGCCAGTGCATGTGTGGGCGTGCACATCCGTGCACATTTCCTCCCTCACCCCAATCCCCCAATCCTCCTTTTCTTCCTCCCCGCAACATCCCCTTAGCGTGCACACTTACCAAGTTCCGGTGTGTGGATCTGGACGATTACAAGCGCATCAGAGCCCCAGAAATAGTATTTGAGGCACCTGAATATTTTATCCTTCCCTCCTACACAATCTTGGCGTGCATGCCAGGCTCTGGTGTGGATCTGGACGACGACGACCCCATCACAGCACCCTACATGCTTTCTTAGGCGCCTCAATCAAATGCTTTCAATTATTTGTCCCCTCCACACATCCTTGGCATGCATACCAGGTTCCGGTGCGTGGATTTGGATGGGGACGAGCGCATCACAGCACCGGAGATGCAGTATTTCTACGAGGAGCAGCTGCACCGCATGGAGTGCATGGCGCAGGAGCCCGTGCTCTTTGAAGACGTTGTGTGCCAAATGGCCGACATGATTAAACCCGCGGTGAGCATGGGGGGGAGAGAGATGCTGGCGCAGTAGTTGCAGCACCGCAGAATTCTTTGAGGTCGTCTGCTAAAGGGTGGTATGATCAAACCTGCGGTGAGCATGGGGTGAGGGATGCTGGTCCAGGAACGGAGGGGTTGCGCTGGGCTAGACTGCTTGGACAGATGGGTATTTGATAGCACATTTTCCTGGGTTGGGCACTCCAATGAAATGCCTCCATGGTGTTTCGAGCAAAGACCAGTTGTTGAATTGCATGTACCATGTCAATGTATCTTATGCATTTCTTCCTGTGTGCTGCGCTTCCCTGACACTCTCCTGTCACCTTGAGCAGAAGGATGGAGTGATGACGTTGCGTGACCTGAAAGGGTGTAGATTGTCGGGCAACTTTTTTAACATACTGTTCAACCTTAACAAATTCGTGGCGTTCGAAACACGCGATCCTTTCCTCATTCGACAGGTGAGCCTTTCCTTTTTCAACAGACAAAATAGATTGACGGATTGGTCTCTGCCTATGAAGAATGCCACAGCCACTTGTGCAATCTGCAGCAAGCTAATATGCACTTCCTCCTTGCTACAGGAAAGAGAAGACCCCACGTTAACAGAGTGGGACCGCTTTGCTCGAGCGGAATACATCCGACTGTCTATGGAGGATGAAGGGGATGATGCTTCCAATGGCAGTGCAGAGGTTTGGGATGAGTCCCTTGAGGCTCCCTTTTGAGCAGCATAGTGTAGCACCCACGGTGTGATATCAAATCGATTGATTGCATAACTTGTGCTGTTGCAATAACGAAAGGGCGTGCCTGCTCCCTAATTACTGAAACCCTGGTTATCTCCCTCCACATAGCATGTGTGCAAGCTACTTGCTATACTAAACCATTGAGTCCTAGTGTTATGTAAATGTGCTGTTCTGCAATAAAAAATATTTCCATTGAAGGTCTACCTGAGGCTGAGGTGCACAAATAAGAACACATTTCAATTTTGGTACCGATGTCAACATGTGAACAGAACAGTGTGACTGCAGGTAACCAACCAACTATGACTTGGATGAGACGTTCATGCTGGTATGGCTGCACCACTGTCGGCAACAGCTGAAGGCTGAACATCCGTTGATGCCTGCTGTGCGTCAGAGCCATTACTCTCGCCACTTTCACTTGTTGCTCCTGATGGAACTGCATCTGCGGACTTGTCTGTGGAATCAACTGCATCAGCGGTCGTAGGTTCCTCCACGCTCACACTCTCTTGCTCATGCTGCTGCTGTTCCTGGGCCTGTTCATGCCACTTCTTCCTTTCCGCCTGCAATAACCGGCATAGACCCTCCAGCTTCTGCTTCTGAGCCTGCAGCGTCTCAAGCTGCTTGCGCTGTGCCGCACGCTACCACAGCAAAACACAGAGACAAAGTCAAAGGTAATGGAGAGGAAGAAGCATCTTTGTAAGAGCAGAACCGTTCATCTTTCGTTGGCAAAAGGTCAATGGCAATTACCTCATCAAGAAGCTCAATCAGAGAAACATCCGACTTTTCAGACTTGGCTCGAAGTTCAGAATTGTCCTTCTCCAGCTTCTTGATGCGTTTCGTCATCTGCCATTGGATGGAGTTACATCAGTAAGCCCGTCAGACAAAAAATGCTCTATCCAGTAAAGTTAACAGGTGAGGATTAGACTTGCCTTGTCCATTTCCTTCTTCATTGTGCCAAGGACTTCGTTGCTCTTGGACAAAGTACCCTGCATCAAGAAACCTTACCTTAATGAGCCCACACCATCCAGGATTCTGCAGCCAACCACAATACTTTGGGCGAAAGTGACATCCTACCTGGAATTGATCAAACTTATCAATGTATAACGCCAACTGGCCCCTCAGCTCTTTTTCTGTCTTGAGAAGATCAATGACCTGTTCGCCTCTTGCCTTGCTCTGTTAGAGAGTGGGGCAGTGTTATGGAACACAGAAGAATGGGGAACTAATTATGCTGACAGTATTATTCATGGCAATCCATCATGAAACAAGCATATTTACTGGTTTGTCAGCTTACCAGAGCCCGTTCTTCGACCATTAACTTCTCTTGCTGCTTGAACTTTGCATCCAACAGCTGATACTCAAGGTCTTTCGTCTTGATCTAGGGACAAGATGGAAATTCAAGAGCAATATCATATTAAAATTTCGGAAAAAACAAAAGAATACGAATAAAAAAGCACCAGAAAAAGCCTCTTACAAAGTGAAATCACTTACAAGGTGAGCCCAGTACTTCTCCTTGACGTCTGCATGCTCTTGGATTTTCTTGAGTTGCTCGGCAAGACTGCACACATCATTGGATAAAGGGTTGACTAACGGAATAACAACCCCGCTTCACATGCCATATGAGATCGGAGGGAACTTGCACTTTAAGCCATTTCAATATTACATATGATTTTCCTTAAGGTGGCTTGATCTTTCAGCTCCCTGCTCTTCCAATCTGAGTTCGATGTCCTGCAAACAGCCAAAGGAAATCATGTGCTTGAATACCATCAACGACAGTGAGGAAGAGCGGCAGCTTAGGTCCTGGAATACCTTGATGGAGTCTAGGAATTTAGATGATAACTCCTCTCGTTTCTGCTGCTGCTCGTTTGCAGCCTTCTTGCTTTCTTCCTGTGCCACCAACGGCATTGAGCAGAAAGAAACAGCATGAGAAAATGATCCAGAAGAGCTAAAACGGATTACGGAAGCTTGCTGGAACGTACCAATATGGTCTTGTTTTGCTTCTGAAGTTCACGGCACAAGGTCTCCAATTTGCCACGAAGCGTGGCAGACTTCCTCATTTCGGCCATAACTGAAATATAAAGTATATAGCCGGTAAGCACTTCAAACATGGAATGTTTTGAATAAACGGCATAAGACAAGAGGAAGCAGTTGTCGCACCAGAGTCGCGTTCCCTTGTTAGTTGATCAATCTTCTTCAGCAAAGCTGCGCTCTCCTTATCGCCAGCCTTAGCTTCCCGTGCCTGCAATGGGAAAGGTCAGACAATGAGAGCAAGCGAAAACATTGGAAACTAGTCATGTTCGGCTTACCTGCGCCATTATCTTGGAATGCAGAATCTTAATCTTCTCATCCGCTGGTACTTCAGGGTCATCAACGACACGCCGTATTTGTTCCAAAGCCAGCTTCCCTCCCTTTCCTGCAAGAGCGGGATGACGTTTCAGCCTCGAGTTAACAAGGTTTAGCTTAGCCTTGGTGAATGCACAGGAGAGTCTACTGTTCAAAGAACTATTACCCTGAGATTTGGTCTTCCCTTCGGCTGAAGTTGACTTAGACGAGGATGCGGAGGTACTCGCCGGCGTGCTTTCCAGTCCAGTTTCAGCTGTGCTCTCAGCAACATTTCCCTGCTCTGTAAGACCCTCTTTTTTGTCAACGCTTTGATCGTCGACACGAACGATTCCATCCTCCACTTCCGGGACATGGACCGTCGCTCCTTTCTGCCGATCCTCTGCCTGCGGAGCTTCGAAACTCGTCATACCGGAATCCGACGGGGGTTGAGCCGAGTCAGCCATTCCTCGACCAAGTAAGTATTAGAGTAATAAAATAACGAGAATCTAGTTTAAGTGACGAGATAGACACGGAGATTCAGGAACACAACAGACAGCCAAGGCAGAATTCGCTGACCCACCACTAACAACCTCGAGTAGCAGGCAAGATGTTGAAAAACGCAAGCACTGTACTTATTACAGCAGGTTTTCTGATTCTTCAAACCATGTATTCACAATACTACACCAGATTTTTAGGAATTTAATAAAAAGTTATATAGAACATTGCATTTGGCCAACATGCAGTAGGAGGCAACTGATTGCAGCTTATACATTTATGCGAAGAGCCCTGTTACATGAAAATCAAGTTTGCATCCAAAGAGCCATATGGACCTGACTCTCTCCTCCATAACAACATATCAGACCCAGCCATGCAGATTATCTACATGTTGGCATGGCCGGGCTTTGCGACAAAGGCATTGCTATATGCCTGTACCCTGTCGTTTGTGCATGCGGTGAGCATGTCGTGAACGAATGCACCCCAGTTTTCACAACATGCTCCTTTCTCGGTTCCCCGCAATCCCATGTCATCCTGTCTCCTATGCCAGCCATGCCTTCCTCCAACCCTAGCCTTCCCCTCAACCCTGTTACACCTTGTCCCCTCCATGCCCCTTCACGTCCACTTTCGGATCCATGGATGCTCTGCAGAGACGATGGAAAGGAGCAACACGAACACAGAAAGCAGAATGGGACAAAGGACAATAGAAGCTGGTCGCGATGACCCATGAGCAATGTCAGCTATGTCACCCCACCAGACTACTGTGATCCAACACCTTCTGAGTGAAGCATCCTCTAATCCGTTACCGCATTAGCTCGTTTTGAGAACTGTGCACCTACCACTTGGGTACTAGCACACCAAGTCATGCAACTCTTTTGTTGCCAGATATTTCTCGAGCACGTTTCACCGTGGGACCTTCTCCAACATCCGTTTCAAACCCTCTGTTTCCTCCAATGCCCCAACCATAACTCCCCAGCACCACTTCCCACCGTGGCGTACCTAGCACTTGGCTGGCCGTGAGTCGTTTGGCAGGGCACCTCTCCAGCATGCGCAGCACGAGGTCCTTTGCCTCCTCCGATACCCCTTTCCACCGCTCAGAGCGCAGCCTCACGGGCTTCTTGAGGATGACATCTGTCACGCTGTGATTGGCCGAGGGCCGGAAGGGCGGCGTACCGCAGAGCATGATGTAGAGCACGACTCCAGTGCTCCAGATGTCGGCTTCGGGGCCGTAGCATCCGCTGATGACTTCTGGTGCCATGTACTCTCTCGTGCCCACAATGTCACTCAGGGGCACACCTGGTGGTGATGGCGGAGGAAGGAGAGAACAAGAGGCGGAATGGTTGGGGAATGGGGAGAATAAAGAGCACATGATGTAGAGCACGGCACACACACTTCAAAACGTTAGCCTGGGGACGCAGAATCTCGTGAAAAAGAGAATGTCAGGAGGGCTCACTGTGTAAGACAAGCTCGTGACACACGCCAACACACACCATACCTTGCTTGAACGCAGAGGCCACCCCGAAGTCAGCAAGCTTGATGGGGGAGTTGGGGCGTGCGTGCAGCAGGAGGATGTTCTCGGGCTTGACGTCACGGTGAATGATGCCCTGCCCGTGGCAGTGCTGCAGTGCTGCCACCACTCCCCTGCACACCAACGCGCACACGCCCTCGCTCTGCCGCCCGTTCCGCCGAATCAAATCGAAGAGCTCGCCGCCCGCACAGAGCTCCATGACGACGTGGATGTTCTGCGACGAAAGCAAAGAGACAGAGAGCTTTGTAAGTCCTGAAACAGGAATCCTGGGTTCTCAACAAAAGATAGCTCATGAAAAGTTTTCCCATCCCATGCACAACAATGAATCGGCAGCGTTTTGAGGCATTCTGAACCCATGCCATGCATCGCTCACCTCGGCATCTTCAAACACAGCCTTGAGCGTCAGCACGTTCGCATGGCCCCTTACTGCCTGCAGGCATGCCAGCATGCGCCTCACATCGTCCGCATCCTCGCTGGTGCGAATCCCCTTCTTCTCCACTGTCTTGCATGCGTACACCTCGCCAGATGCCACCTCCACACATCTCCTCACCACGCCCAGCTCGCCCTGCCCCAACACCTCCTTCTTTATAATCACAAACGATGCTGCTATATCGGAGTAATCCCTGCCTAGCACGTGGTCCCTTGGGTGGGAGTCAGCCGTAACTGCTGCAGCTTCCTCCTGCTCATGCGCCCAGACATCAGCATGAGCAGCAGCTTTACAATCAGTGTGAACGTCACCGCCAGAAACGATATCTTCATCTGCATCATCACGAGCAGCAGCATTGTTAACAGCCTTGCCTCCATCGCACCTTTTACTCCTTCGCCTTATAGAACTCCCATCCCTCCTCCCCTCCCGTCCATCCGTTTCCTCCTCTTCCTCGCTCCCCTCTCCCTCTCCTGCTCTCCCCGCTCGCCCTGCCAGCTGCTGCTGATGAAGTGCCACCACACGCTGCAGCTTAGCCAGGTCCTCGGGCCTCTCTTTGGCCAATGCATCCAGCATTCGAAACAGTTCGCCAGATGCATTCCCGCCCACTCCCGTCCCAACCTCTACCTCTTCTTCCTCTTCCTCCTCCTCCTGGTGCTGCCGCTGTGCCACCACCGCAGGGTTGGACTGCTGGGACTTGGCATGCCGGAGCTTGGCAGAGCCATCTGCAGAACGGGAGGACTTAAACGATCTCGACGAGACAGCACCTACAGGGACTGCGTGTGAACCGTCGGATTGAGGTTGCGATGGCTGATGAGTGAGCGAACGCGGTAACCGGGTTGACACCCCACCCACCCTCTGTCCCATGCACTGAGGTTCGTCAAACCGGCTCGGGGGCTGGTGGGTTGTCAGCGAGCGGGGCAGGCGGACAGCAGATGCTGGAGCGCCGAGGCCCGTGGTGTTCCGGCGAACCACTTCGGACGCCTCCCCCCCATGCTGCTGGGACTTGACCCTCCGGAGCTTCTCTCGCTCAGGAGCAACCGAATCTCCGTCTTGACACGGGACGCGCCTTGCCTTGGCGGCCGTAGAGCCTTTAATAGGAGACGAGGAGGTGGATGGTGCAGCAAATTGCGCAGCAGAGTGAGCAGCAGAAGAGGAGTCCGGGGTGTGCTGGGAGTATACACGGCGCAACTGGTGGTCCACGTGGGGGGCGGTGGATGGACGCCTCCTGCTCTCTGCCCCACCTGTGGGACGAGTTATGGTTACCGCACCTATGTCCCTTTGCTGCTGCTGCTGCTGCTGATTGGGACGATGGCTGTGCTGGGTGTATCCCAGACGAGAAGCAGCAGCACCATCATCTCCGCCCTCCCCATCCTCGTCTCCCTCAGACAGCCCACCGTCTGACTCTGCTCCCACGTCCTCACCATCGCTGCACCAGCCGTGGGTGACAGTGGGGGCATCCATGCAGAACACCTGCCTCAAGCGCCTCCGCCTGCTCACCGCTACGGTACCTCCCTCTCCACCGCCCCCACCTGCACCTCCTGCTGCTGCTGCCTTGGATTTATTCAATAACTTCTGTCCGCTTCCCGCTGCTATTGCTCCCTCCTTGTCCTTTCGCGAACTCGTTCTAGAGTTCCTTATTCCTTTGGATCCGCTTGCTTGCCCTTGACTCACCCCTGCTCCTCCTTGCCCTTGCTCACACGCTCCTAACTCTCTCCCACTCTCCTTCCCTGCCTTCGTATCCACTACCCTGTGGCCCATAACGCACCCGCTCCTGTCCTGTAGTGCGTGTCCGCCGAAGGAAGCACTGCGCCTGTGCGCCCCACTGGGTTTACAGGTGCGGGAAGCAGACGCAGGAAGGCCGGGTGGGAGAGCCTTGGCCCTGGTTGCAACAGCGTCAGCACCGGCACCAGCAGCAGTGGCGGCGGCAGCAGAGGTTGCGGTGCTAACAGCCGCGGATGCTGCAGCTCGGGTGGCAGCAGAGGTGCCATGGAAGGTGCGTGTGTGGGTGAGAGAAGAAGCGGCGGATGGTGCGATGGAGCCTGCAGCACGGCCGCCGAAGCTGGCCGATTGGGTGAGTCTCCCCTTGGGATCCCTGCTGCTGGGGAGCAATGCAGCTGCTGAAGCACTAGCAGCCGCAGCAGCATCGGCATTCGCTGGAGCAGCAGCAGTTGCCGGGCGTGCATGAGCGCCATGCATGGACGCATCCATACTCACGCCTCGCCTGTGTGATGTGCCTCCCCTGCTGCCCCCCATGCTCTTAGACCGACTGTGCCGATTCTGTTTCTCCCCCGTCTGGCCCTCATTTCCTGACGACCGTGCCTGCTGCACCATCACACTAAACTGCTCTGACACTCTCCTCCCAGCGGCCTTCTTCCCGTGCTCGCCACCATGCTCTCGCTCCTCCCTGCTTTCCACGTCAGCCCTGCCCTCTGGTAGCCTGTCCCTGCTGTTCTCCTGCAACTGTATCCGCACCATGCTCTCGCCATCAATTCTAATGTGAACCGCCTCCTCGCTCATATCGCCCTCCATACTTGCATATGCTGACTGGTCGTAGCTCTTGCTCCTGCTCCGCCTCTTTTCCCCATCTCTCCGCCTCTTCTCTCCATCTCCCCCTCTCTCTCCCCGTCGCTCTCCACCTTTCCCTTCCTCCCTGCTACTTCTCCTCCTCTCCTTCTCCTTCCGCCTCCTCTCCTCATCTCTCTCCAGCCCTTTCACCATCACCTCCCCTATCCGCCGTTTAAACTCATCCATCTTTCTCCGCTCCGCCTTTACATCCTCTTTATTGCTCGCCTCATTTCCTGTCCTCAGCGCCTTGAGTCTGAGGCGAAAGAGGGACATTTTGCTTCCAAGTACCCCCTCATCCGAGTGCCTCCGCACCTTCAGAGCCTTCAGCCTCTGCTTGAAAACCGCCATTTTCTCACTCCCTCCATTGCACTCCGCCAGCCAATCAGAATCCGCCACTTGGCCACAGGTGGCATCCAAACCATCCTCGCAGCTACTAGATCTGTCGAGCCTTCCTTGCCTGCCTTGCCTTTCATCTGGTGCAGGAGCCGTCTTTGGTCGAACAGAGCCATTCCTGCTCCCCTCTCCCACAACAACCATCATCTCGTTATAATCACTCCAGCAACCTTCCGTGCATTCGTCATCTGCATATCTCAGCCTCGATGCAGTCACATCCGTTTCTGCCACAGGCGGCGTAGCAGAGCGTTGCACGTCCTCAGCCGGACTCACCTGCTGACTCGTAGCAGCGTCGGAAGCACTCTCTGGACTGTCCAAAATGAGCACATCTGGTGCAGATCGTGGCTGTGGAAGAGCCGACGGCGGAGATCGCTTCGCTGAGCTCCTGCTGGAAGGACGCCTGCTAACACCGTCTGTGCGAGATCGGCCGGGCTTGACAATGGGCCCACCCTCGGTGTTGCCGCTGATGTTGGACGTGCTTATATGGGGTATAACCTCGCCGAGGCTCGCAAGAACAGGGTGGTATTGTTGTGCTGTGGGGGGAGAGTGAGCATCCCTGTGGTTCCGACCCACTGACTGGCTTTGATGCCTGCCTTTGGCACAAGGTTCAGACTGGGAGTGGGGAAACATCGCCGCTTGACTGCACAGGTGAACCCTTTCATCCGCATGTGTCTGCGACCGCGGCATGCGTGACTGTATCGGGTGTGACAGTGAGCGGTGTGACTGTGAGCCGTCGGAGCTGGAGAACGGGAACGCGGAGGAGCACGGGCTGCTCTGATCGTCCGTCGCGGATTGCGGCCCGCCGGGCGGGGATGGAGACCCCTCCCATATAGTCTGTCGCGAATTGCATCGCCGAGTCGCGGCGTCGCCCGATGGAACGGCCTTTCTGGAACTTCGTCTGGAAGACGCCTGTCCCACGGAGGCAGACTCAGGAGATATCCCCGATGCATGCATCGTAGTGCTGCCTCCTGCAGCCTGCCTCCGTCTCCCAGCGTCTGCCTTTCCACAATCAAGGCGAATGACCGAGGTAGTGGCGCTTGAGCCTGAACCACCACGGTGGTCGCGAGAGAACGGCATCATGTCTGCTTGAGGAGCCGTAGCCGGCCGCGACCTCGTCACCTTGACGTTGCTTCGGAGCGCAGGATGATGCCCGTCCAAACGTTGCGAGCTACCGGACATATCATGGATACGCGCTACATCCGCTTCCGCTTCCCCCGCCATGATGGAGCGCCTCGTTGCATTCGCCGCGTCGTCGAGCCAGCGGAGAACCTCCGCCTGGGTCGCTCCGGAGGGGTGCGGCTGGTGAATGCGACGCGGCGAGATTATGGACGCTGGCGGCCTCCGGTGCGCCGCGTTACTCGAATGGGAAGTCGAGTGCGAAGCGATTCGGCAGGGATTGTCTTGGATGGAACCTCTACTGCGTGATCTACGGTGCGCGCCGTGCTGAGCCGGCTCGTCGTCGCGGCGGTTTCGAGAATGTTCCATGGATTCGCATTCGGCGCGGATGGGCGAGTTCCACGAGCTGCTTGCGCAGTTGAGCAAGGGATTTTCCGAGGCAACGGTAGCCATTCGCACGTGATCCGGCGTTTATTGACACTGACAATTAGCACTACTACAAGCCCAAGTTGCAAAATCGTTCGTCACCTAGAGGTGAAAGAATCTCCAACAACGCTTCGCGACGTAAGAATAGAGACGCCTACACTAACGCAAATGTTCCATGGTACACCATGTCTTCACCCTTCACAATGACAAGCATGGCCATGGGCTGAAATTAGCTGGTAGCTGCTGATATGACCTCCCTGAAGGGTCAAGTACACGTACCTGACTGCAAGATGGTGACGAGGGCAGAAATTCAGGCTGGCCTTGGGAATGACGAGCTGTAATGACGAATTTGGCTCGAACCTGCAGACGGGGCTAGCTGAGGCGGGACCTGGTGAAGCCTAGGGGTTGGGCGGGACGAGATTGAGCGGATGGATGAGAATCAACGGCTGAATGGGTTTCACGGCATGTGCTGGATGATGCGGTGTGCTGCCAGCGGAGGCAAGAGGCCGCGAGGCGCGGACAAGCTCCACGACATGCCCCACAAGCAGGGCAGGGAGCGCGCGACAAAACCTAGGGACGGAAAAGCTGGTTGCAGCTGGCGAAATCGGATTATTCAACCACCAGGGTGTCGCAAGCGATTCTTCGCATTTCGCCCGGTCACCATGGGCCGTTGGCGGCACGGATGTGACATCGCTTCATGTCGTGAAAACCAGCATGGTTACGGCTCGGGGAAGTGAAGGACCATCATGCGCGGATGGCACGAGCATTGGCTGAGGGGGTCATAGGCAAGGCGAGAAGATGTGCGAGGGAAATGAGGTTTGACGAAGAAACCCGTTTGAGTCATTCTTCTCATGAAGCACAGTGATGTTAAATAGGTAATACTGTAAGTAGTACAGTACGAGGGACTAACCTAGTTTTAGCATCACTTCTACGGGTGCTGCAGTCTACACCTCTTGAAACCATCTATGTCCTGTAATAGATAGAAACACGCAGGAACAGACGATTAGACACAGCAACAGCAGCCACACAAAGGTGGGGTAAGGAATGGAGCATGAAATACAGGTGTGAGGGAAAACGAAGTACACTATCATTCCTCATCATCTCCTCACACACAGCATTCTTTGTGATTTCCTTACCAATAGCTTGCTGTGCTGTGATTCGCCGGTGTGGGTTCTTATCCAGCATAGCCCGAACAAGGTCCTTGGCAGCTTCGGACACGCCGACCCAGGCTGCTGAGGCAAAGCGAAGCGGCTCGGAGCGAATGGCTCGGAAAATACCCTCATTGGTTTCTGCCCAAAAGGGTGGCACACCACAGAGCGCTGCATATGAGACGACGCCAGCCGCCCACACGTCAGCCTGTGGAGACCAGACTCCATCAAGGGTTTCTGGCGCGAGATAGAGAGGCGTGCCACACAGGGTGCTGCTGCGCACGCCTGCAGGAGGGAGGACGGAGAAGGGGCAATGGGTTTATGTGTGGATGGAATTGATGGAAGTGATGCAGTGAAGGGGGGAAGCAGGTGAGTGTATTAGGTTTGAAGACATCATTTTTTATATACTAGTTACCTGGTTGGTGCTCAGCGGCAATCCCGAAATCGATGAGCTTGATGCTGCCAAAGTCCCCCTCAGCCCTCGCTAGAAGCACGTTCTCCGGCTTCACATCACGATGCAGCACACCGCACGCGTGGCAGTGATCCAATGCCGACAGCAGCTGGAAACAGACGGACGCCGCCGCCCGCTCGGTGAGTGGTCCGTTGGTACGCATGTAGTCAAAGAGGCCTCCTCCTCGACAGAGCTCCATCACGAGATGAATATTCTGGCCGCCCAGGATGGTAGAGGGGAGAGGAGTGGGGAAAGGTGGGGTGCAGTGGAGAGAGAAGATGGGAGTAGCAACGTCGAATAGGATGTCGCAGATGGGCGTGAGAGAGGGTTGGTTGTTGGTGGTTTGTTGCCGGGACGGACAATAGTCCACTCTGAGAGAAGAGGAAGCATTCATGCAGCACGAATATGCCAGCCCAAGGCCCACTCACGTGGTTCTCGTGTGCTCCTTTCTCACGGTGTTCTTAAACCTTAGTTCAAATGCACCCCACACACCTCATGGTCCTCGAAGACAGCGTGAAGGCGCACGACATTGCAGTGCCCTGCCACTCGCTCCATCATCTCCACCTCCCTCCTCAGGTCCCGCGCTTCCTCCGCTGACTGGCACACACACGCAGCACCCAGGGTATTGTGCGGGGGAGGAAGGGGGTGCAAGAATGGGGAGAGTGAGGGTAGGGAGTGAATATATGAGGCGACACACGTGCACGACACTGAACTCACCTTTCGAGACACCTCAAAAATTCCTCTGACCACCCTCTCGATACCTCCCCCCAGCGGCGCAAGCACGTGAATGGAGTCCTTTTCAATGGACTTGCACGCCAGCATGACCCCCGTGTCCACCTCACAGCACACGCGCACGACGCTGAACTCGCCCATGGCCACCACCTCGTTACCCCCTCTAACCACCCAGCTCACTCACGTGAATAGAATCCTTCTCGATGGTCTTGCACGCCAGCATGACGCCCGTCTCCACCTCGCGGCACACGCGCACGACACTGAACTCGCCCATGGCCACCACCTCGTGGCGCCGCACCTCAAACTGCTCCGCGATGTCGCTGTACGGCTGCCCCAGCACAAACGCGCGGAACACCGCGTCCATCCCCACTCGGTGCCGCCGCGGCCCCACCCACCCCCTCCGCTCCTCCGCCGCCTCTGCTATGGCTGCCCCCTGCTGCTGCTGCTGGGGGTGCTGCTGGTGCTGGATGGAGGGGTGATTCACCTGTGGGTGCTGCTGCTGCTGCTTGTGCTGCTCCAGTGCGTCTAGTCGCTGTTGAATGCGCAGCCCCTTTTGCACCATCGCAGCATCATGAGCTGTGAACGACGCACTCAGCTGCTGCTGCTGCTGCTGCTGCTGCGGCAGCGGCTGTGGCAGTTGCTGGAAATGATTCTGCTGCTGCTGCTGCGGCGGCGACTGCTGCTGTTGCTGGTGCATATGCAGAAAGGCGATTCGTTTCTGCGCGAGAAGCGCCTGCTCCCTCTCGTCACCCGGCGAACCCCGCGTCGCACTCGCAGGTGAATACCCACTGCTGCTAACAGGAGAATACTCCCTCCCACCGCCAACTGCATGCTCCCCAGCCGGCCCTACAAGCCCAGGCAGACCCCCTTCGTCCTCCTCCCGCTCCTGCTCCCACCCCATCTGCCACTCCCGCTCCAGCACCCTCGTCGCTTCATCCTCCCCCTCAGGCGTCCGCGGACTCGGTCCCACTGCTGCTACTGCCCGGGACACTATCCCCCCCCCCACTCCGCCCATTCCTGCTGCCCCCGCTGCTGCCCCGAATCCGCCCACTCCGCCCACCCCTCCCCCTGGTGCTCCCCCTGCCGCGCCTCCCCCTGCTCCTAGCGCCGCCCCTGCGGCCATTCCGCCTTGCATGAGCGCGGAGCTATCAAGGGACATGGTGCGGTGATGCTGATGCCGCACCCCCCTCTCCACCACTGACCCGTACTGTCCCCTTCCCCGCACCAGTCCTCCTCCCATCCCCGCTCCTGACCCCGCTCCTCCCGGACCTCCCCCCACAGGCCTTCTGTCATTACTCCCCCCACTGGCGGATCTGAGCACTCCGCCCATCCCCCCTCCTCCGCCCATCACCCCCGCTGCCCCTGCGCTGAGCCTTCTTCCCTCTTCCCCCTCCCCGCCCCGCTCGCCCCACTCGCTGCTGACCCTCCGCAGTGCGCGCGGCGGCTTTGCCGTCGCAACAGGGGGAAGGCCGTCCATTCTGTTACCACTGCCACTGTTCGACCTAAAAAATGCATGCCCGGAACCAGTATTGGATCTTAAATACACCTGGCCGCTACCCGCCTCCACGCTACTTCCCCATCCGCCACCTCCGCCACTTCCCCCTTGCTCCCCTTCCAGATCAAGCCTATCCACCCCCAATCCATCCCCCAAAGCTGATGCGCCATCCCCCGCGAAACCCCCGCCCCCTGCGCCCCCGAATCCCCCTCTGTCCGCAGGGAGCAGATCCGCCAATTGTCCCATGGACCGCATCCGCGGGCGGTGTCCGCGCACTGGGGGAGGGGCCCCGCGCGAATGGAGCGCCGGGGGGGCAGCGGGGGGTTGCGGAGACGCCTGCTGGCGCAACTGGTGCTGGTGCGCGGCGGACATCTGCGCCGAAGGAGCGTGCGGCTGCGGCGCGAATCGCTGCGCGTGGCTTGCGCCTCCCCCGCGCCCAGCGCCAGCGGCAGCAGCCGCGGAGTCGACCATCCCCGGCCGCATCGCCGGCGAAGTGGTGGCTTTCTGAAGCCGCCGCTGATTGGCTGAATCTATTACTGGAAGCGATATCTGCCGCTGATACTGCTGCTGCAGCTGCTGCTGGTACTGCTGCTGCTGGTATTGCTGCTGTTGCTGGTGGTACTGCTGCTGCTGCTGGTGCTGTTCTTGCGTCAGCAGCAGTCGCTGCATCTGCACCTGCTGCACCTTCGGCTCATCCCCGCTCACATCCAGAACCTCCCACGAGCTCGTTTCAGCGCGCGACGCCGACATCATGCGCCGATGCATCCGCTGCGGCGGGGGCCGCTGCGGGTACGCCCCCTGCTGCGGAGGCTGCTGGAAAGGTTGCGCCGACGGCGGTGGCTGCGCCGGCGGTTGCTGCGGCCGTGAGACTCCGCCACCAGGCAGGGCCATTCCTCTTGCCGAGCCTCCGTTAGGTCCGGAGCTGAAGCTACCCGGGGCAAACGCTGCCGGGCCTGCATTTGGCGCGGGCATTTGTCCTCTCACGGCGCCCAACGGTCTTCGCGGACCGTCGATCGCGTTAAGCTTTCGTGCCGGCTGCGACAGAGAACGGTTGAAACCGCGCGAATCGCTCGCAACGTTGCCAGCTGCGGTCCCTGCTCCCCCCGCGTTTCCCCCCATCCTGGCGGAAGCGGCTTGCGGGGGGATCCTTGCGCGGACCTGCGCGGGACCAAACCATCCAGTGTCGGCGGAAGGCATCGTTGCGAGCTCGTGATTTTCGTCGTCCGAAAGGGTCGGCGACTCTGGAGAAACCGATGTGCGACTGTTTGTCGCAAGGACTTCCGTAGCTTGGAAGTCCTGCGACGGTTTGCGGGGTCGCACAGCCTCGCATCGCAGCAGCTGCGGGACGGGCTCGTCGTCGTCCATTAGATCGGGGAAACAAGCGGGAGAAACGGAGAAGTACCTCTCTCCTAAAGCGCTGACGTCATGCAGAATCTAGCTGAAAGGAAACTGTAACTGAAGAGTACGGGTAATGTTATGCTGATGATCTGAGGGTATTCTTGAGGCATTCCCGAAATCAGGCGACAGTTTCGAGAAACAGGAATGAAACAGCCCCCTCGGGACTGGACGGAATTGTGCTTGTACAGTCCCGAGGGATTTCGATGTTGGAGGGGCCACAGTTGGAATGGGTTGGTGGGACAAGGGCTGTCGCGTAGCGGCATTTGCCACCCAAATTCACAAGATATAGGACTGAACAGAACCTGAACACTGTTTTGTTGAGACCTCTACGGACGCTTGCTTATATAATGCAGATAACTTACACTCACATCACCGTGACATCCACATTCTTTGCCCCTTTGAGAACTGCTTGGATCCCTCTTGACAGCTGCTCTATTTTAAACGGCTTCACTGCATACCCATCCATCCCCGCTTCATAGCACTGCTCTTTATACCCTGCCATGGCATGTGCCGTCAATCCCAAAATGGGAATCCTTCCTCTTGCTTGCGGGGACCGTTTATTACCAGCATTACCTGCTTCAAATTGCCGTATTCTTTTTGTTGCCTCCAAGCCATCCATAACAGGCATCTGTGCAGAGGAATAATACACAAGATGACGGCGCAAGGTGAACAGAAGGAAAGAGAGATAAGGAGAGGAGCCAATAATGAGACACCATTCGCAACACAGGCACTGCCCCAATTCCACTCCACCCCATCACCCACACCCACCCTCACCTGAATATCCATCAGAATGACGTCGAACGACGCTGCCCGCTCCTCAATGGCAGTGAGCGCCAGCTGTCCGTTACCAGCAATCTCCACCGTCGCGCCCACCTTGGTGAGAGCGTGCTTGGCCACGCGCTGGTTGACCATGTTGTCCTCTGCCAGCAGCGCTCGCACCCCCGCCAGTAAGAGTGCCCCCCGAGCTCGGCTGGAGGGCACCAGAGGGCCCGACATGGACTTCACAGGCGTGCGCACCCGTGCTATTGCCGCTGGTGCTATAGCGCCTGGCACTGCTGCTGCTGCTCTAGATGCTGCTGCTGGTGCGATAGCTCCGGCTGGTTCTGCTCGAGAAGCTGCTGCCGGTGTACCAGATGCTGCTGCTGGTGCTACAGACGGTGAGGATTTTGCTGTTGGCTTGCTCTGTGACGCCTGTACATTCGAAACCAGGGGAAGAGCAGCACCAATGCCCCCAGCACCAGCAGTAGCACCAATTCCAATGCTGACGCTGCTGATGCTTCCAGTTGTGGTGGCAGTTGTGGTGGCGGAGGCAATGGTAGCGGCAGAGGATGTGGTAGCGGAGGAGCTAGAGGTGGAAAAGAGTGAGGACGAGGAGGTGGAGGAGCACGAGGGCCGTCCAGAGCTTGCACCTGTACCTGAGTCTGATCCTTCCAGGCTGATCCTTCCAGGCTCCACTTGCCTGCCCGTGCTCCCAGTGTGTAACCCCATGGCCCTGACCGTGTCAGCAGGCCCTCCCCCACCAGCCACAGCATCAGCTCCCTGCCTCGATCGCACCTCTCCTGCTGCTGCTGCTGCTGCTGCAGCATGCACCTGAGGAGCACCCTGAAGCTCCAGCTTGGCGGGTGGAGAAGCAAATTGCTGATGTTTACGTGTGGATGGCTGAGCTGCCGGGGCTGAGGTGGCGGTGGCCTTATGCGATTGCTGAGCCTGCTGGTGTGCCTGCTGCTGTGCCTTCTGGGTTGCAACGGAGGGGCCAGGCAGCGGGAAGGGAGTTCCTTGGAGGAGACTTGGCAAGGGCTTCACAGGCAGTGAGCGCACGGAGCGAAGGGGGGCAGATGGGAGTGAGGCTTGGGCAGAAGGGGCAGCAGCTGCGTTTGCCACTCCTCCTGCTGATGCTGATGCTGCTGTTGCTGCTGCTGGTGGGACAAACAATGGCGGGTCTTTTGGTGCTGGCGGACCAAACACTCCTCGACCTGATGTGGATGTTCGGCCGTACGAGGCAGCCCTGGTGTGTGAGACGAACCTAACCGCCTTGGTGCGGCCAGCAGCAGCACCAGCAGCAGCAGCTTTACCAGTAACACTCACACCAGCGGCAGCAGCAGCCGCAGAACCCTTGGCTGCTCTTGCCATGCCTGCTGCCCCACCTTCTCTCCCAGCTCCTGCCCCCAAACCTCCCTCGCTCTTCCCCGCAGCCTCACCTCCCCCAGTCACCACCTCCCCTCGCTGCAAAGCCGAAGCAGACTCCACAGCAGCAAGGTGCAGCAGCAGCAGTCCAGGGTCAGAGCGGCGGTGCTCCAGGCGTCTTGGGGGGAGCTGCCAGAGGGAGGCGAGGTGCGGCGGGGGGAAGCGGTAGAACTGCGATGACACTTGGCTTCGCAGCTCTAGCTCCTGCATCTGCTGCCGCTGCCACGCCTCTTGCTGCTGCTGCTGCTGCTGCTGGTGTTGAAGCTGCTGCAGCTGGTCTTGCTGCTCGTGCTGCTGCTGTTGCGGGTCCTGCTTGTTCTGCCCATGCTGCTGCTGTCGCCTCAGCTGCTGCAGCTTCTGCTGCTGCAGGAGCAAAATCTGCCGCTGCTTCTGCTGGGGGGTTGGCTGGAAAAGCACAGGGTCAGACACAATCTCAGCAGCAGCAGGCGCCTGCTGCTCAGGCAGAGGGCCCAGCAGCGGGTGATAGTGCCCACCTGATAAACCACCTGGGAACCCGTGGCCCACACCTGAAAAACCACCTGGTGATGCTGCAGCGGTCACAGCTGCTGCTGCAGTCAGTGCTTCTCTCTCTGCTGCAGTCATGCCTCTGTATGAGCGCGACCGTCCCAGCCAGGGGGAGTGAGGGAAGGCTCCAGGGAACATGGGAGGGAGGAGAGGGGCGAGCGAGGGGGGAGGAGGAGAGGCGGTGAGGGGAGCGAGAGGGGGGGATTTGGGTGCTCTTGGGGCTGTGGTGGGAGGGGCGTCAAGGGCTGTGTTACTCAAGCTAGTAGTAGAGGCAGCAGCACCAGAGGAAGCAGTGGTAGTGGTAGCAGAAGCAGTGGGAGCAGAAGAAGGAGCAGCAACAGCAGCAACAGCAGCAGCAGCAGCAGCAGCAGCAGCAGCAGAGGCAGCAGAAGAAGCAGCAGCAGAGGCATCGGGGACAGCGGAGAGGGACGGGGAGCGTCTGCGAGCAGGAGGAGGCAAGGGGAGCGCAGGGTCCTTGTTGGACGGGCTCCTCTGTAGCAGTGGTACGGCAAGCGACACCGAGGGGCGTGCCTGGGAGGAGGAATGAAGCGACACCGAGGGGCGTGCCTGGGAGGAGGAATGAAGCGACACCGAGGGGCGTGCCTGGGAGGAGGAATGAAGCGGCAGAGAGAGCGCACTAGCAAGAGCACCTGCACTAGTAGACCCTGTGACTGATGTAGCAGTCATCATGACATCACCTCCTCTAGAGCTGCTGCTGGTGAGATCCTCTACTTCCAAGGCTGACACTGCCGCAGCTGCTGCAGGCTCGTAGCTGCCTCCGGACCTGCTGCCTCTCATGCTTGCCAGGCCTGGGGCTGAGGTTCGAAGAGCCGAAGCTGTTCTGGAATCATCCCAAGCCATGCCTGGCATTGCTCCCAAGCCTACCGCCGTCCCTGCGGGATTGGCTGGTGCTGCATCAATAAGGCTGTGAGGTGGCACGGCAGCAGCAGCAGCAGCAGCCGAAGTGTTGAGACCAACTCCAACCCTGACATTCCCAGCAGCAGGAGAAGAGGCAGAAGCGACAGGAGGAGCAGATGCGAGAGCATCGAGATCGGCAGCATCGACATCCCCACTGCTCCCAGTGGCAACGCTGCCAGAGCTGGGCCGAGAGGACCGGAAACTCGTGGTCGACCTTTCATCCATGCTGATGTGACTCGCATGCCCCCGCCGGGCAGGTAACGCTGCAGCAAGCGGTCGGGCAGCTGGAGAAAAGTTTGCGTTCGCAGCCCGAACCGAAGTGGCAGTTCCGGGAGCGAGAAAGCCCCAATCGCCTATCAGCTGCATGTCTCCGACCGACGCTGCCGAGCCTGGTTGCGCAGGCTCGGGAGACGCGGCCTGGTCCGGGGACATGGCACTAGGACGGGCGAGATTTGGAGAAAAGAGAGAGCGAGAGGATTCAGAGGCGAGTTTGGAGAGGGGAGGGGAGAGGTGGCGGCGGGAGGAGCCAGGTGAGCCGGCAATCCCCCCTGAGAGGCTCACATCCCGGGAGAATGCACGTGCTGCTGCTGAACGTGCCGCCACTGACTTGCCTCTTGCCACTGCTGCTGGGGAGGGAGGGATATTCCAATCGATCGAAGAAGTGTCTGAGAGTGTGGGCGTGCTTGTGCCCTCTGCTTCTGCCAGCTCCTCTCCTCTTCCTCCAATTGCTGCAGCACCTTCTGTTGCGCCTGCTGTTCCACCTGAAGCTGCCATGGTTACAGTTACTTCTGCAGTTTCTCTCGCCTCAGCTGCCCCTGCTCCAGCCCTTGCTTCAGCTTCCCTGTTTGCTCCCCCTTGTGCTCCTTGTCCTGACTTCACTGCCGAAACAACTCCACTACCAGGCACAAGTACACTCCCCTCAACAACCCTTATCCCCGGCACACTCTCCCCCAAGCTGCCTCCCCAACTGCCTCCCCCACTGCCTCTCCCACTGCCTTCCCCACTGCCTCCCCCACTGCCTCCCCCACTGCCTCCCCCACTTTCTCCTCCACTCGCCCCCCACCCACCACTGCCTGTAACCCCTTTTCCCCTGGCCACCCCCCACCCTCGTGGCGTGCGAGGGGAGAACGGAGCAGCAGCAAAAGCAGCGGCAGCACGGGGAGAGGGGTCCTCTAGGTCCCTCCAGATGCGGCGGCCACGGGGGGAGGGCGTGGAGAGCGGTGCAACAGCAAAGCCAGCAGGGGGAGCAGCAGCAGCATGTGACCCTGCTGCGCCCTCTCTGCTCCCTGTGGGCGATGGCAGCTTATTGGAATGCCACCACGTTGGTGACAGCAGCTTCGGAGAATGCAGGCTCGGAGAAGACGCATCCGCAGGGATGGTTTGCAGGCTCGGGCGCACTGTGGCTGTCGATGCTCCTCCCGAGCCTAGCACCGGGCCTGAGAAGTACGCCGAACGTGCTGGACGGGGCCGGCCTTCGGAAGTGGAGGTTGGGAAGGGGCGAGGGCTGGGAATGGCGAGGGTGGGAGGGAGTGTGACGGAGGGAGGGATGATGAACAGCCCCCCCCTCCCGCCTGCACTTCCTTGCCCACTCTCCCCTCCACTCCTCACACCACCATCATCACTCTCCCCCTCCTCTCCTCGCACCCTCCCCCCTGCCCTGGCAGTGGCAGCGGGAAGAGATGCTGCTGTGAGCAAGGGCGCGGGGGTCTGTACGCGGAGAAGTGAGCGAGGGGTGCGCGGGGGTGGAGTGTGGTTTGACTGGTGGATTGCTGGAGAAGACGCAGCAGAAGGAGCAGCAGCAGGGAGCGGAGAAGGAGCAATCGCCCCAGCAGCAGAAGCAGCAGCAGCAGCAGCAGCAGTAGCAGCAGCAGTAGCAGCAAAAGCGGGTGCGGATTGGATAGAATCGGAGGAGAGGGAGAGAGGAAGAGGCATGATGGCAGGGCTGGTGCTGGGGTAGTGTGCACTAGGGTAGTGTGCACTGGGGTAGTGTGCACTAGGGTAGTGCGAGGGAGTCAAGGCAGGGACGAGAGGGGGGCTTTCAGGGGAGGAGTCTAGAGGGGACTGAGGAGCAGTGGCGAACTCCGTAGTGTATCCCGATCGAGCTGATGCATACACCGAGCGAGCAGGCGTGTGTTCTGCTGAGGCTCCTCCTTGTAACGAAACGTACTCGTTAAAAGCCACGTGATCCGACATGCTCACAGACGAGTCAAACCGAGCGATTTCAGCCCCGTATCCAGCCAGGGGAAACCCGGGGGGAAGTTCAGAAGAAAGGGCGTAGAGAGAGGAGGAGGCGGCGAGAGAAGGAGGAGCAGACGGGTCGAAGGCCTGGGGGGGGTGTGCGGGAGTGGTGGTGGTGCCGGGAGGGGCGGTGTCGAGGCGGGCTGTGAAGAAGAATGTGGATCCCTTGCCCAGGTCGCTCTCCACCCACACCTCTCCCCCCATCATGTGCACCAGACTGTGTGGGGCCAGGGGAGGACGCAATGGGGTGGTGCTGGTGATGAAACAGGTAAGGCACGGAGGAAGAGCAGGGAAAGGCAGGGAGGGGCAGGGGGAAAGGCTGTAAAGAGCACATCATGGAGAAACAATGCAATGCTAAGGTCGCTTTGCAACCCCACCTCACCATCCCCACATTTATGCACCGGACCAGACTATGAGCGGAGAAAAGCACTCACCTCTGCACGATGCTGAGCCCGAGCCCAATTCCCCCGTAGTCCCGCGTGTACGACGTGTCCGCCTGCACGTAGTTGTGAAAAACCTGCTCTCACTCACACTCATGGAGCACCCACTCACCTCTGCACGATGCTGAGGCCCAGCCCTATTCCCCCGTAATCCCGTGTGTACGACGTGTCCGCCTGCACGAAGTTGTGGAAAATCTCCCCCTGCTTCTCCGCACTGATGCCAATCCCCGTGTCCTTCACCGACACCAGGATCCACACCTCCTTCTCCTCCTCCTCTTCCAATTCCCCTTCCACTTCCTCCTCCTCTCTGCCTCCTCCTCTTCCGACCCGCCTCCCCGACCCACCTGCTCTCCTCCCAGACTCCTCACTACTTGCCCCGCGAAGCGACTCAACCCCGCTTTGACCTGACCAACCGCTATCCATTCTCCTGCTGAACATGCCCCACATGCCAGAGCCCATGCTCGATCCCACCATCTCGCCCTCCCGCCCGCTGCCCCTCCTCCTTCTGCTCCTCCCCAACCCCCCTCTGCTGATCGGCCGTGCAGCCGCTTCCCCCCCCATCCGCCCACTCATGCCTACCCTCGCACCAGCGCTCCCACTGACACTTACGTAAGTGTGGTCTAGCCGGCTTCTTAGCGCAGGGTCAGATGCAGGGATAATCAAAGACGAGTCCAAGGCAGCGGGGTACATAGCAGGCTCGGAAGCAGCGACGAGAGAGTCGGGGGGGAAGGCACGGGAGCGGGTGCTGCTGCTGCGGCTGAAGACAGAAGACGCGTTGCTGGGTTGACTCTTCAGAGATCCCATGCTGAAAATGTTCGCCGCAGGCTTGTCCGGGACCCCCCCTGAAACAGCCCGGGGGAAGGCTGCAACTGGTGCAGGCGATGCCAGAGACCCCCCTGCTGCTGCTGTACCAAGAGAAAACCCCATTCGTTCCCCCCCTCGGCCTCCCAAGCTTGCATCCTCAGGAACCCTCGAGGAGAGAGGGGGGCTTCTGACTTTCTTCCCTGCTGCCGCCTTGCTGCTTGCCTCTGCGCCCTCCCTCCTCACAAACGTACTGCCTAGATCAGACCACTGCAGCTCTGCACTCGACTTGAATGCTCCTGACCCCCCACTCCCTCTTCTCCCGGGATTCCCCATGCCCTCGCCGTCTCCCCGTCCCTCCCCTGCTCCTTCTCGGTCCCCTGACCTCACACCGACACCGCTGGCAGCCCCACCGGCCATTTCCTCAGGTGCGGGTTCAGGTGAGTTTTCAGGTGCTGCTGCAGCAGAGAACCCAGCCGCTGCGCGTTTCTCTGTCTCACTGTCCCCACCGGCACCATCAGCAAACCACACAGCAAGGTTGGTTCTCGACCCTTTTCTTGACACACTCCTCGACCCAGATCGGGAAGCACTGTGGGAAATACCTCTAGACATTCCCCCTGACCCACCAGACCCACCACCACCTGCAGCAGGACTACCGCCAGCACCACCAACACTAGCAGCACCAATTCCCCCCTTGAGTGCAGAGCCCAGCACCCCAGACCCTCCCTTCCGTGCAGACACTACCACCCCAGAACCCCCAGGGGAGCCTTCAGAAGTGGATCGATGCATGCCCCTCGCTCTCATCGCACTGCCCACCAGCTCCTCTCCCCCTGAGCTCGAATCCCCCCTCTCCTGGTAGTTGGGGCCCAGCAGAGGCCGCTCTGCTGCGCGCTGGGCTGCATGGGAGGGCAGGGAGGGGTAGGAGGAGGAGACAAGCCCTGCTGCTGCTATCCGCCCGATCGTGCGCAGGCAGCTGCTGCTGCTGCTGATCACTGCTCGAGGCGTGATGTCATCGTCGTCATCATCAGCATGGGTACGGATATCGTTGTTGTTCTTTTCATCCGAGCTGCTGCTGCCGCCGCCGCTGCTGCTGCTCCCACTGCTCTTACCGCCTCCCTTGCTCCCCCTGCTCCGTCTGCTCTCTCTGCTCCTGCGCCTGCGATGGCCAGTGGGAAGAGAGGAACCTTCTGGCTGCTGGCTGGCAGAGAGCAGCTGGGCTCGAAAGGAGTCCAGAGTCTGTCTGGCCCTCGCTGCAGCGTCCCTGTCACTCGTATCTGAATCACCAGTGTCTGACCAACCACTCTGAGGCATCCCCACCCCATCACTACTTTGCTCGTGTGCGCCCGGTCGTCTCCTCCCGCTCCTCCCACCCGAACCAAACAGCTTGGCTTGGTCACTCTCGGACCTAACCAAGCTTGCACGAGTCGCTCTAGCTATTGGACGAGCAGAAGAGTCTGAATACCAAGCAGCATCGCTTCTACCACTTTGAAATTCACTCACACTCCTCCCCACCTCCCTCCTGCTCCCTTCCCCACTGACCTCCTCTCTCCCCAGCCCACCTGCCGTCCCCTCTGGCCCAGAAGACACGTCTCTCCCCGCTTCTCCTCCTCCTCCTCCTCCTCCCCAATCCCTTCTCTCTCTCCCTGAGCTCCTCCCTGCATGACCGTTCCCCTGTCGGTGCCTGTGCCTGTGCCTCCCCGCCTTGCCTACTCGCTCCTTCCCATCACTGACTGCCTCGTGCCCTCTCTCCCTGCAAGTCCCCGCCTCCGAATCAACCTGCGGATGGAGGTTGCTCCCTGCCCCTGCATTCCCTTGCTCGAGCATTCGCTGCCGGAGAGCACGAGAAACCTCCGTGGGAACAAAGACATTGGTGTTAATGCCAGGGTTAGTATTGGAATAAGTGCTGCTGTTCGTGTTAGCCCTACGGTCAGTGTTCGTGGCGTTGGCATTGGTGTTGGGGTGGTTGTTACTGCTGCGGTTAGCAACAACGGAATGGGGGAGGGGGTCGGAGAGACGAGCAGATAAGGATCCCTCCGGCCCTTCCCGGGAGGGCGGAGGGGTGAGCGGGGGGGAGTGCGGAGGGGAGGAGGAATGAGGACACGTGGCAGATCGAGGGACGTACAGAGGTGAGTACTGCAACTGCTCATGCTCGTCTAGATGATGGGGCTTCTGATTTCCTTGCTCTTGCTCTTGCTGCTTCTCATGCTCCTGCTCTTGCGCTCGCTGTCGCTGGTGCTCCTGGTGGTGCTGCTGATGGTGGTGCTGGCGGTGGGTGTGATGGTGGCTACCGCTGTTGCCGTTGCGTGCCTTGTGGTGCATGCTGCTGCTGTTGCTGCTCCGCGTCTGCTGCTGACTGCTGCCTCCGCTCCTACCGTGGTGCCGCGTGCGAGAGGGAGGGCGGAAGAGCAGGGTGATCTCAAGGTCCACGGACCCTTGGTGGGTGAACTTTATTGCGTTTCCCACTGCCATTTCACGCCGTGCCATGTGATGCCGTGCCATGTGATGCCGTGCCATGTGATGCCGTGCCATGTGATGCCGTGCCATGTGATGCCGTGCCATGTGATGCCGTGCCATGTGATGCCGTGCCATGTGATGCCGTGCCATGTGATGCCGTGCCATGTGATGTCGTGCCATGTGATGCCGTGCCATGTGATGCCGTGCCATGTGATGTCGTGCCATGTGATGCCGTGCCATGTGATGCCGTGCCATGTGATGCCGTGCCATGTTACATCATGCCAAGCCATGCCATGCCATGCCATGCCATGCATGCCCCAGACGGCCCACGCAAGGACATCGGGGTGATGGAAAAAAAAAAAAGAGGGTTTGGTGAGTCAGCAGCCATTGTTGCACGTGCTGCCTCAAACGAAGAAATAACAAGACAGGAAACTCTAAACACACTGCAAACACAGGAACCTATGAGAAAAGGGGCCAAGCCAAGCCCCCCTTCAGGACTTACCCAGGTTGATGATGCACTGCTGCAGCCTGCCTGGGTCCCCCACCAATGTGTGAGGCACCCCCTCCGCCACCTGCCATGAGAACAGCAGCTGCTTCTGCTCCGCCCGCACCTGGGGGTGGGAAGGGAGAGAGGGGGAGGCCAAGAGACGCCAGGGAAGAACTCACACGACGCTGAGGCAACAGAGGCGCACTGACTGCTACAGATCGTGCAGACTCTATCCAGCGCCAGCTGCTATGCTTCCAACCCCGCGAGATCCAAAACGGTGTTGTGGAGTTGAAAAAACGGCCCAAAAATCTACCCTGGTGTCAGTCGGTCCGTCAGTCAGTCCGCCAGTCAGTCAGTCGGTCCGTCAGTCAGTCTGTCAGTCAGTCAGTCGGTCCGTCAGTCAGTCCGCCAGTCAGTCTGTTGGTCCGTGAGCCAGTCAGTCAGTCAGTCAGTCAGTCAGTCGGTCCGTCAGTCAGCAACGCTAGGCCTACTTTACTGTTCTTTGTTATTCGACTGGACCCACCTGCAGCATTCTCATGGTAGAGCCAACAACATCCCTGAGGGCGAAGGGCACTTTATCCAGCGCCAGCTGCCCCGCCTCTATCCTCGCCAGGTCTAAAACGGTGTTGGCGATGTTCAGCAGGCAGTCGGCAGATTGTGCCACCACCGTCAGATGCTCGTGCAGCTCCACCGTCAGATCGTTCCGCAGCGCGAGGGCGTCAGAGGAAGGGTGTGTGGCGAGGTCGTGCGGGTCGTGGGGGTCATGGGGGTCGTGGAGTGACTCGAGGGCGTCTAGAGCCAGTGCTGTCATGCCGATGATGCCGTGGATGGGCGTGCTGGGGTTGGGGGGGACAAGCGCGAGAGGGGCAGGTGGGGAACATGGGGAGTGTTGTGATCTCATATTTGATACAACATACATAGGCTAGAATTATATGTGTAGCACTTGTATAGATTGGGGGTTGTTTAATGTACCCTCCAACCACATTTTGTGGTTGGTGGGGATTGGTCCTTAGCTCAACCAATCCCAACCAACACACATTTGTTTGGGCCACAGGCAAGCTCAACCATTGGCCAACTCATTGGCCAATAGGGGTGATGGGGGTGATGGGGGGGTGATGGGGGGTGATGGGGGTGATGGGGGTGATGGGGGTGATGGGGGTGATGAGAGTGATGGGGGTGATGGGGGTGATGGTTGGTGAGGGGAGGTGATGGGGGTGATGGGGGTGATGGGGGGGTGAGGTGGGTGAGGGGGGTGATGGGGGTGATGGGGGTGATGGGGGTGATGGGGGGTGATGGGGGTGATGGGGGGTGATGGGGGTGATGGGGGTGAGGGGGGGTGAGGGGGGGTGATGGGGGTGATGGGGGGTGATGGGGGTGATGGGGGTGATGAGAGTGATGGGGGTGATGGGGGTGATGGGGGTGATAGGGGTGATGGGGGTGATGGGGGTGATGGGGGTGATGGGGGTGATGGGGGTGATGGGGGGTGATGGGGGGTGATGGGGGTGATGGGGGTGATGGGGGGGTGATGGGGGTGATGGGGGTGATGGGGGTGATGGGGGTGATGGGGGGTGATGGGGGGTGATGGGGTGATGGGAGTGATGGGGGTGATGGGGGTGATGGGGGTGATGGGGGTGATGAGAGTGATGGGGGTGATGGGGGTGATGGGGGGGTGAGGGGGGTGAGGGGGGTGATGGGGGTGATGGGGGTGATGGGGGTGATGGGGGTGATGGGGGTGATGGGGGGTGATGGGGGTGATGGGGGTGATGGGGGTGATGGGGGTGATGGGGGTGATGGGGGTGATGGGGGTGATGGGGGTGATGGGGGTGATGGGGGTGATGGGGGTGATGGGGGTGATGGGGGTGATGGGGGTGATGGGGGTGATGGGGGTGATGGGGGTGATGGGGGTGATGGGGGGTGATGGGGGTGATGGGGGTGATGGGGGTGATGGGGGTGATGGGGGTGATGGGGGTGATGGGGGTGATGGGGGTGATGGGGGTGATGGGGGTGATGGGGGGTGATGGGGGTGATGGGGGGGTGATGGGGGTGATGGGGGTGATGGGGGTGATGGGGGTGATGGGGGGTGATGGGGGTGATGGGGGGTGATGGGGGTGATGGGGGTGATGGGGGTGATGGGGGTGATGGGGGGTGATGGGGGTGATGGGGGTGATGGGGGTGATGGGGGTGATGGGGGGTGATGGGGGGTGATGGGGGTGATGGGGGTGATGGGGGGTGATGGGGGTGATGGGGGGGTGATGGGGGTGATGGGGGTGATGGGGGTGATGGGGGTGATGGGGGGTGATGGGGGGTGATGGGGGTGATGGGGGTGATGGGGGTGATGGGGGTGATGGGGGGGTGATGGGGGTGATGGGGGTGATGGGGGTGATGGGGGGTGATGGGGGGTGATGGGGTGATGGGAGTGATGGGGGTGATGGGGGTGATGGGGGTGATGGGGGTGATGGGGGTGATGAGAGTGATGGGGGTGATGGGGGTGATGGTTGGTGAGGGGGGGTGATGAGGGTGATGGGGGTGATGGGGGGGTGAGGGGGGTGATGGGGGTGATGGGGGTGATGGGGGTGATGGGGGTGATGGGGGTGATGGGGGTGATGGGGGTGAGGGGGGGTGATGGGGGTGATGGGGGTGATGGGGGTGATGGGGGTGATGGGGGTGATGGGGGTGATGGGGGTGATGGGGGTGATGGGGGGGTGATGGGGGTGATGGGGGTGATGGGGGTGATGGGGGTGATGGGGGGTGATGGGGGGTGATGGGGGTGATGGGGGTGATGGGGGTGACGGGGGTGATGGGGGGGTGATGGGGGTGATGGGGGTGATGGGGGTGATGGGGGGTGATGGGGTGATGGGAGTGATGGGGGTGATGGGGGTGATGGGGGTGATGGGGGTGATGGGGGTGATGAGAGTGATGGGGGTGATGGGGGTGATGGGGGTGATGGGGGTAATGGGGGGTGATGGGGGGTGATGGGGGTGATGGGGGTGATGGGGGTGATGGGGGTGATGGGGGTGATGGGGGGTGATGGGGTGATGGGAGTGATGGGGGTGATGGGGGTGATGGGGGTGATGGGGGTGATGGGGGTGATGAGAGTGATGGGGGTGATGGGGGTGATGGTTGGTGAGGGGGGGTGATGAGGGTGATGGGGGTGATGGGGGGGTGAGGGGGGTGATGGGGGTGATGGGGGTGATGGGGGTGATGGGGGTGATGGGGGTGATGGGGGTGATGGGGGGTGATGGGGGTGATGGGGGTGATGGGGGTGATGGGGGTGATGGGGGTGATGGGGGTGATGGGGGTGATGGGGGTGATGGGGGGTGATGGGGGGTGATGGGGGTGATGGGGGTGATGGGGGGGTGATGGGGGTGATGGGGGTGATGGGGGTGATGGGGGTGATGGGGGTGATGGGGGTGATGGGGGTGATGGGGGTGATGGGGGTGATGGGGGTGATGGGGGGTGATGGGGGGTGATGGGGTGATGGGAGTGATGGGGGTGATGGGGGTGATGGGGGTGATGGGGGTGATGGGGGTGATGAGAGTGATGGGGGTGATGGGGGTGATGGTTGGTGAGGGGGGGTGATGAGGGTGATGGGGGTGATGGGGGGGTGAGGGGGGTGATGGGGGTGATGGGGGTGATGGGGGTGATGGGGGTGATGGGGGTGATGGGGGTGATGGGGGTGATGGGGGTGAGGGGGGGTGATGGGGGTGATGGGGGTGATGGGGGTGATGGGGGTGATGGGGGTGATGGGGGTGATGGGGGTGATGGGGGTGATGGGGGTGATAGGGGGTGATGGGGGTGATGGGGGTGATGGGGGGGTGATGGGGGTGATGGGGGTGATGGGGGTGATGGGGGTGATGGGGGTGATGGGGGTGATGGGGGTGATGAGAGTGATGGGGGTGATGGGGGTGATGGTTGGTGAGGGGGGGTGATGAGGGTGATGGGGGTGATGGGGGGGTGAGGGGGGTGATGGGGGTGATGGGGGTGATGGGGGTGATGGGGGTGATGGGGGTGATGGGGGTGATGGGGGTGATGGGGGTGAGGGGGGGTGATGGGGGTGATGGGGGTGATGGGGGTGATGGGGGTGATGGGGGTGATGGGGGTGATGGGGGGGTGATGGGGGTGATGGGGGTGATGGGGGTGATGGGGGTGATGGGGGTGATGGGGGTGATGGGGGTGATGGGGGTGATGGGGGTGATGGGGGTGATGGGGGTGATGGGGGTGATGGGGGTGATGGGGGGGTGAGGCGGGTGATGGGGGTGATGGGGGTGATCGGGGTGATGGGGGTGATGGGGGTTATGGGGGTGATGGGGGTGATGGGGGTGAGGGGGGGTGAGGGGGGGTGATGGGGGTGATGGGGGTGATGGGGGTGATGGGGGTGATGGGGGTGATGGGGGTGATGGGGGTGATGGGGGTGATGGGGGTGATGGGGGTGATGGGGGTGATGGGGGTGATGGGGGTGATGGGGGTGATGGGGGTGATGGGGGTGATGGGGGTGATGGGGGTGATGGGGGTGATGGGGGTGATGGGGGTGATGGGGGTGATGGGGTGATGGGGGTGATGGGGGTGATGGGGGTGATGGGGGTGATGGGGGTGATGGGGGTGATGGGGGTGATGGGGGTGATGGGGGTGATGGGGTGATGGGGGTGATGGGGGTGATGGGGGTGATGGGGGTGATGGGGGTGATGGGGGTGATGGGGGTGATGGGGGTGATGGGGGTGATGGGGGTGATGGGGGTGATGGGGGTGATGGGGGTGATGGGGTGATGGGGGTGATGGGGGTGATGGGGGTGATGGGGGTGATGGGGGTGATGGGGGTGATGGGGGGTGATGGGGGTGATGGGGTGATGGGGGTGATGGGGGTGATGGGGGTGATGGGGGTGATGGGGGTGATGGGGGTGATGGGGGTGATGGGGGTGATGGGGGTGATGGGGGGTGATGGGGGTGATGGGGGTGATGGGGGTGATGGGGGTGATGGGGGGTGATGGGGGGTGATGGGGTGATGGGAGTGATGGGGGTGATGGGGGTGATGGGGGTGATGGGGGTGATGGGGGTGATGAGAGTGATGGGGGTGATGGGGGTGATGGTTGGTGAGGGGGGGTGATGAGGGTGATGGGGGTGATGGGGGGGTGAGGGGGGTGATGGGGGTGATGGGGGTGATGGGGGTGATGGGGGTGATGGGGGTGATGGGGGTGATGGGGGTGATGGGGGTGAGGGGGGGGTGATGGGGGTGATGGGGGGTGAGGGGGGGTGATGGGGGTGATGGGGGGTGATGGGGGTGATGGGGGTGATGGGGGTGATGGGGGTGATGGGGGTGATGGGGTGTGATGGGGGTGATGGGGGGTGATGGGGGTGATGGGGGTGATGGGGGTGATGGGGGGTGATGGGGGGTGATGGGGGTGATGGGGGTGATGGGGGGTGATGGGGGTGATGGGGGTGATGGGGGTGATGGGGGTGATGGGGGTGATGGGGGTGATGGGGGTGATGGGGGTGATGGGGGTGATGGGGGTGATGGGGGTGATGGGGGTGATGGGGGTGATGGGGGGTGATGGGGGTGATGGGGTGATGGGAGTGATGGGGGTGATGGGGGTGATGGGGGTGATGGGGGTGATGGGGGTGATGAGAGTGATGGGGGTGATGGGGGTGATGGTTGGTGAGGGGGGGTGATGAGGGTGATGGGGGTGATGGGGGGGTGAGGGGGGTGATGGGGGTGATGGGGGTGATGGGGGTGATGGGGGTGATGGGGGTGATGGGGGTGATGGGGGTGATGGGGGTGATGGGGGTGAGGGGGGGGTGATGGGGGTGATGGGGGTGAGGGGGGTGATGGGGGTGATGGGGGGTGATGGGGGTGATGGGGGGTGATGGGGGTGATGGGGGTGATGGGGGTGATGGGGGTGATGGGGGTGATGGGGTGATGGGGGTG